CCATATGTTTGCTTACAGGTTCTTCAGATATCTTTTGGAATCTCATGGATTAATTGTAATACTTATCCTATGTTAAATACATCGATATTCAATTTCCAAACAATCTTAATATTTATTTTGATGTTTTTAAATTGATTACTATTTCTCCTCTAATGTCAACATTAGGAATTGATAAATTTTTTAATTCTTTAGATGGAGATGCTACTTATGTTATTCCAACCTTGAAAAAATTTGAGAAAGATTCTATAAATGCTTATTTTTTTACTAATTTTTAGAGCTTTCTATTTTGTTTCCTTTCTGCATTTGGAGGTTATTTGGCCACTAAATATATACATATTACTTTATATAGAATTGGACCTTATTATATATCTAAATTGAATTTAACAATAGGAAAATTAGTCTATTCTACAAGAAGAAATTTGAAAAAGAAATCTAAACAATTTTATTATAATGGAATTTTAAGAATAATTATGTCAAATTCTTATGATGTTTGCTTTGCTACTACAATTCAATTATCTTATTTTCAAAGTTAAGATTCTGTTTTAGTATTCAACTCTTATTTGTCTCTTTTGGTATTTATTACATACATTTCTATCTCAATTTATACTTTCAATGTAATGCAAAGTTTTTCAAATACTTCAACTTTAAAAGTCAAAAATAAATATGATGCATTATTTGAAGGAGTCTAAGAATCAAAATCTATATGGGTTACACAATTTAATGGTGTATTGCTTATAAAAAAATTAGTATTCATTAGCTTAATAGTATTTATGTAAAAAGAAGGCCAACTTTAAACTCTATGTATTGCAATTAATTAATCCTTATTTTTGTGTTATCTTATTGCAAATAAGCCTTTATCAAATCCATATGAATATTATAAAAGTATCATAACTGAGATGATGATTATATTCAACACTATTACATTTCTTTTTTATGCCTATAGAGTGGAAATGTCTTTGACCTTAGAAAATTCGATAAGTTTAGGATGGCTACACATTTTTACTTCCACATCAATTTTAGCTGTATCATTTATATTTGATTTTATTTAATAATCAAAATTGTTATTAGATAAACTAAAGAAAGCATTTCAAGGACCAAAAGTTGAAGATAAAGGAGCTGCTGTTACGTTATTTTATTGATTTTTTGATATATATAGCTATCTAAATTTTATATAATTCTTTAATTCATTTATAACTTTTTCATTTAACTATCTAAAATTTTGAGTAATGTAGTCAATTCATAAAAAATTTATCATACAAATTAATTCAATGATATATTCGAATAAGATAATGTTAATTCATCTGTAATTCTTAATCTTCAATCATTTATTTTAATTTACAAATAATATCTTAAAAATTTTAATATGTTTTTATTATCAAATTAAGATGATAATTGTAAATTAATCAGAGTTCCTATAAAAAAAATAAGAGTGAATTATTTCGTTGTATTTTAATTAATTAAATTAGTAAGAATTTAGAGGATCAGATGGGATTATGTTGAAAAGTATATAAAAATAAAGATCATTATTGTTAGGTCAAAAAAACTTTAATAATAATTTGAATATTTAAAAAAATTCAAAATATAAAGAAGGTTAATTGAATTCAAATATAAATTAGATGAAATACAATTTTTTTTATGTACTTTAAATAAATATATTTCATTTTGCTTATTATTATTGCTATTATTATTATGTTTATTAGATTCTAATGTTAGCATTATATACTCTAGCTATATTAACTTCGATTGTAGTGATTTAATCTTTTAAGAACACTATGTCTTCATCCTATATCAATATTAAGGAAATACAAATTGTCTAAGATTTGAGCTGGCATTTTCTTTGTTTGATGATAAAAGTGCTTTAGCTTCATTAAATTCAAATTCAACCATAACATTGGCACCTAACCAAAGAGCAACAGTCTTATTTTCTTTAGGTAAAACAGCTTTTGAATAAATAGTATCTGTAATAAGAAAATCAACAACTTCATCTTCTTTTTAGTTTTCTAAATGTTCTACAATACTCAAAGCTCTTTCAATTTCTGGTAATTTATTTTGCATTGATTCTCTTTATTTGACTAATTGTGCTTCCATAAATTTATATTTGCTAAAATTCAATTAATTATTACTTATATGCTTCCTATAAGCTTTCCATTAATCTTTGAATAGAATTCTTGGAGATCAATTCATCAATATTTTCAAAGAAAATAGCTTCTGGGATTTTTCTATTGTTTTATGCCTACTTTGTTACAAGGTCCATTTATTAATTAATTATGATAATTATTTAATATATATATAAATTGTCATGTCCAATAATTAAACTTTCAAAGATTTTCCAAATTAAAGCCATATTGAATTGAAATTTAATACAAAAGATCAACATGGACTGGAAAGAGAGGAAGCATTACAAAAGTATAGAAGAAATGTAATCAAAGAAAATTTTAATAATTAGATAAATTTACTTACTAAACTTTTTGCATATGATGTAGATTAACCAGATTAGGAGAAATAAAATGATATATGTTAATCAGAAAAACAAAATGGATAATATTAAATAAAGACCCATCTTTTAGAAAGTATGAGATTATCTTTGGTTCAATTATAAAATAGACATAAAGAAACAATAGAATAATTTAAAAAAAGAAATGAATTATTTAAATAAAGAATAAATGAGGATACTAAGATAAATAATTAAGAAGAATTTTAATAATTTATTAATGAATTATAATCAGAAGATATGTTATGTGATTCTCATCCATTTCTAGATAAAAAATCTTCATTTTATATGCAAACAAATCTTTAATAACCTATTTAAGTATGAAATATGATTTATTAAAATTTTTTAGATAAGTTAAGATTAATGTTTAGAATTGAAAGAATAATTAAAAGATGATCAATGCATTTTATTAAGTTGACTTATAAATTATTATCTACAAATTATATCATTTAACTATTTATTAATTTATATACTAATATATAAGTTATTAAGTGTTTCTCAATATAATTATAATAATCTATAAATGATGATTATTTAAAACTCTTTAATTTAATTCATATTATATTTGAGTTCTATTGAAAGTTATCCTTTGATAAATTCTATTTTAATATAAATATAAATAATGTAATTAAGTGAATCTAAGGCAATTTTATTTAATAAATTGTTTGAAAGAGATGCTTGTATCAGATGTATATTGAGAGTGTTCAAAATTACAGAGATTAGTACATATAGAGAGACTTAATAATTCATTTAATTGTTGTTTGATGTAGGAAAATTGATTGGAAATGAAAATGTAAATAATAGTTTAAAATATAAAAGAAATTAGTAGAGGAGTATGATTTCTTATACTATAAAAGAAAAAGGGAAATTATAGATTCTGATGTATAACCTTAAACATGTCATTCTTCTTTAAAAGATTAATTTATTAAAAATCCTTTTCACACCTTTGATAAAATTAATAAATGTTTAATATGTCATGGAATATTATAATGTTTGGATGATTAAAAATTCATTTCAATATTAGTTGATGAAATATAACAAAAGTAATATTAATTTGAAGCATTTAAATTTTAAGTGAAAACACCAATAGGATGTTAAATTAGATAATTAATAATAGTAAATCAATGTATTTCAGAAATTGGTTAGATTGATCCATTATATGAATATATTAGAACTCCAAATTTTGCAACAGATATTAAAATTTGTGTTAAGTGGATAATGTGTAGTTTATTAAGTGAATTTCTTAAAGTACCTAGTGATCCAAATGATGATAGATTTTAAATTTGTTTAAATTTTGAAAATATAGGAGATGATGTTAAATAGTTTGAATAATTTAAATAACTAATTTCAAATATTGATGATCAAATATGGGAGGAGAAAATTACAAAGAAAGTATAATTATATATTTAAAATATAGTTAAAAATGAATGATCCTTAATTGAAAGCAGAAACTCATAATAGATTATTATAAAAGAAAAATCAATAAAATCAGCCATTTTTACCAACTTAAAATAATTTAGAGAAAATATCTAAATTAAATAATAATTAGATATCATAATATTAAATAGTTAATGTTAATTATCCAGTTAAATTAGAAGTGACAACTAGCTATTAGAATATTTTTATTAAAGGAAATTATATTAAATTAGCTAGATATATAAGTTAGACTCCATGGATAATAGATGGTAATAAAATTTATGAAGATTCAATTGAAGATTTGGTGAGTGCAGAAGCATGCAAGATATTTAAACCTTCAAGTGTAAAGTTTCATTCTGGTGGTAGAGAAGATATAGATGTAAGAATGTTAGGAAATGGTAGACCTTTTGCTATTGAATTAGTTGATCCTCATTAAGGATTACAAAATTAAACTTAAGAAATCCTTGATTAAATAGAATCTAAGATCAATTCATAAAATGTAGTTAAAGTAACTCCATTAGCATATACTGATACCAATATTTTTGGAGATTTAAAGAACTCTGAAACTAATAAAGTCAAAGCTTATTGTTGTATAGTTGAATGCAAAAATATAATCAATGAAGATTTAATTGAATAAGCAAATAACATCAAGGATTTAGTAATCAAATAGAAAACACCAATAAGAGTATTACATAGAAGAACTTTAATGGTAAGAGATAAGATCATTCATTCATTATTGGTTAAAAAAATTAATGAAAAGTGGTTATTAGTTTATGTATTAAGTAGTGCAGGTACTTATATTAAAGAGTTTATCCATTCAGATTTAGATAGAACTGTTCCAAATTTATGTACATTATTGTAAAATGAATGTGATATTTATTAATTGGATGTAATAAAATTGTATGAAAAAATAAATGAAGATGTTATTATTGATTTTAAGAATTTAGATAAAGAATGTGGATGTAAGATTTGAGTATTATTATTATTATAAAATTTATATTGTAATTTGATCAGAATTATGAAATATATTGGTGAATTAATTTAAACATAAAAGGAATCTGTAATTTTGAATAAAATTTATTAATTCAATACAAATGATATAATAAGAACGCAAGGATGATTTAAGACTTAAGATTCTTCTTTAATCTTCAATCAAAGTTAAAACTGACAATTTATGCAAATTCATTGACAAAATAGTTCCATTAAATGAAAATCAAGCTTTTATTTATTACGATGCCGGCTCTTATGAAATTTATGATGTAGAGTCACAATAAATTATTGGCAGAGGCTAAATCAGTAATGATGTCAAATACTTCTATCAAATATATCCATAGTAATTTTTAAACTCATTATTAGGACCTTGTGTTTTCTTGACCCTGAAGATATGAAAGTTAAGTTTTTGGATCTTAAAACTCATTAACTCAATCAATCATTTGCTTTTGCTGCTAGTAATGTAGTTAAATAAAATAGTGAAAAACAATAAAAAGAAACATTAGCAGATAGTAACTAATCAAATTATATTTAGAATTTCGCATTATGATTTTAGATAGAGAATCAGAAAAGATAAGATATTTCATTACTTAAGATTTAGAAAAATAATATTCAAATACTAATATAGGTCATTTTATTATTAGAGTCATCCCTCAAAATTATACTTCTGACACTTAATTTGATATGAATCCTGTATTTGAATATAACTATCCCAATAAAACAGGATAAACTGAATTATATAATTGGTAAGTGGATGAAGAAACATTTGCTGTCTTTGGATAAGATTTTGAACTAGGATAAGCAGAGGTTCTGTTAATCAAACCACACCTATTAGAAAAAGCATTCTACATTATTTAAATCAAAGATACTATTTCCTACACATTAATAAATATTACTAATTGGATACATCCTCATTTAATTGCTATTTGGTAAAACAATAACGAAGGAACTGCCAAGCCAACAATATTTACAATTGATATAAGATAATATTATGATGGATAAAATTGGTTACCTGAACCAGAATATAATCCAATTAAAGTATGCATAAATATTTAGTTTTAGGTTAGAGATGATTATGTTGGAGATGAACCTGTTACATTTGTAGATATCTATCAATTTTAATTGAATTCAACATATGTCTTATAATATAGACTTGTTGGAGTTGAACCAAGACTTTCATTAATTAATTATGCCAATATTGATAAGCCTGAATTGATTAATGAAGTAAAAATAAATGATAACTTTTTCCATGAATTACCATCAAATAAATCTTATTTATTGTAATATAATGATTTAGAGTAAAATATATATCATATTTAATTAGAATAAAAGATGGACTTATTGAATTTAGCATTGTATTTCCAGTTGATGCAAGACATTAATTATTATAAATTATTGAAAAAGCAAAATTAATTGATAAATATGGTATAAATAATGTTGAGGAACTATTTGAATTTTATTAATGAGAATTTATAAGTAAATGTTAAATAATACATACAAATTAATTATAATTTTATATAAATTTTATCATATATATATATATAGATTAATAATTCATAAAAAATATTTTCTTTTTGCTACTGTTTACTAAGTTTAGATTTATTTAATATTTGTTATGTCATTATTTTTGAATAATTCTGCATCTGAAGGTCTATTAGTACTTATTTTATTATGATCATTTATCACAGATCCTTATGAATTCTAAAATTTATCTTATTAAGATCGATTGCTTGATTATTTGAAATATTTTTCAATTTATTCAATAGATCCACTTAACTATGAGATTACTACATCTACCTTGAAAGATGGTTTTTCATTAGAAATTTTTTATGTTAAATGAAATAGCAACCTATCAAGCTTTTCATAAATCTTATGTAATTCAACTAATCTTTTTTCTTCCAAAGCAATATTTGGAGATGTATTTTAGGATAATTCTAATTTCTCATTCATATCCTTTATTGTTCTATTTATATAATAATATAAAATTACTTTTCATAATATTCTATATCTGCTTAGAATTTAATTTCTAAGGCATGATATTTACCACTTAATTCTTATCTTTCTTACAAGAGCAATGATAATTCATTATTATCAAATTTTAATTACTAAATAGTTTATTCTGATTCATATTTAACTTATTATAAAATATCAAGTTCTTCTAATATTTATTATCTTTCATTTTAAAGTTCATTATTAGTTTATTTTAATTATTGAATTTCTTATAAAAAGATTTCAATTTATTAAGATGCTTCTTAAAATTCTTTATTTCTTTACTAATATTCTTTTTATAATATTTCATATTTTTATTAAAATTATTAATGTTTTTCATTCAAAGCCCCAAATTATTAATGTACTTAAACTAATTAATTAAATTCTTTTGACATTTCTTCATTTTATTTTAATATATTCTCTAATTCTTATTATTATTTTTTAATTAACTATTCTTTTTCATTCATCATTCTATCAGCTTCACAAATTTATCTTCCTGTCTTTGTCATATTACTTTCAATTTCATAATTTAATTATTCTAAGTTTTCAATTCTACTTTATTATTCTTCAGTTTATCTAATATTATATATATTTTATACTTTTTAAGTTAGGACATTTAATAAACACTTTAATTAAATTATCTACTCAATTCTCTATTTGCTTATTCACATTCTAATAATTTATTATTGGCTTCAGTCAATTATAATTAGAAACTCATAATTTCTTTTTATTTATCAGAAATATTCTTTTGTAATTGCTTAAATAATATAAAATAATTTATACTTTTTTTGAATTCTCTGCAGTAACAACTTCATTCTTTTTTAATTATAATTCTTCTTCTAATTAACCAAGTTTCTCTTAAATTTATATCATTTTTTTTATTTATTCATTTGATGTTTCTGATTATTTCTTTCTTTCTTAATTTTCAAATTTCAATTTTTCTACTTATTATTACAATTATTCAATTTATTCCTTTTGTTATTCTATATGATCAATTAAAGCATCTTTCTCTTGTTCTTATTATTAAATAGTCTAATTTGCATGAGTTATATTCTTCATAGCCTCTTACATTGATTATGATAATTCTTCATTCTATTATTATAATTCATTATCATGTTTTTTCATTAACTCATTTATTTAATTAGATTATTTAAGTTAATTTTCTAAATGTTATATAATTTAATCTCTCTATTTAAATTCATTCTAAATAGTTTACATCTACACTCTATTATGTTATAATTCTAAATAGATATCAATAGCATTCTCATTTCTTTTTTTGTTTTTTGAATTTGTAATAAACACTCCTTAATTATATAATTTTTTCTCTAATTCCATTTTTATAATATGATTATAAATTCTTAATTATTCTGAATTTAATCTTTCCTGCATTAATTATTATTCTAATTCTATCACTGTACATTAAGATTATGATTATTATTATTATTATTATTATTATTACTATGAAAGTTAAGACATCTAAGATTATTAAGATTGTTAAACAAATTAAGGCAATTTTGATTCTTAAACTGGTGTTTTAATAGGACTTTAAGGTTATATTTATTATTTTTTTGTACTGTCTGGCCTTATTATCTATACAACTTTTGGCATATTTTAATTACTAACTTACTATTTAGGTTGTAGAACTTGATTTTATTATTATTCCTATTCATTATTCACTAGAATTAATGGTCCTTTTTAGAAATTAGGAGAACTTACTGATTGAAATATACGATTTGTATCTTAAGATGCTAAAGAAGATTTGAATTTATTATCTTACATGCACTGTAAACAAGAGATTCTTAAGTGAATCTTTATTGTTATTACTATAGTTGTTGTTGATTTGGTTTAGATGGTGTTGGCTACTCTCTATCAGAATGTTCAGATGGCTAATATTCATAACCTTCATTCTCAAAATTGATTTAAGACATTAAATTTATTTATTAATAATTTAAGGTTTCCCTTAACGATCTTTTTATTTGTAAAAATATATAGATTCTCATTCATCATAAATGATATGAATCTCTCCTGAACCTCCACAATCTGCAGATGCCACAACAAAGACCATATTAGTCCAACAATCAATTTATAATTCAGCTTAAACAGGTTGATTATATGCTTTATTTTTCACTAATTAGATTAATCCAGTGGCAGGATTAACTGTTAAAGTAAGTTAATCACCCCTATTAAAAAAGGGGAATTTGGAAGCCAAAAATAATTTGTGAGGTTTTGTAGGATCTAATTCAACAGATCCTGTTTCACATACTCCTATTTAAAATGTTTATAATATTTATTGTTAAATACTAAATGTTATTGATTTTGGTGGTTTAAGAGGTCCTTCTTATAAACGAGGTCCTATCAAAGCTAATCTGGTTTTATTAGTTTTATTGCCTGTATTTGGAGGTATAAGTAATCTAGTTGGACTGATTAATTTGAATTAAGAATGCACTTATTTAAATGTAAATGGATTGAGAAATGTCTTAGATAATTGACTACTAAAGGTAGATAAAAATAACTATCTTTGACTTGGACTAACATTCATTGCTGGAGATGCTAAAATTGATTAAGTCCCCATAAAAGGTTCAGCATTAGATAGTTTACGAGACATTGAAATATTTTACATGTTTTAATTGAATTCATCCATTTATTATTGTATCTATGAAGTCATATCTTAGAGTGTTTCATCTAACATACTTAGTCTCTTTTCTAATCTTTAATTAAAAATTAAGTGTTCTTTTTAACTGCATGTTGATAGCAATTCATCATTTTACAATAATAAAAGAAGTGAAGATTTGAGATTATCAGATAATTATATTTACCTATCCATTTGATTCACATCTTTTATTTTTGTCTCTATTTTGATATCACTTGTAAGATGTCTAATTAATCTTTCAATTTCATTCAATTTCTAGAAATAATTCTTTTATAAATTCTATGTTTTTTAATCTCTTTCATTAATTTGAGTCTCCAATTATTGTAACAGATTATTGAAAATATCTGTAAATTATTGTAATTTATCTTTTATTTACTGAGTTTTTTGTTAAGGTTATTTCCATTCAAACATAATGAAATTTGTTAATAAATCTGAAGCACGCTTTATAGACATCATTTATAGATGACTATCAATCTCTATACATTAAGTGCAAATAAATGAATCACGGAAATTGCATTTCAATTTAATCATTTTTGCCTTCTCTAATGGATGGCGATGGCATCGTTATTATTCAATAAATTATAAAACATATTCATTCAACGATTCCATTTATTTTTATTATTTATATTTCTATACAAAGAATTATTTTATATATTGTTAATATATACATACATAAATTATTTATTATATTTGACTTTTTTAACTAACTATTGAATTTATCATCCTGTATAGAAAAGCTTTATTTAATATAATATTCATTTATTGTTTTTTATAAATATTATATTTATTATATTTAACAAGTAGTCATCAATAATATATTCAAAAATATCAAGTAATACATTTATTATAATATGAATATAGAAATTAGGATTTAGCTTATATTTTGGTATTTAACAAACTATTAATAAAAATTAAAAGAAAATAACCTAACAAATATACATAGTAGGTTTCTCCTTCTCTATTATACTATAATTTATTAACTAGGTTAATTACTTTAAACAATATTTTGTTTTTTGTAAAATATTCAAATTATAACTTCATTAATGAAAGCGATTTAAAAATGTTCAGCTATTTTTGTTATCAATTGTAATACATTAATTTGATAATCTAATTTTAGAAGAATGAATAATCTGCATTATTCATTTTTTCTCTATTAATATTAAATTTTTTAATTGATAAGTTAATAATATTATTAATGATTATCCAATATAAGATTGTGGCTATATACTTATTCTTTGCTTTTGCATTACCAAATCTACTAATTGAAGATTTTAATTCATTATAATTTAGTTCTTTAGGCTGGAAATGTCTACCAAACAATTCTGACTGTATAATTTACCATTGCTCCTATGGTATGGATGTAGTTTAATTGAGTAAAGAATGTAATAAGATTGGAAAAACTATTTAAAATATTCCACCCCATTATAGTATTTAACTCTATGTTGATTTGATTGCTTATAAATCTATTGACTAGGATGAATATGCCTTAATTAGTGTAGATAACGATGATATTTACACATATTATAATTAATAAGCAGGATATTTATAATATGGCAATTTATGTTAATCAAACATTGACAAATTTGCAATGATTACTTCTATTACTGAGTTTCTTCATTCAAGCACTTAATTATCAATATAATTTTATACTAATTTAGATGAATTCTTCGATAATGAAGGTTATCCTTTCAGAAATTTATAAATTTATTACAAATAATGCCATTATACATGTAAAACATGTACAAATGAAGCTTATAATTCATGTCTAAGTTGTTTCACATTAAATTCATCACCTATCCTCTAATAATGTTAAACTTGTAAAGATTAATAGAATTTGAGATTTTTATTATAAATTCAAGGTTGTTTACAAGAATGTCCAGAGGGTTATAGTTATGATTAAGAACTTGTTTGTTATAGAAACTTAAGTAAAATTATAATTCTAAATAGTGTTATTAAATCTTTTAAATCTAAATTAAATTTAACCAATGATGTCATAAGAACTTCATCTAAACTCTAATTTAAATCTAGCTCCAAGATTGCCTTTAATATGCAGTGTTACTGAATAGTATTTACCATATTACCAAGATGAAATTTTATATACAATATTAAATTTACACAGTTCAGTTGTAAGCATTAGACTAAGAGCTACAATAAGCTTATTTGGTTCATGGATGAATGATAAAGATATCTAGATTAAAGTAAATGGATAAATAATAGATTCTATAAATTTTAATAATTTAATAGTTACAACATAAAATAGTGTAATATTATATTAAGATTTAACTATGTAAGTATGTTCAACTTAAAGTATGTATTAAATAAGAGTTGAAATTAATCAAATCATTAATTAATAGGTTTTAAATCTATCTTTTAATGGATATAATTTAGTTGATCAATTATTATCTTGGTCTATTTCAGATTTAGATATAGAATAGTAAGTTTGTTCTCTGAATTGCAATTCATGTTTTAATAGATTTAATTGCAATATTTGTGTTTTACCATTTTTATTATATAAAGGTTAATGTATTTAAAGTTGTCCATAATTTTCAAGGATGATTAATGCTTAATGTATTGATTTGGATGAAGAATTAATTGATATAGAAAATTCAAAAATAAAATATTTAGTTAAAGAGTTTTATGATGTTTAAACAACATAAGAGAGAATAAATGAGTTATTCTAATTGGTTGATAGTAGTATTCATAATTTTGGAAAAGGAAATAATATTTATTTTTCATATGTTCCAGATAAGAAAGTTTTTGGAGGAGCATTAATTTGGATAGATGCAAAATTTAAATTAGAATTAGAGATTCCAAAATATTATTATTAAGTGAGAATTAAATTTTAAGTTATTTTGGGAGATGATTTTAATCCTGGAAGTTTTGAATACAAAATTAATAATTAGAATAATATAATATTAACAAGATAAACATTGAATCCTATATAGGATACATAGATTTGGGGTGATAATATGCCAGATTATGTTCTTTAAGTTGATTAAACATTACATAATGATGAAATTAATAATAGATAATTGATAATATTATTAAATTGTAATAATCCAACTAAATAGATAAATTAATCATTTTGTGCTTTATAAAATTTATTTATTACAGCTGAATTTTATTGTACAAAAGAATATAGATTTGATATATTCAATTATTAGAATGGTTTGAATCCCTGTGTTCCAATATGTGGTGATAGATATGTAGTTGATTAAGAATAGTGTGATGATGGAAATCTTGATCCATTTGATGGATGTTTTAATTGTCAATATTAATGTTAAGAATTTTGTTTAAATTGTGTTTATGGCAAATGTTTATTAAACTAGTAAGGAGATGATGAAATTTAAATATTTTATGAAAATATAGAAGTAATTTAAGAAATTGTCATTTATAATGATAATTTTAGAATTAATTATAATGAGTGTTAAATAGAATGTTTAATTTGTAAAGATGGGAATTGTTATTAATGTATGGAAGGTTTTGTTCTTGATTTAATAACTTAGAATTGTTATTTATTAATTAAAGGTTGTAATAATGTACAATCATATACTAAAGAGATATAACATTATGCTAAAATGACTATTTGTGAAAGTGATATACTTAGTTATAATAAAGATCCAAATTATATATGTATTAATTGTTTAACTTTTGAATATTAGAGTTGTAATAATAAATGTTCATTTTGTTATTAAGGTAAGTGTTTAAAATGTTAATCAGGATATACTCTTTATGAAAATCTAGATTGTCTTTCTATTTGTGGTGATGGTCTTGTTAATAAAGATAAGTTAAGTATTGAAAATAATGAGGAATGTGATAATCCTGCAAATGAAGGATGTCAAAATTGTATGATTTAATCTGGTTATAAATGTATTTAAGAAGATTATTCATTTTGTTGGACTTGTGATTAGAAATGTTTGAAATGTATAAATGATAATAATCTATTATTATGTTAATAATGTATTGATGGTTATTATGCTGTAAATAGTTTTTGTTATATTTGTGATGATAATTGTGTAACATGTAGAGATGATTCATCTTTATGTACTTCATGTTATAGAGATGATTGTTAAAAATGTGAAGATATTCCTGGTTTATATACAGATCATTAAATTAAGAAATGTACACCTATATGTGGAGATGGTATCAAAATTTAATTTTATGAATAATGTGATGATGGTAATATAATTGATGGTGATGGTTGTGATTCAAATTGTAATTCTGAACTTGCATAAGATAAGTATTCTTTTGGAATTGAACGTCTAAATGGATTATCTTCCAATGATTTAAACATTATTTAAGATTCGAATATTCAATTGAATTGTTAGAATATGACAGTAGCTATTGAAGGATTCAATTAGAAAGAGTTCATCTATAATTCTACTACTAGTGATAGTGGATGTTAAATTAAATTTTAATTTTACAAATCAATTCGTAAAATCAATTTAATGCATATTTATATTGAATTTCAAGAAATTTATACAAGAATACTTAATGAATAATATTAATAATATAAGGAAATTTAAGTAAATCCAGTTGATTAAATAGTTTTAGATGATAGTCAATAATCTTAAGCTGATGCTATCTCTGATGCTTAATCTAGTTTATCTATATTAATTTGGATTCTTGCCCCACTTTCAATTTTATTTGGTTTATTTGATTATTTATGGGCTATACTAGAAATTCTTAGTTGGATTAATAATTTCTACTTTTTTAATGTTAATTTTCCATTCAATGTTTAAGTCTTATTCTTGAATAGTGATTGGTCATCTATAATAAGTTTTCCAACTTATTAAAATTTGAATTAACCAGGTTGTGACTATTATTTTGAATCACCTCCAAGATTTGCTGAAAAAGGAGTTGATCCACTATTTATTAATAATGCTTAAGTTCCAGTCTTCTTTATTTTTACCTCAATTTTATTATATTTAGTAAGTCTGTTATTTAAATAATTATTTAAAATAATAGATAAAGTTTTATAAAGAAAAATCCCTATACATGGTCATTCTACTTTTTCAATTTAAAAAAAACAAGATATTCAATTACATAATCAAGATCCATTTAAATATTAGATTAAATATAATAAGTATTCCTCATTTATTTTTTAAAAGATAAAAATAATATCAAATAGTTTTAAAAGTAGAATTAAATAAACAATAACCTTATGCTTATTAGATTTAACTATGGCTATAACACTTTAATTAATTTTTGCAAAACAATTTTAACATAGTATGATATTAATCAATAACATATTGGCATTATTATTTTGTCTCTTATTAATTTATTAATTAAGATAATCATATTATGTAATAGGTATTCATAAGAATCTAGCTGAATATCCTCTTTTTAAATAAAAATATGGATGCTATTATGAGAATATAAACATTGAAAATTCTTTTGGACTTAAATTTAATTTCTTTGGACTCATTCGAAAGATAACTTATATATTCTGTCTTGTTTATTTTTACTATAATCCACTTATATAGACTACACTCTGTTTTATATCATGCTCTTCTGGTGTTTTATTACTTCTTTATTCTAATCCATTTGAAAGTAAGGGACATTTTTATAAACAATTAATTTCAGAATCAGGATTGAGTCTGATAACTTTTGTTACTATTTTGCTTTCTATTGATGATTTATTATAAAAGATGGAAGAATCAACTAAAATATATTTAGGATGGATTATAATATCATTAGTTTTAATTTGTGTATTTTGTGAAATCATAACTTTAATTGTTGAAATTTTTAAATTACTTTATGAAATAATAATTAGTATGATTAAAATTCTACTAGAGAAACATAATATCATTAAAGAAATTAGTAACAAAAATGAAATCTAACAATGTAATTTACCTGAAATAGTAAATATAAATAGACTATCCTTCAAGTAGCATGGTTAACTTCATCAGTATATAAAATGAATTTGTGTATAGTATTAAATATTAATGTATCTTATCATTATATTGAAAAATAATAAGAATTCAATTATAATAATTTAAATATCAATTAATATATTTTCAACTTAATCTCTGTTTTAATTCTGATATCATTCTATCAATATAAGTAGCATCTGGATAACCATATTTACCTCCATTCAAACTTGTCTTATGATGCAAATCATTAAATTAGACTTAATACTTATGGCCATCCTATAATGATCTTCCAATTGTAAATACTAGACCTTTATCAAATGCTTTCTTTAATAAATCAGCTAATTCTTCTCCTTCTTTAGTTTTAGGTATATAACAAGTTTGTTTTGTACCTCTATAATGAATCCCATTTTACAATCCATTAGGTATTTCATAAATAATTTCTATAGTCTCAGTATTTTCATATCCTTGACAAGATTGTTTGATGATTTATTTGTTAAATGTACCAGGTGGTTAAGGAGGAACTCCATAAATTTTATCACAATCTGGACATTTCAATTACTTATTCTTAATCTTTTCAACTATACATTTAGCATGGAATATATGATTGCAAGGAGTCATAATTGATTTTTAATTTGCCTTTGTACATATTGAACATTTAGATTTATCATTAGTCTTTTGTATCTTAAAGTATTTTGCTAATACTATATCTGGCCTATTTTTTAGTTTATCTTCAAAATTTTTCATTCTTTATATCAACTAATCAAAGGATTACCCATTTAAAAACATTTTATTTATATTATAATTATTATTAATTATGTTAAAATTTTAAAGAATCTGTCTAAGATAATTTAGTTAAAAAAAAATATTAACTGATGAATAAATAAAAGAAGGTCTTAGACCCATTTTAATGAAAGAAGGCTACTTTGAAGATGAATAATACTTATATTACATTGATCGAGATAGTAGAATCAGAAAAGTACCTAGGGAGTACTAAAAGAGAGAGTATATAACATATATATATATTTTCTTAGTGGTGTTTATAGAATCAAATTTCTTGAACCTATATATAGATGGTGGATACGCAGATCGCCAGATACTTAATTTGCAATTATTCCTTATTTTTTATCTGCTGTCTTCTTTTCAATTATCTATAATGGAGCAAATTTCATTATTGAAAGAGAAGATCAAATTGCAGAAAAGGCAAAAGTAGATCCAAATTTCAATAAAGAAAACCTTGAAAAATGGAGAAATGAAAAGCAAAAGGAAAAATGAAATTAATAACCAATATTATTATTTATCAATATGGATAAGGATGTTTTTCATTAAATTTAACAACTCCTTCTATTTCTTTCATTACTCTAAGTACCATCTCTTCATGATTAGGATATGAAATAACCTGAACATTAACTGGTAATCCCTATGCATTTTACATATTTTGATTCATCATAATATACACTAAATCAATAGTCCTTTCCTTTCCTTAAATTTTTAAATCATCTCCTTCTTAAACTCTTGTTATTGGCATACTTCCTGCTGGAACATCAACTGTATTCCATATCCATGTATATAATCTATAAATATAAAGACTAAAGATTTACGCTGCTAAAGGTAATACTTTTGATGCTCCATGTTTAACAGCTGGACAACCAAATCCAGGTACAATTACAGCATCAATTTGATTTAATTTCAAATATTATAAAAATTAAAAGTTCATTCTTTTTTGTTTTCCTGAATTTACTAAAAATTGATAAACATCTAAACCATGAGTTTATTTACTCATTACATAAAGAGTTTTTTATCCAAATAACTTTAATAAAGGTGCTAAAATGTATGTTTATAAAAATATTGGAATTTTAGTTCCTCTCTCCATTAATTCATATTCTTCAATTATCTTTTCACCTTATAAATTATCTTCGAAAGATTTAAATCCTCCTTCTGCTGCTACTAACCTTGGAAAAGCAACAGCTAATTCATGTTCCAATTCTTTCTCTAAATTTATCTAAACTATTTCATGTCCTTTACTAATCAAAGCTTAACAAGCTTCTTTAACAGCTCTCTTCATACAATTAGGTGGTAATAAATCATTAAATTATTCTATATATCCAATTTTCAATTTTTCCTTATTGGAATTTTAAGTAAAATCAAGATCTTAAGGTTACCAATAAGGATCTTAAATTGAACATGGTAATTCAGAATAATTCTTAGAATTAAACAACACTCTCAACATTACTGTTATATCATCTACACTACGACCTAATGGACCTTTTGATGGTCTTATATTAATCATTCCACTAGCTGCTTTTTCAATAATCCCTTCTCCAACTTCAGTTTATCTACCAATACCTGGCTTAATTCCATAAATTCCACAAAAAGCAGCAGGTATCCTTATACTCCCACCAATATCAGATCCTATACCAATAACACTACATCGAGCAGCTTGTAAGGCAGCTTCTCCTCCTGAGGACCCACCTACTGCTCTATCCTTATTCCATGGATTAAGAGATCTTCCAAAAATTCTATTAATAGATTCAAAAGTCATAGCAAGTTAAGGTAAATTGCTTCTTACAAATATTATACCTCTAGCTTTCTTAATTAAAGAAACTTAGATTCCATCATAGGTAGCTGGTTTAAACAATCGAGATGCTAATCCATAAGTGTTATCAAATCCTTTATGAATGTAAGTGTCTTTAACTGAAACAGGTATTCCAAAAAGATCATATTTATAGATAATTTAAGGATCTTAAGAAATTTCTTAATCTTGTTTCCTAATTAAATCACTCTATAAACTTACTCAGCTTCTTATAAAGCTTCAACAAAGTTGATATCTGTTATTAGATTCAAATTGTCTGAGGTGGCTACAGACAATGTTCTATTAATAAAAACTAACAGCACTTATTTAACTGTTGCCTTTTTTTCAAACAAAATTTGTTTAACCTCTGCAATAGTGAAATTTAGTATTTCTTTTTCTAACTCTGCACTTAAACCTGTAGATAAGTTATATGATTATCTAAATTCTTAAATAGATCTTTTGAGTTCATCTCTTTTTCTTTCACATAATTTATCGTATTTTCTCTGGATTCTATATTTAGAAACAAAGTTTGTTAAACCATAAAGAGCAAAGATACTTATAGCACTAAAAAGAAATTTTTGTTCTTTGTTTGAGAACCAATTTTGTAATGTAAATTTCATTAATATATTTTTTTATTTTGGATAAGATATACTACATCAACATTCATATATGACGAGGTGAGTTTTTTTGTTTGAAATGAAATGTTTTAATGGAAATTTAATTAATATTTAGAATTGATAGTTTTTTCATACCTATTTATGTGATATATAAATCTATAAAAGCAGATTGATTTTTTTATTAAATAAAATAATGGATTAGATTGAATATGTTAATCTTGAAAAGAAGAAACCTTAGATTAAATAAAATAATTAAAGAGGAAGATAAAATAATAGACCTAACAAAAATGATAGAAATAGAAGAAATCAAAGAGATAATTAACCATTCAAAAATTAAAGAAAATAATAATGGAGAAATAAGGATTAATAAAGATAAAATGTAGATTAATTAATTTTATTATTAAGCGTCCATTTTAATCTGAGAATAGAATAGTGGCAACTGGTAAAAGAAGAAGACAATTAAAATAAAGAAAATTTACTTAAAGACCTAAAGCCCCTAGAAATATTCAACCAAATGTCATTATAAAAGGATTGGATCCTAAAATGACAGAAGCAGGTTTATAAGTATTGAAAATCATTAATTTTTATAGGAAGCTTGTAAAGATTTTGGTCCAATGAATATGTGCAAATTAGACAGAGATAATTTTGGACAAGTGAAGGTAATATAAATTATTAACTTTTGAACAGCCAGAAGGAATTGGCTTAATTAGGTTTACAAGAGTAGAAGATGCTAAGGCATGTGTAGAAAAGTTAGATGGTGTTACTGTGTAAATAATTGGGGAAAATAACAATGTAAATTATTGAAATACTATAATAGGAAAAAGTAATATCTGCAACCTTTGTTGGTGATTCAGAATAAGTTGACAATAATAGAAATAGAGGTGTATTGAACATTACTAAGAGACCTATAAAAAAAAGGTATTGTTTGAATAAATTTTAAATAGAGATTGGAGAAGATGAATTTGAATAAACACAAATATGTTATTTTAAACAATTCAAAAATCAATCATTTAGATTTATTAAAATAAGTCATAACATTTTGATAATAGATTATAGATAAATCCTGAAAAAATGTATAATTTAGGAAATAAATATACTCCAATTATCTGGGAGTTAGACTTATTTCTGTATATTTGATGGCCTATTCATAATCTAATCTTTCACATTGTCCTGGTTTCAAATACTTTTTCTTAATAGTAAATTATTAAATGGCCTAATTGAATGAATATTAGATTTTTTCAAATATTTATTTCAATTCATTTTCAATCTAATATATTTCATGTTTTGTAAAAAGTTCATATTTTCCAATCAATTATTTAAAAATACTCAAAACTATTGATGTTTCATTACTCTTTAACGCATCATATATAATATAATCTTCATTATTATCTTCAATCAAATATCTAGCTATCAATTTTCTTTGTTCATAACTTTATATTTTAAATGGTTCTTATAATAACATATCAAGCAATTCATGAATTTTTATTTAAGAATCAAATCTGCTAAAAAGATCATCAATATTTTAAAGAGATATTTCTCTACTTAATAATTTAAATCTAATTTCGAAACCAAATTTTTAAACATCATAAAAATTAACTCTAATTATCTTCCTTTCTTTTCTACTACTTGTTTATATATATTTATCTCTATCATCTAAATTTGAATCCATAATATCAATCATATCTAAATTTTTTATTTTAGTAATATCAATCTATTGTATATTTTACTTTTAATATTATTAATTTGATTATAAACAATTCTATTTATTTTATTAAGATTAATCTGACTCATTCAAAAAGTTTTTAATTGAATTTTATTATTTTTATTCCATTTCCATCAAAGAACTTCTTTGATCTTATTAATCTAATTGTATATACTCTATTCTATTCTTCTCCTCTTCATTCTAAATTAATTATTATTTTAAATCATCTATTTATTATTGTTTATTATTAATATCATCTTAATATTTCATTTATAATTATTATAATCTCTCTGATAAATGGGCGTTTTCAACAGATTCTTTAAATATTTATTGTCTAGATTTTGGTATATAACAATTATTCTTTATTAAATTTTCAAACTATTTAATTTAATTATTTAATTTTAAGATCTCTTTTTCCTTAATACTCAATTTAACCTTAAGAGATTCTATTTAAGATATATAAAAATATTTTTCTGTTTTATATTTTGCATTTTCACTTGTATATTCATGATTTTATATTAACAAATTTTAAATTGTCTTCTATTGTAATTAATATAGATCTTCAATGGTTAATTATTATTAGTCTCTTATTTATTCTTTCAATTAAATAATTTCTTATTTTTATATTAATACTAATTATTAATAATTATATAATTCAACCTAATTATAAATGTTAAATAGAAATACTTATAATTCTTAATATTTAGTTATAAGACTCATTTTTTTTAAAGCTTCTATTTCCTTTATTTTATCAAATAAATCTAATTCCAGTTTTTTTAGTTTTTCCTTAAGGATAGTTATAAATGTTTTATTATTATCTATTGTTCCTTATAACATTGAAAATCTCTAATATTAAAATAAATTATTACTTCAAGCTAAGAAAACTTATTTTTCTAAAGTTATAAATCCTAGTTCAAAGAAATCATTGAACTTTTTAATTAATTGTTCTAAAAGAAAAGTGTTTCACTTTCAGCTCTATTGTGCTTTTATAAATTATTATGTGATCTGTGATGCTTTAAGGATTAAATTTATTTAAAATTATCAAGATGTGATACTTTTGTATTAACACTCTATAATTTTTAAGACATTTTAATTATTATTTTGGATTATTGTTTGTAAATTTAATAATAATAAACAATAATCATTTAATTTATTCCATTACTTTAAGCACATTAACTTAATTTAATGTTTAATTTTGACCCTTCTTTGAATCTGCTAAACAGTATTTTATTATTAAATATCTAATAGGGTCCACTATTATTTCCATAATTAATGCAGGTAAATAGTATATAATGCATAATAAATTATTGATTTCAAACCAAATTATACCAAATATTAAAACAGCTAATATGGATAACCAAAATGTATAATTAATAATCTTTAATGTTAATACCCATGAACCTTTGCTAATTTTCTTGATCAAATGATAATCCAAAATTTTTAAAACTACATATCCTCCACATGTTGCTCCTATAATTATATAAAATGATAGATTTTATGTTTAAATTAATAATATTCCACAAATCTCAAAACAAGTTATTTATCTAAAATATATTTAAAAAGTCATAAAAGTTCTTGAAATTCCATCTTTATGAGTAAAAAATATCTTAGATATTTAATGGCATTTCTAATGTTATTACTATATCTTACATAGTAATCTTTTAATGGTTTAGGAATTTTATAAATAGAGTCTACAAGTAATTTTCCACTTATTTAGAGATTAGAAACTGAAGATATTCTAGGAGTACTTATTATTCTTTATCCTGGAGATTATGCTTAAACACTATTCCTTTCACTATTAACTACTGAAGGACGTGATCTTACACTTTTTCTATTAGTTGATTATAATGTTTCTATTCCATCATAAGTACCAATATTAAGTTTCTTTACTATTGTTTGTTGTGTTTAAAATTTCTTTAAGGATCTTGTAGGAGACTTTTTATCACTGGACCTCCTTTTTGGACTTACATTTTAATCTAAGTTAACTTGTTCATTTTCTTAATTAACTTATTGATTTTATTATCCTTAGTTATTGATTACAATATTGACTCCTTCATCACCCTTTCTAAATGCTTGCTGTTTCTATACATTTGGAACCATAATTGGATTAATTGTAAGGAGGCTGCATGAAGGAGTTATACTTTTTGTTTATGGACTTATAGATGCTAATTAATATGATTTATCTAGCAAATATCCTATAAATAAAATCAATAGAAATAGTAGAGTCCAAGCAGAAAAAAATACTATTATTAATAAGTTATTATTCATTAATAAAATTATTTAAATAGAGGATTCAAATTAAGGAATTGTCATATTACAGTCTTGACTTATCCTATTATTCAAAATATTTTATGAGAATTCATATTAGATCTTATATAAAAAAGTGCAATTTAATAGTATATTATAAATATATTATTTAATGTAATAAATTCAAAATTTAAACTTTGATGACATCAATTATAATATCATAATTAAATTACTAAAAGAGATCAAAAATGTATTTATTAATCTATATTATTAAGATATTTTTAAATATCAAATATGATAATAAATATCTATTAATACTTTTATTATTCTATATTTTATTATGATTTTTAGATAAATATTTTTATTTTGAGAACTTATATTATGATAATATTGTATTTATCTTAAATTCCTACATAGTAATTAAAAAATTTAATATTATTGTAATTGAATCTTATTCTATAAATGTACTTTTGTATAAGAATTATATTATTAAGATCCAATATTTTATTGATTGATTATAAATAATCAATGTCATTTTATTTCATTATGATATTAATATAATAATATTTATTTACTAATTGATAGACTATTCATTAGAGAATGAAATTAATAAATAATATTATCTATTATTATTCCAAAAATAAAGTATTTTTATAGAAGATTTGAACTTTTATGAGATTGTTTATAAATTTAATTATAAAAATTTAGATAAATAACATAAATGATGAGAAATAGATGTAATAAACATAAACAACAAATAATACAATTTATTTGTCTATAAGAAGATTGTCAAACTAATAAATTAGGATGTATAAGTTGTTTCCCAGATCATGATGGTCATACCAAATAAAATATGGAAATTTAGGATTTCATTGAAAAAATATAACAAAAAGATAAAGATCTTGAATTAAAGTATCTATAACTAATAAATTAAAATTCAGTAAAAAAGAATAAAGAATAAATAATCAGATCTATTTAATAATAATTCAAAGCAATTTAAAGTAGAGCATTTAGTTTTATTGATCGTCACTGTGAAGCTTTAGTTAATAATGTTTAAAATAAGAATCTCAATGATTCAAGTTCATAATTAAAAGTTAAAGCTTATCATGATGAACTTGAAAGAATAAAAAATAGATCAACATATACGTTAGAGAATAAAGTATTTTAAATTATGAAATAAAATAGGAAATTGAATTCTTGATTAACTTTGTTTTAACTAATGATTATTAAGAAATGATTGCCAATGCTATGTAAATCAAAGATAAGAATATTTAAGAATTCACTTATGATATTAATTAAGTGATTAATTCAATAGATGATTAATTATCTGAACTTTACAATTAATTAGATTCACAATTATCATCTTAATAAATTGCTACTTCTCCATCATTTGATTAAAAAAATAAATACTTTCAACACAATTATTCATTTACTCTTGGAATCTTACCTAAAAGCCCAAATCCAAATTCAACATAAGGTAAGTCAAAATCTCCTTTAAGATTAACATCTACAAATTAATCAAGAATAAAGACTCCTGAATCAAATAAAAAATAATTACCTTAAATTGGATCAAATAGTAAAATTTAAATATCTAAATTTCTTGTGACTTCTCCTCCTCTTAAAGAAGAGGATGACTTTATTACTAAAAACAAAAATCTAGAATCATTAATTACAAATGTATTAATGATTCATCTACCAGCTAAATATTTAAATGATCACTTACAATTTTTAAAAACTAATTATGCTGAATTCTAAGATTATAATGTAATTACATAACAGGAAAAAATTTAATTAATTGAAGACCTGAACTCTTAATTACTATATTTATTATGGGATAATTTAATGATAGAATGGTTAAAGCCTTCTTTCAATTTTAATATATTATAAATCAAAGTTTATGAAATTGAAAATAACTTTAGTTCATTTCTAGAATTATTTGATAAGTAATTAAAAATGTATGAATTTGTTGCTTATTTAATCAAATAAAAAGTTAATAAACCAAAAATTGATTATTAGACATGGTTCATTATAGCAAATAAAGCAACAAATTCATTTAAAATGTATAATATTAAATCAAATGGAAAAAAAGTCAATAAAGAATTAACTATTGAAGATTAATCATTCTCTTGTATTGATCAATTAAAATCTGCTAATGTCTATGCATAATTTCCAAAAGTCCTTTAAGATCATCTAAATGGAAGTTTTACAATTGAGAAAGATCTCAAAATTATTATCAAAGGAATCATAGATCCTAATTTCTAAACATAACTTTTAGCTGAAAGATTATAAGTAATAATTTGACTAAAAACAATTTAGATTTTATTAAATTTATTTATGAATCCTTAAGTTGTTGCTAATCCTACATTTTAGAATATTGAAAAACACTTTGATTAAGTTTTGATAAATTTCAAGTATTTTATTAACTACATTAATCTATCATTAAAAGATACACTGTAAAACTGATTTTATGTTTATAATATACTTTAATATTATATAATAAAATATTAATATAAGTCATTTCATAAATTTATATTTTTAATCATTAACAAATTATATTTCCCCTTCTAAAGCTATACTCAATTCTTAGTTTTCTGAAGCAAATTTACTTTTTTAACTTTGGAAACTAATTGATCTTGCTTTAAATTAAGGAGTTGTTAATAATTCAATAGAATTCCAATCATATATATAATCTTCAGTAATATTCTATTTTATTAAGACTTCTCTTAATTAATTAATTAGTTTGTTATGATCGGGTAAATCATTATTCTAATTTTATTCAACAAATTAAAATATATTATATATTGGAAGCTGTATAGTTGATTTAGCATCTATAAATTCTTATTTCATTTACATTATTCGAGATTCTCTACCATCTATATATTTTTACCATGGTAATTAACCTACTTATTGATTAAATATTTACCTTTCATTAATTCAACTAAGCAATAACCTGCCATTTCTATATCATCTATGAAACGATATTCTTAACGTCTGTGCACTATACGAGGATCATATAAAATTGTGCCATCAACATATTTATCAGGTAAAGGATCATTTTGAAATAGCGAAATCCCAAAATCTATTAGATATATAGTTGAATCTTAATCATACATTGTGAATACCAGAATTTTTAGTCATCAAATTTTATGGTTTTATATCTCTATGACGAATACCATTTTTATGAATTTAACTTAAAACTTGAATTATTTTAATAGCAATCAAGATCGTTGTTTTTATTGAAAAACATTTTTATTTGGATGAAATAGTTTGCATATCTTCATTTAAGAACTCCATTATAATGTAATAAGTATTATTTAACTACCCAAAATTATAGACTTAAGGAACTCCTTAACAGTTTTATAATTAATTCAAAATCCTATATTCCTTTTCCATATTTTCTTTTGAGTACTTGATAGCTACAGGCTTATTTGTTTTTATTTCAATCGCTTTATAAACACACCCAAATCCTCCAACAGATAATTCATTTAATAATTTATAGCCATCAACAGGGTATATAACAGGTTAGTTTAAAGCTTGTGCTGTTTTTTTTTCTCTAGGTTTTAAAGCTGAAGCAGATTATTATTTAATTAGTTTCATTTACATTAAAAATATTTAAAGCATTTGCTTATACACTCTGCCATAAATAGTCACTATAATCTTTGGTTCAGTTAAAACTTCCATAATATTCTTTTATTGATCTTCCTTAAGAAAAATATAACCACTAATCTTTCTTTTCAGTCACAAAAGTACGAAAATTAATGATAATTAACTTTTTGATGAATACTATAAAATTTGAATCTAAATTATTGTATTAATATATTCATAATAGATAATAACGTACTAATTTATTAGTTCTGTTATTAAGGCAAATTTACTATAAATTAATACTGTATATTAAATTAGAAGCTAAATAAATAAGCATAGATAATTTAACTATAAATATTTAACATATATATATATACTATTAAAATTGAGTATTATTAATTATATTTATATAATAATTATGTATGAAATTCTTAAGATTGTAGATAACTCTATATCATTAGTTTCATTAACCTTTCAATCTTAATCTTTTTATATTTATAATTATGTAAATTGGAATTATAATATTTATATATTCATGATATAAAATGAATAGAATTGGTATTACTTGTAATAATAATATCCTTAATAAGATGATCCTTATGAATTTTATAAATTACATATCTAAAATGATTTGGCTAATTTTTATTATAAAATTTAAGAAAAAATTACATCAATATTATAGGGATACATTTACTTCATTTAATGCTATATTCAGTATTGGTTGTTCTTTTATTATTGGTTTTTTTTTGAGTAAAGATTTCTATATAATTAACATATTATTGATAAGTTTAACAATACATAATAAATATTTTAGAACTCATATAAAATTTAAATTAAGAGTGACTTTATATCAAAATTAAACTAATTATTTGGGTTGCATCTAGAATTATGGATTCTACTTTAATTTATTTTGTATAAGAACGCTAATAATTTCAATACTTTTAGTCAATCAAGACATAAGTTATTCTTATTTCTACATAATATATTGAAAATTCAATAATGATAGGTTTATCTTTTATTTAAATTGCTTAAGTTGATAAACTAAGTTAAAAAATATTTATGTTCTGTTTGAAATTAGATCAAATAGAAGATAATTACAAGATATCTCAGGCAGATTTAGAATTATGTAAAAGGATTTAAAGGGTTTTTTAAATATCAAAATATTAGATTTAATCAATATTAATAAAAACTAAAATTTTCATATATAATTATGGTTTATATATAAAAACAATTACAATAAATATGTTTATTTTGATTACTTTAATCATTAATTTTTGTTTAAATTATTTTACCATTTTTTACAAATAAAATTAAAAAAATATATCTAAACTTAAATGTAAGACAACTCAGAAGATTTTAAGAGGGAATATTATAAAAAAAATCAAGATTAAAAATTCATATGAATTAATCGAATAAATTGGTCTAGTAATTTAATTATTTATTCTATTAGTAATTTATTATTTTGAACTTTTTAAAATACTTCTCTTTTAAATTTTGAATGTATTCATTTATTAATAGTTATACACATATTACTAGTATTCTAAGTGATAGAACAATGAAAACATGTGCAGTCATAACATCTAGACGAACTCTTGAAGAGAATAAGGATTATAAATAACATAATATATATATGCAAAAATATTGAAGCCATATTGACATGGAAATATTAAAAGCATTATAAATAATAAAAAAATTAGGGATTTCAATCGTAGGTTTAACAATTTGAATAATTCCAGTTTAAAATTTAATCGAACTTTTATTAAATGGATATTTAATATTTATTATATTAATTCTTCTTTCTCCTCAGTTTTCACTTACATCATCAAAACGAATGTCATCTCAAATTACAAAAAAGCCATCTTTAAAGCTCTAATTAAACAAGAAGACATTAGATACTTTGGCAAAGGAGAAAGCTAATGTTCCTCCTAGCTCCAAATGCTCTTAGAAGACAGTGTCATCTATAAATGTAAATATAAACCACTATAACTCATATAGACTACCAGTTGTACATCATCATCTTCTAAATAAAACTACCCATATAAGGAATCAAAGTCTAATGCCTCCAAAAATTCAGAAGAACATTCATAATTAATTCAATATTTGCTCTAAGAAAATATTGAATTATAGAAACAGAACCAAGACAAGGATTAATTGATTAATTTCTTAAGTAATAAACACTCACCTAAGAGAAGATCAATATTAAACACAGAAAGAAGCACTGAAATCAAATCTTCCAAACTTCCTTAGATTTAATAAGCTAAAAGTTCTCTAGAGATAGATAAGTAATTATTTCTCTTAATTCAAACTTAGTTTAAACGATGGAGTCTGTACACCATTCTGTTTTACATTTTGTCAATAAGATACTTAAAGTTAATAAAGTGTAAGAAATAAAAAGTTGCCTAAAGAATTTTAAATTGTACCAAACAAAAAAAGATATTTTGTATGATTATAGAAAGTTAAATAATGATGATATTATATTTCAATATTTGTGTATATATTCAAAAAAATCGATAAAATTAGAATCATCTTCATTTTCATTTCTCTTAAGAAAATGTAGATTAAAAACAGCGTTTTTTAACATCATTTTTACATCATACATTCTATATTTATAACTTCATATAAACTAAAATAATTGTCCAATTGTTTTCTTAATAATTAATAAATTACCTTCATATATGTAAATCATTTTATTTAACTCCATTAAGATCATAATCATCAGTTAAATAACCTTTTTACCTTTTTTTATTATTATATATCATTTAACTATTGAAAACTATTTCAATTTTCTATATTAAACTTTATAAAATCATTCCTTAAAATTATTATATTGTATTTGTTTTATGATGAATGATATATTTATACTATATTTACCAATAGCAATTTATATAAAATGATTATAGATTTTGTTTTATTAAGTCTCAAATAATACATAATGAAAATTTGTTTTATTTGATTATAAGAAACTAAATTATAGAATAAGATAATCATATTATAAAATATTACGTAATGATATTAATTATCCTATTTAATCAAATTCTATATTTTTTATTTATTACATCTAATTAACAAAAATATAGGCATAAACAAGATGTAAGTATAAAGATCAATAAATAATTGTTCTTGAACTCTATAAAAAAAATATAAAAATTAATACGATATTTTTATTTATTTAATAAACAAACAATTTCAACTTTATGTTAAGGTTTTTGGAGTTGTTCCAATGTCCATAATAATTTCTCTATGGGTGGTCCAAGTTTAGATTATAGCTTCTGGTGAACCGATACCAGTACCTCTTGGATCTCCACAAGGTCCAAACCAGTGATTTTAAGGAGCCCCTGTAGTTCTGGCTTTGATACCTGCGTATGTTACTCCATTAATTGTATTAGCTAATATTTTTTAAACAAATCTAATATCGTTAGAAACTACTCCTGCTGTCAGATTATGAGGTATATTTTCAAGTATTTCAATAACATGATCTTCATTTTCATACTCAGTAACAACTTAAAATGGTCCAAATACTTCTGTTGTAACTAACTCAAAATTCTCTTTGATTTATTATAAAGGAATATAAACAGCTGTAGGTAGGTAAGAACCGTAGCATTCTGGTATCTTATGTTATTCACTAATAGGCTTTCCACCAAAAAGAACTTTAGCACCTTAAATAGCTATCAATTTATCAAGATGAGCTTAAATTCTTTGATTATTCCATGTGAGAATAGGACAAATAGTTAAATCTTTTAGATTTCTCTATTCTGCTAATAATTTAATTTTATCAAGAATTCCTGCTTGAACCCTAAAATTGTGATATAGAAATACCAATTTTTATGTGCAAATAATATTGATTAAGCACTACATTTCTGACCACTGAATGCATAAGCATCTTAGTCACTTTGATAAGCAACATAATCAAATTCAATAACATCTGGTCCAAGTATTTTCCAATCAAAACCAGCATCTTCAATTTTAATTTTTCCATTCATAACATTACACAATCTTTCAGCAATACCAGAGGAACCTGTAAATTACAATAATCTAAAATTAGTTTTTTTGAGTAATGATTCCATTTAGGGACCATCACAATGAATCAAATCACAATCTGTTGGAGGTAATCCAGCTAAATGAAGCAATCTAAGAAACATCTCCAAAACAACTGATACTCTTTAATCTCCTTTAATTGTTAGTCTATTTCCTGTAAGTAAAGCTCCCATCATTTAGAGAGCAGGTATTTCAAGAGGGAAATTAAAAGGTGCAATAATAGCAACAGGTCCATATGGGAATCTATATCCACTTGATTGTTATCCTTGTACGTCACCACTTACATTAAAGGATCTGGTTAAAAAACGACATTAATCTCCAGAGAAATTCATTAAAAATCTTTGAGTGACTTTAACTTCTCCTCTTGCTTAGATTTCACTTTTTGGAGCAACTCTTTGTATCAAATGGACAAAATAATCTTCAACTTGAGGTAATCCTAAAAGGAATGAAGCTCTATGAAAGATTTCTCCATATAGATTATATCTTTCAGGATTTTTGAGTGGATTATGAAGACCAGTTTTAGGACATTATTTGGCAGCATCACTATATTCATTAATTTCTTCTTCAGTCTGAAATATTAATAATAATGAAATACTAAATTGTTTGGAACAAGAATGAACTTATCACCATTAAGAGGATCTAATATTTCTAGATAATTTGAAGCAAATTTCCAAATTCCATTAACTAAATATATATATAAAATTTTAACTAAAGTTCATGGCTCTATATGGATTATTCTCACTTAAGTCTGTCAAATTAAGAGGGAATGTATTTTGTATAAAATTTGGATTTGATATTTTTTCTTGGATTTTTGTATTCATTAATTAAATGAGTTAAGAAATTCAATAATTTAGAGCAACTTTACCTATAAATGAATTCAAATAAGAAATTTTGAAATAAATTTAAGAAAATACCTTTATTATAATAACTGGTGATACAGGTTCAGGTAAATCAACATAATTGCCTCAATATCTTTTGGATGATGAAGAATTTAGATTGAACATTTGTTAGAAAAGAAAAAAGTTCTTAGAGGAAAGAGTAGAGGAGAAAGAACAACCTAAAGTATAGGGATTCTTGTCGAAGAAGTTAAAGCCTTTTGTACCAGAGGATAGAATAAATTCAACTGATTTAAAGATAGTAGTAACATAACCAAGAAGAATGGCTGCTATATCAATGGCTAAAAGAGTAGCATTTGAGAGAAATGTATAATAATATCATATAATCAATTAATAGCAAAACTTAGGGATTGAAGTAGGATATTCAATAAGGTTTGACAATTCCACAACTAATACAACTTAATTAAGATATGTGACAGATGGTATATTGGTTAGAGAATGTTTGTAAGATAAAGATTTAACAGGATATGATGTAGTAATTCTAGATGAAGCTCATGAGAGATCTCTTTATACAGATGTTCTATTTGCATTAGTAAAGACAGCAGCAAAGAGAAGAAAAGGAAGTTTAAAAGTTATTATAACATCTGCAACATTAAATATTAATATATTTAAAAACTATTTTGAAGGATGTCCATATGTTAAAGTTCATGGTAAATCATTTCCTGTTGAAGTTAAATATGCTGAACATAATATAACCTAATAAAAAAGAAATCATGATGCTGTGAATGCTGCCATTAGAATGCATTTACATGAAGGTCCAGGTGATATCTTAGTATTTTTACCAGGAAGTGAGGATTGTGAAGTTTGTAGAAAATTCTGTTATGAGAGATTAGCAGAAGTATTAAACTCAGGAGTTGAGGTTCCTAGTGTTTTATTATACACATTATATGGTAGTCAGACTTCTGAAGATCAAAGTTAAGTATTTTAAAGAGCAGATGAACATACTAGAAAAATTATATTTTGTACAAATATTGCAGAAACTTCTTTGACTATTGATAATATTGGATTTGTTGTAGATACTGGTTATGTCAAATAAAAAGTTTATAATCCAAGGACTGGCATGGACTCTCTTATAATTTAACCTATATCTAAAACTTAAGCAATTTAGAGGACAGGTAGAGCAGGTAGAACATAAGCTGGAAAATGTTATAGATTATTTTCTAAATAATTTTATGAATCATTATCAGAACATACAACTGCTGAAATTATGAGAGTTAATTTAGCATCTGTTATGTTACTACTTAAATCAATGGGGATAGATGATGTAGTGAGATTTGAATTTATGGAATAACCAACTCAAGAAGCTATTTTATAATCTTTAAGATAATTATATTTAATATAAGCAATTGATGAAGATGGATAAATTACTCCTATGGGTTATGAAATGTCTCGATATCCTTTGGAACCAAGTTATGCCAAAGCTTTGATAACTTCAAAAATGATGGAATGTTCAAATGAAATGAGTGCTATTGTGGCTATTTTATCAACAGAAAGCATTTGGTAAAGAATTACAAGAGTAGATGTAGATGGATATTAAAAATTATAAGAAATTTAATCATAACATGCTGATCCTGCTGGAGATCATTTAAGTTTATTGAAAATATTCTCAGAATGGAAATAAGCAACATTTAATGAACAATTTGCTAAGGATACTCTATTAAATTTAAGATCTTTAAAATAAGCAGACAATATTCGCTAATAGTTATAATAATTAGTTGAAGGTACCAGTAAAAAGAAATGTTCACAATTTTATGATCAAGATTATCTATATAAATTATTTAGAAAATAGAAGGATTCAAAAAAATGGAATATTAATGAAAGTATAAAATTAGCATTATGTTCTGGATTTTATTTTAATACTGCTCGTAAAATGCATAATGGTGAAGATACTTATTTGATGGTATATCCTGAAGGAACTGTTGTAGATACAGATCCTTAGAGTGTCTATACAGTAATTCAATAATATCCTGAGACTGTAATATTTACTGAATTGGGAGGTACATCTTAAGTAAGAGGAGTTATGAAATTAATTAGTGAAATCAATATAGAATGGGTTAAACCTTACTTTTCAAATATGGTGAAAGTATAAAAATGGTTATTAATTTTAGGTTGATTTATTCAAACTGGCTAGAATTGAATTTCAATAAAGAGGAAGAGATGCTGTTTAAGAAAGAAGATAAAAGAAAATCTAAGAATAAGAAAAGTAAAAAGATTTGGAATAAAAATAGAAATTAGAAAAACATTAATTATATAAGGCAAGATTTGAATAAAGAAAGAAGGTTAAAATGTGAATAGAATAATGTTATTTTTATAATAAATCATTCCTTATAGACTGATAATCTTTTTTAAATTGATCTTTTATTTTCATGATTATCATCTAATACTGAACCAATTCTGACACTACTTTTACGACGTAATTTACTAGCAATTGTTTCATCTAATTTCTCTTCTTCAATCTCTTCTTCAGCAAAGATATTTATGCCATTAAACCATTTTGAAGGAAGAGTTCTTACAAATATTGCTACTATCATGCCACCCAAAGCAAATATCCAACAAAATATATGTTACCATGCAGTCAAATCACAAACAACTGCAAATTTATCTCCAAAAAGAATCAATAAATATTAGACTCCTACTTCAATTAAATTTATTAACCAAAATAATGAATTATTAAATAATCCACTAAAAGGATTTAGAGATACTTCATCTAATTTTCTGCAACTGATGGAATTGCAAATTTACATCAATACAAATGTTTAAAAGAACATTGTTAATCTTTATATTGGTCTACCTTCATATTCCTCATCCAAAGATTCATCAAAATCAAAAACTGAGTTTGGAATAAATAAGATTAAACACAAAATAAGAATTTAATATATACTAGCTCCAATAACTGTTCTATACATAATAGAATTTACTATGCTTTCTCTTTTACCATAAGGTTTTCTATTTAAAAGTCTATCACTAGGAGGTTCAGTAGCTAAAGCTAAAGATGCAAAAGTATCCATAATTAAATTTACCCAAAGCATTTAAATACTTGTTAAAGGTGCTTCCTTTGTAACAGCTGCTCCTAATACACTCATAAATAATGCAACAACATTAACAGTTAATTAAAATTAGATAAATTTACGAATACAATTATAAATATTTCTTCCCCATTTACATGCTGTAATTATAGAACTAAAGTTATCATCTAATAAAATAATATCTGCAGCATCTTTACATACATCAGTACCTGTTATACCCATAGCAAATCCAACATCAGCTTTTCTTAATGCAGGTGCATCATTAGTTCCATCTCCAGTCACTGCAATTACATTATCTAATTATTTTAATCCTGTTGCTAATATAAATTTATCTTCAGGTGTTGCTCTTGCTAATACTTTTAAATGTACTGCAATTTCTTAAAATTTTAAAAGATTCTTAACTTCTTATACTTCAACTCCATCCTTAATCACTTTATTTAAACCTCCTGTTAATTATCTAAATTAAGATCCTTCCATTGCTTCATATTCATGTAATTCACTTTCTGGTCCTAAAATCTTGCAATCTCTTGCAATAGCTTTAGCTGTATTAATGTTATCACCTGTTACCATTCTAACTATGATTCCTGATCTATAACATTATTAAATAGCACTTGGAACATCTGGTCTAACAGGATCTTTAATACCAGCTATATTTATTAAAGTTAAATCATTCAAAAGATATTCTTCTGGAATAGAATCAAAATCATATTCAAGATGATAATTTAATATTTTGTATGCATTTCCTAATGTTCTAAGTGCTTAACTAGCATAATCTTCAATTATTGATAGCATATTTTTTGAATCCTAAGCTGTCAATTAGACTTCTTCTCCATTTGAGTTGATAAATTTAGTACATTTTTTTAATACCATTTCAGGAGCACCCTTACTAAACAAATATATCTTATTATTATGATTAACAATAGAAATCATCATTTTTCTTTTTGAATTTAAAGGAATTACTCTCAAAATATTATCAGATGGTCTATAACTTGATAATTAATAACCTAACATATCACAAAATTCTATCAAAGCACATTCAGTTTTATTTCCTATTTATTCAAATTTTCCATTAATGCCTTTTTTTGGATATGCACTTGAATTATAGAGATTGCTGGCTGCCAATAAATCTAAATAATCTTTTTCTAAATTTTTGATTTATGGTAATTAATAATCTTTATAATTGACACTTTAACAAAAAAATGAATTGACTTGCATTGTATTCAATGTTAGAGTACCAGTTTTATCACTACAAATATTATTGACTCCTCCCATTATTTCACATGATGCTAAAGTTTTAACTAAATTTTATTCATCTTTCATTTTATTCACAGAGAAGGCCAATGTAATAGTAACAGCTAAAGGTAATCCTTCTGGTACAGCTACAACAATAATAGTAACACCAATCATGAAAAATTTAAGTATTTTCTATAAACAATCAATATGCCAAAATTATTCCCAAAAAGTTAGATCATCATTTGTTCCATATTCAATGAATAGTCGAACTAATAGAATAATGAATGTTAATATTGCCACAACAACACCCACTTTACCTATTGTTTCTGCTACTGCTTCTAATTTCACTTATAAAGGAGTAGGTGTATTATCACTTTCACCTAATCTCTTCATTTCATTCTGCACTGTTTTATCACCCACTAAAAATAATTTAATTTTTTATCTCATTACCTTGCAAAACCAACATTACTCCTGTTCCTTCATTAACCTTTGTTCCTGACATTAAAAATGGAGATTTGCCTTTCTAATCCTTCAAACATACTTCAACCGATGCCTTTGACATTTCATCTGACTCCCCTGTCATTGCTGATTCATCTATCTTTACTTCACTACCACTTAAATATAATCCTAAAATCAAATCTAATACTTACCATCCACATTGAAAATATCTCCTAATTAAAATAACAAGACGTCACCAACAACAATATCCTTATTGTTTATTGTTATTATGCTTCCTCCTCTCTTTACTTAAACATGTCCCTCATCAAGCTTCGATTATAATTTAGCAAATTGTCTCTCTTTGGCATAATTGTTACCTGCTGTAATTCCGATGATCAAAAAGATTGCCAAAAATATTGTTAAGCTAACTTATCTAATTATAAATTTACCCTTCATACCATCCACCTTCACCTTCTATAATCCCCAATATTGTAGATACAATAGCTGCAACAATTAAGATTTACAACATTGTATCCCCCAAACACTCTACAATTAATTTCCATAAAGGTGTTAACTCTTTTACTATTGGTAAATTGGCTCCGTATCTATTTCTCAGTGTAATTGCTTATTCTTCATCTTGTACACCTTTCTATGCTATTCAAAATTAATAATACCTTCAAATCAACTTAAAATATTTTTGCCAATCCTTGTTCTCCACCTAATTATTAAACAAGTCCTAAAGAAACCCCTTCTCGGATATTGTCAAGTTTAAATAAATCTTTGAAGTCTCCATCCTCTCCTTATCGAACTAACTCAGAATCAGAATTCTTTTCAATGAGATTTACTCTGCTCATTTTTAATTATGAATTTTATTAGAACTAAATTATTTTATTAAACTTATCAATCAATCTTAAAATATGGATAGTGTATATAATAAACTTAATATATAATGATTCGAACTCAAAATTATAAAGATGTTTTAAGTAAATTAATCTTTATTAGAAAAATATAAAAAATAAAAGTTAATATTAAAGGATATATTTATTTTTCAATTAAATTGTTTTTATAATATGTTAACTTATGATTTATGAATAACTTACATATTATAATATTGATTTTAGTATTAGAAAAATGGAACAGATTTGATGTTAAAATTGAAATAAAAATTAATTAATTAATATCTTTTTATAAATATTATCATTCATTTATAATTAGATTATTATATATGATCAATGTAAAAACAATCTAACTTTACATCATTTTTATTATTTTTCTTAATAACAACTTTTTTATTTAATCATAATATATGTGTTATATTAGATATTATCTTAGTCTTACTAAAATCCATCACAAAAATTTTCATTAAAAATATATTCAATTTTTTTATCAATTAATAAGTTATATAATAACTATATATATATGACATAAAAGTAAATCGAATATAAATATTAAAGTACTAAATATTTATATTAATAAGTATTAATGCTAATATTGAATATCTCTAATACTTTTTAATTGCTTATCTAATAATTAATTATCCTTGATTCCATCTTCATTTAGTTTGATTTATCAGTTTATATTAATATCTATATTCTAAATTTTTTCTCTATCTTGTTAAATATAACGAGCTATTTAACATTAATTTAATAAATAAATGAACAGATAAAGTAATATAAAATCAGAATTAGATCAACTGACAAAACATGTAAATCATTTAAATAATTTTTTAATAGCATACATCTGTTGATAAATCAAAAGAGAGAAATCACACTCCAAAAGTTAAATGTTGTTCAAATAAATATTTATTGAATTCTTCTACAAAATAAAACCTCAACAGATCCTACAATAGCAACTAAAAAGTCCACTCTAAATTATAATCAAAAGCAACCTCTGACATCAAATAGAAATTATTAGATGAAAGTAAATATTCTATTATTATATTAAAATAATAGTTCTTAGAGGATCTCATTCATAATTCTCGTAAAGCTATCTAACAAGTATTATACAAGATAAAATTGTTAACAAACCCTAAAAATATCATACGACTGATGATACATCTAGTTTTACATTACCGGAAAAAGAATTTAATATTAAAACACCTTTTCTCTAGATTGACATCTTTACTGCTGAAGAATGCAAGAAACAATAGGATTCAATAACAATTACTAAATTTTAAGAACTATTGGAATAACTTGAATTAAAGGAAGTAGAATTGAAAGTCAATGTGTTTTCTAATCTCAAAACCTTATTCTTAATATTGGCTAAATAAATATAATAGAAATTAGCATCTTAGATGAATGAAATTACTAAATTGTAAAATTTTAACACTGAATTATAATAATAACAAAAAATCTTATAAGATAGGATCTAAGAATAGAAATAAATTACAATTAAAACAGAAGAGACCCTAAATTCTCTTCTATTTACACTTCGATATACTAATTTAAATAATCCATAAATAATTGAATAACATACTGATTAAGTTGAAACATAAAAGCATTAATCAGATAACAAGAACTTTGAAGAAAATATATCAATGATGTCAGAAGAATCAGCTCCATTTGGGAAATTTTATAATTACTATATTAAAAAATAATAGGATCCATAAAATAAAAGAGCATTAGGTTTAACTCTAAATTTGAACTCCTTAAAAAATCCATAAACAGCTCCAATAGGATATTAAGAAGAATTTATGGCTAATCTTAATGAATTTAGTGAAAGTTGGAGATAATAAGCAATTAAAGAATAGAGATTTTGAAATATATGCAATGATTTTCGTTAAATAAATTTTGCACAAATTTATTAATTAACATATTTCATTATAGGACTTAATTATTTAAAATTATTTCTGTTTAATCACTCTATTTTTCTTAGGATTCTTAGGCCAATTATTATTCACTACAATTTAATTCGATTCTATAAATGAATATTATAAGAAGTACATTGTATTTTTATTGTCCATTTAAATATTTATGTTTTTTTATGTAATTTCATTTGGTATAACTTCTGGTATGATATTAAGAACATTAATTTATGGATTTACTTTTTTGATATTAGGTTTTACTATGAATTCATAAGTTGTAATTCCTTTAATTGAAAGATAAATATGGAAAATGAATAATTAAAGGAGTAATATAGAAAAAATAAATGAATCCACAAGCATAATTATTGAGAGTGTGTATTTTATATCTAAATCATTTTCATCATAAAAATGCTTAAACTAATATGAAATTTGTTACAAACTTTTGAATTTCATTGTCTATTTATAGTTTTTCATATTCAGTATTATATAATATGATAATTCTGATATAAACAATCAATGTGTAAAAGAGTTGAAACATGGTTGATGTTATCATCATCATAAAAATTTTATAATTTAAAATCCCAACACAATTATTAACCCATTTACAATGATGATCAAAATCTTGACAACATCTAAAATAATAAATTAGAATAACCTATTACAATGTTTACAATGTTTTGTATTTTCTTTAACATAGGCTTCACAAATATCACAATATGAATCTAATTTGTAATTTTCATAATTGAAATGTTTTCTATATAAATGGATAATTATACCCATTTTTGCGATACTATATTTGCAATATCAAAAATTAATCAGTTGGACAACTAAGAGTAGTTTTAATACTAGAAAACAATGATAGTAAAGTTAAAAGTCCTAATAGTATATAATGTATAACCTAATTACCAATAATACACTTACTGATTCATCAAGTAAAGATATTAATAGAAAACAGTTTAAGATATTTGGAAAGTAAAGCAAGTAAGTTAGTGATTAATAGAGAGTTGGAGTTTAAGTGCAACCATGTCGAAGATAATTATTTTATTTCATTATAAAATAAATATAATTATTTTATATCAATTAATAATTCTAAAGGAATTGATAAGATAACTTAGAAACCTAATTCAAACTATTAAATTTCTAAAAGACTATAAGAGTAGAGATAAAATATATTACAATAGATCAACTTAATAGTCTAAATTATTTACTAGAATTATCTAATTACTTATAAATTCTATAATTTTAGTATCAAAAATATGTATATAACAAATACATGATTCCTTTTAAACCTTTCAATGTATTTTATTATAATACGTAATTGATTAAAAATTCTTCATACTCCATATAGAAATTTAAGTAATTTAAAAAATAATACCATGAAAAATGATGATAGTGCGTTCTATAGTGTCGTCTATCAAGATATCTATGATCCATACCCTTTATCAACTGATTTACCATCATCTGGAAATGAAGTCCCTTTTAAACAATTAAGGTTATCCTATGCTTTGAAATAATTAGTGGTGATGAAGCAATCGAGAAAAGTTACATGGAATCTAATTGTTAGTCATCTATATGGGCAAAAAGAGGATCTAAAGCATCCTTTATATTGACAAGCATAACTATTATGAAGAGCATGGTTGGAGTTGGAATTTTAGGAATTGTACTTTAATTTATTATAATAGCCAAATGTGATGAAAAATTTTGGTGTAATATTAACAATAGTTATAATGATGATTGTCTATTCTTTAGGTATGACAGCATCTAGAGTATTATTGAAATGTAAGAATTTAAGCAAAAAAAGTAATTATTCAACAATTGGATATTATATATTTCGTCACAGTTGGATCATATATACAGTTAATTTAATTATTACACTATCAAATATAACTACATGTTTAAGTGAATTGATGTAAATCAATATAAAATAAACTAGAATTTTTGGAGATGCCTCTTAATTGTTAATTAAATTTTATAAGGGAGATGATTATGAAGTTCCATTTTATTTATCAAGAACTTTTTTACTTTGTATTCTTGGACTTGTTCTTACACCTCTTTTAATTGTAAAATCAATAGAAAAACTAAGATTTGTCAGTTTAACTGCAATTCTTTCAATTAGTACTTTTACTGGTTTAGCATTTTATAATTTCTTTACTAAAGAAGGAACACCTGAAGGTATATTGATTTTTAGATATAGGATTTTCTTTATTGATTCCATAAACATTCAATTTTAAAAATGCTATGAGTGCACTTCCAACATTACTTTTAGCATATAATTGGCAATTCAATTTATTCCCTATCTTTAAAGGAATGGAGAATCCAACAGATATAAAGATGACTTATGCTATGTTTACTGGATATTCAATGGCTTCATTTTTATATCTATGTGTTGGTGTATTAGGATATGCCACTTATGGAAATGATGTATATATTTTATTATACTATTTAGATTTAAACTAATTATTTAAAGAGTATTAAAGCTTAAGAGGTTGGATCATTATTGTATGTTATTTTGAATATAACTTTTGTGGTATCAACAACATTAACGTTACCTGTATTATTTTTTGGGGGAAGAAATAATTTCATATAGATTTATAAGTAATTAACTTCAGAGAAAAAAACTGTTTAAGAAGTTAAGAGTTATAAATAATTTTTGGATGAAACCAATTCTAAAAGATAAGAGAAACTTATAGAAATTAAATTGAAAAAGAAATCATAAAAACTTAGATTTTATATATTAACACTTAGTTTATTCTTATTGTTAATGTGTGGAGCTATATTTTTAGATAATCTTGCTTTAGTTTTTAATATAAAAGGAGCAGTGTTTTGTAATTCAATTTAATTTGTATTGCCAAGTTTATTTTATATTAAATTGGTAGAGAAGGTTAAGAAATTTAGATTCAAAAGTAAATAGAAATAATATTTTTATTATGGTATAAAAATATTATTTGGAATGAGTTGGGTATTTTTGATTACTTGTGTTATATGTGGAACAATGGCAGCAGGTCATTGATTTATTTAATTTTAATTATTTAAATTAAAAATTTTATATTATTAAGTAAACCATATTATAATTGCTCTTTTTTTGAGTGATAAGTTTGTTATCAAATCAATAATTATTGGAAAAATTAAATAATTAATAATTGTATTATTTTAGTTTAATAATTAAAACATTACTGTTATCAATGAGTGATCAACATTAGTTCTATTATAATTAGGATGACAATTCTGATGATTTATTGTTATCATAATTTTCTCATGAATCCTAATTTAAAAGCTAAGAATCCTTATAATAAAAAACAAAAAGATAAAGTTAATAAGCATAGTAAGCATAATAAAATCAAATGATTCAAGATCAAAATTTCAATACCTATAAAATTCAAAATTAACACTACCCATATTAATAAAATCAATAAGAATCTAAGGAAATTCAACTTTTATAATTGATTTCTCATTTAAGGTAGCTCTTATAACAATAGCAATAGGATTTTTATGAAAAAGAACTATGCCTTCAATAAAAATTATTAACTTTTTAATAATAATATGACAGTATGATTTCATTGATGAAAACTAAATATCAAATCATCATAGAAGAGCTATAATAAAAAATATCAATGTAACAAATAGAAAATGAAAATATGAAATAATAAATATATTTACAATAAGAGTAATAATAGAAATAAATAACTCAAATGAAAAATTAATTAAATGAAACTGAAAGTAATAAAAATGAATATTGCTTATTTACATAAAGATAAACAAATTAAAATTTAAAATTTAATGATCTGTATTAATCATAACATGATTAGGATAAATTACTTCTAAAATATAAATAAGAAATAGATAGAGTGAAATAGTAGACTTTAGAATTTGATAGAAAATTTGAGAATGAAAAATAATTTATAAAATAAGAAATCAGTGTATTAAGAAATTAAAAACTAATTGTTTAAACATTAAATTCAAATAGATAAGTAACTAATTCAAGTACAGATAAAAATTATACTCAAGTAATGAATTCTGATAATAAAACTAATAATTCCAAAAGAAATAGCTAATCTAGAGCTTATAGTCATATTTCTAGAAAGTCTTTAAATTTTTGAAAACTTACTATGTAAATTTATATTATAAAAATTAATATTTGCTTTAATAATAATGGATTAAGGAGTTAGTCATGGATTTTCATTAAGAAAGATTTGTAAATAGAGATTAAAAGGAGTATTTGTATCTTTGATTTAAACAAACCCAAATGTTTAGAATTATTTTTTGATTGTTGACTAAAAAACTGTAAAAGTTGTTTCTGCATACATGAAATTAGCAGAGTATTTTATGCATTGAATGTTTAGATTAATGGAATTAGGAGTAAGTGCTGTTGAAAAATTAGAGTTGGGTAGAAAACCTTTTCCAAAATTACATGCAATTTATTTTATTTCTCCAACATAAGAGTCAATCTAAAGAGTTTTGGATGATTTTAAAGATAAAAAAAATCCTTAATATGGTGTTGTTCATTTATTTTTATCAAATGAAATAGATTAAGGATTAATGCAAAAAATTGCTTAATGTATGGAATACATATATAATTTTTATAGGTAATTAATTAATAACTAAAATTGCCTCTTTCAAAATAGTAAATTTAGATTTTGCTTGTACTTCAGATTAAGTATTCACTATAGAAACACCAGAAATATTGACTTAAGCCTTTACTTCATAAAGTAATTTCATTATAAAAAACATTTTAGATGTGTAAAATTTATTGAAAGAAGTATCATATAAATTGGCTACATTATTAATATCCTTTAATAAATTTTATTCTTTTGAATTTTTATTTAATCAAGCAGACAATAAATTATCTGAATAAGTAGCAAAATTAACAGCTACAAGATTACAAGAATTATTAGCTTCTTTTGTTAAATAAAAAAATGATTAGTATGATAATATTGAAAAAGAAGCTGGAAAGATAACTGTTATGATAATTGATAGATCATATGATGTAGCTACTCCATTGTTACATGATTTTTATTATTAATCTATGATCTATGATTTATTAGATATAACAAATGATATATATGAAAGTGAAATTGATGCAGGTGGTAAATAAATTAAATAAAAAGTAATATTTAATGAAAATGATGATTTATTTAATAGATATAAGTAAATACAATTTTTATTTATTAAAGATATAGACACATTATATAAGTATTAGAAGGAATACCTGCTGAATTCAGAGAATTCGTTAATAACAATACAACTGCTAAAGTACATTAAGGATAAATGAATAATTTAGATTTGAATTAGATGTCTGAAATAGTTAAGACATTACCTTAATATAATGAATTGTTAGGTAAATATACCTTACACATGGTATATATATATATATATAAATTGAATTAAGAAATTAATAGAAAAGAGTTGGTCAATATTTGAAAATAAGGGTCTTAAAGAAATAGGTGAGATTGAGTAATGTTTAATTACTGGTATTGATGGAGCTGGTAAAAGTATTTCAACCACTAAGATTTAAAGTGCTGTTGCCACTAAATTAATGAGTGAAACATTGGATGACTATGATAAATTAAGATTAATATTATTAAGTAAATATAAATTATATATTTGTAGCATCTATAGGTTTAGAAATGTCAGAAAAAGATAGAAAGATATTAACTGATAAAATTAAAGCTGAACATTAATAAGCAATCTTAAATCTAATTTATTTAGGTGTCAATCCTTCAAAAGGAAGTCAGAAAAAAGTATATTTTATATTATTAATATTTAGTCTAAATCCTCTAATAGAATTAATGATGATTTAAAAAAATAAGCTAAACATAAATTGGCCAGTGCTTGTACTGAATTATCTAGAAATACTCCTTTAATTGAAACATTAGTAGAAAGTTATATTGAATCTAATTACAAAAAACCTTAAAAATTTGATTCCTTTATAATAAATGAAGATGGTGTTGGAAACAAAGGTGGAGGTAAATCTATTAGAAAAGGAGGATAATTAGCCAAAATGATATAAAATGACAATAGTGATGAAACTATCAATTATACTTAAAAATTGGTAAATTTTTGTTATATTAAATAGATTATATTCGTTATTGGTGGTATTAGTTATTCAGAAATAAGAAGTCTGTTAAGTAATCAAAAGATTGTTAGTTCATAAATTACTGTAAAATAATTCATAATTATCAAAGTTGGTTGGGTCTACTAATATAGTGAAACCAAAAGACTTTTGTTAAGGATTATTAGATATGAAGACTATTTGAATAATATATTTATAAAATATATATATATGCATATTTATCTTACTCATTTGTATATAGGGGATCCTCTTGGTTTAACTTGCTAAAATATAAATTACAAATAATTAATACATTGTTATTAGGACTTTAATCTTTATCCTTTTCAAAGCAATCATGAGCCCATTTAGAATGATATTAATAATTTCTTTAATCTTATATTATTAATTTATAATTATACTTCTTTCATCTCCTTTTTAATCTCTATCTCTATTATTTCTATCTCTATCTCTATCATTAAATCTATTTCTATATTTATCTCTATTGAAACTATTGTTCCTATCATTTCTGTCACTTTTTTCATTTCTATTATCATTTCTATCATTTTTATCATTCCTATCATTTCTCTCATTTTTTTCATTCCTATCATTTTTATCACTCCTATCATTCCTATCATTTCTCTAACTTCTATCATAATCACGTCTATCTCTTTTATCAAATCTTCTATATGAAGAATTATTATTAAATCTTCGATAGTTTCCTTAATTATAATTTTTTCTTTCCACCTTATTAAATCTAAGAACTAATAATCATACTTATTAATCATCAACTTTTTTTTCTAAATTAACATTCACATCATTTGTTGTTTATCCTTATTCTTAAGGTTTATTTATTTGAGGTGGTTTATTTTTTCTCCTAATAGTTTAATCAATTCTAATATTAATAATTGATTTTATTAATACTTTTTCAAATAAGAATTAGCTTAACTAAAATCTTCATTCTTCCAACCACTTATTAAAATCAAGAATAAACTTACAAAAGGTAACTATTCATATGACCCCTTCCTTTTTTTATTATGTTTGGATCATCCTTTGGTTTTGATTTTGAATGAGACTTTGATTTTGACTTAGATCTAGATCTTGATCTTTAAGTTCTAAACTATCAAAATTATATACAACTTTTATGATGCCACAATATCTAAATTCACAAAGTTTGAATTACTTTATGAAATCTTTTCTTTCTTATCTTTCTTCTCCTTTTTCTATTTCTTTTTCTTGTCTCCTAGTACAATTTAACTAAGAAATGTACTTCTAGAGCTACTTGATGAACTTGAATTCTTTCTATGATCTCTTTTGGCTTTTTTCCTAAAGCATTTAAGATGAATTTTACTTGGAGGATCTATCTGATGAACTTGAGTCGGACCTTGTATTGGTACATATACACAATATACCTTTTCATTATTTAAGCAATTAACAAATGAATAAAATATTAATTTATTTTGATAATAATCACAGGATATCTTTAAAGAGATATTCAAAATCTCAATTAAAAAAAAAGAGATGGTTAATGATTGAATTCTTATCTTTAAATCAACTATTTATAAATGCTTAACTAATAATGAAACTATTAAATAGTGTTCAAAATTAGCACCATTTTTTAATTTGATAAATTAAATTTAATAATTCAGATATAATTAAATGTCATAAGCAAAAATTGTCCTAGTAAGTGAAACAAACAATATTTATAAATGGCTAGTCTTAGCTAGCTTCTCATTAAACTCGTAAACATTATTTTTTATATTAGAATATCAAATATTTTTATCTACAGTGCATTGACACCAATTTGGTCATCTGTTGCCATCTATTATAATGTAACAGATTATGATTTAAATTGGTTTCCAAATATGTACTTCATATCATTATTTACAACAACTTTTGGTTTCAATCCATTAATTTTAAAATACTTTGGTCAATCATAAATTTTTAGTTGTATTTTAACAACAGCAGGCTTATGGATATTATTAATTTCAGGAAACAATTTTACAATGGGATTATTAAGTTTTGCTATATTAGGATTAGGAGAATCTCTATATTATTAAGTTCCATTACGTAAAAATGAATTAAAATAATTTTAGATTTATCAAAAATATGGTTTCCTCATGAAGAACGCGCTCTTTCTACATTTATAGGATAATATTCAAGTAATGTTGGTATTTTGTTAGGATACATAATTTCATTTTATTATTTTTATGATGTGGTATTATTATAAAATAATTTAAGGTAGATGAAAATGAATTTCAAACTAGATATTAAAATATAATATTTACAACTGCAATTTTTGCTTCTTTAGTTTTAGTTTGCAATCTTATAACTCTTAAAAAGCCTATTAATCAGAAAGACTCTATTTAAATAAGAGATCCTCTTTGGGTATCAATTAAAAAGATTTGTACTGCTGAAGAAGCTGTATTCGATCTCCTTTCTTTTTCTGTTTGTAAATTCATAAAAGTTAAATTAGTTATTGGAGTTGGTTGGAGTTATTCTGCACTTTTTAATATCTAGTAATATAATATTGGATAAACACCAATAGAACTATTTGAAACAAATATATGTTATTAAGTAGGTGGAATTTCAATTGCATTATTTTATACTTTGAAGTTGCATTCCTAATCATAACATGGTTTATAATAAAGTTATGATTTATACATGAAATATATAGTTTCAATAGGATTTTGGTCACTTGCAATAGAGATTCTTATATTTGATTAAGTTCCTTTATGGATTTTACAGATTCTCAATTTTTTAATAGGTTGTGGATTTGGTGGATATTATTCAATCTTACTTGAATCACTTTAGGAAAAGCATTTCCCTGCTTAAGAATTAGCAATAGGAAGTGTTCTTAGTGGAGTAGCATGTGTAAGCCTTATTAATATAAAAAGATTGCTTCTGTTTTAGTTATAATGATTTTTGGATTACCAGAATTTTAGAAATATGGATTTTAAATCTCATGTTACTTATTAATAATGCCATTTTGCTTTATTATTGTATTTTATAAAACATCGTTCAAAAGATTTGAATAAGAAGCTTGAACATTTTCTTTCTTAAAAATGACAAAATTATATAGTCTATATATATATTAATCGCTTAAATAAATGCAATATAATATAAAATATATATATTTTTTTTTAATTAATCCAAAAATACATCTTTATTTATTATTATAAATATTTGAGTTATTTGATTTCTTAATATATATATTTATTTTAAAAAAATGAATTGATGTTTAGGTCTGATCTAATTATAGAATCTATTTTAAAAATGATCATTTTAGATTTTATTTCTTTTGTATATATATTTTAGACTTAAATATCTGATTCATTTGTACTTGCCCTTTTTAACCTAATTTAAAGAAATTAATTTTAGAAATCATTTAATTTATAGTTTATAATGAAAGAGGATCGTAAAATACAATAAAACAATGAAGGTTTTTATTAATGGATTGTACTTACAAGTTTTTGCTTAAATTCGTATTTAAGAATTCATATTTTAGAATGTCGAATATATTTATGTTTACAGGATTATCACCAATTTGGTCTTAAGTGGCCATCTATTATGGCACTACTGACTATGACTTAAATTGGTTTCCGAATATGTATTACATTACAATAATGTCTTTTTCCTTTCTTTTCAATCCTATAATAATTAAATTTTTTGGAATCTCATAATTACTAAGCTGTTGTTTAACTTCAATGGGATTGTGGCTTTTATTATATGTGAAATAAAATTATTAAATGGGACTTATAAGTTTCGGATTGATTGGATTAGGGGAAAGCTTGTATTATTAAGTTCCATTACGTAAAATATTAAATTAAGATAGATTTATCAAAACTTTGGTTTGCTCATGATTAAAGAATACTATCAACATTTATTGCATAATATTCAAATAATGTAGGAATGTTGATAGGATATATAATTTCATCGTCATATTTTTATGAGATTGTATTTATTTTATATAAATAAGGTTGATGAAAATGAATTTAATGTACGATTTGAAAATTTGATATTTCTTAATGCAATATTTGCAACAATAGCTTTAGTCTTAAATCTTTCAACTTTAAAAACTCCATCCTTACGTCATGATATAATTGAAATAAGACTTACAACTTGGGAATCCTTATAAAAAATTGTTATGGCAGAAGAATCAGCATTTGATTTTTTATCTATTGCTTCATGTAAAAATCTTAATATACTTAGTTATAGGATTGAGTTGGTGTTATACTATGTTATTAGGAACTCAACAATATTATTTGGGTTAAACCTTTCTTTAAGTGACTTAAACTAGTATATATTTCTAAGTCGGTTAAATAGTGGCTGGTATTTACTGTACTTGGAAATTATAAAAGTAATCAAAAGCTGGAATTCAATAAGATTACGATATTTATATAAAAAGTATGATTAGTTTAGGATTTTGGTTACTTGTTTTCGAAATTATATTATTAGAAGATATACCTTTTATTATATTAGTGTTTATTAATTTTTTTATTGGTGCAGGTTTAGGTGGATTATATTCAGTCTTATTGGAAGCCTTAATGGAAAAACACTTTCCAGTATAAGAGTTGGCAATAGGATCTGTTCTAGCAGCAGTAGCTTGTGTAATAAATATTTAATATATAGGCTGTTTCTATAACAATAACTATGACCTTAGTAATTCCTAAATTTCTTGAGTATGGATTTTAAATTTCATGTTATCTGATGATTATTCCTTTTTGTTACATTGCTGTCTTCTATAAAACTCAATTTAAACGATTTGAGGCTGAAGCTTGATTTAATAATTTCGTACTTATAACTAAAAGTTAAAATGAAAGTATCTTCTCATTGAATTCTTAAATAATTGATTATTAATTATTATAATTTAATCTAATAATAAATTAAGGATAAATTATCTTATAATTAATAATTTACTTTAATTACTTATTTAAGTTAAAAATAGTATATATATATACATAATCATGCCTCAAATTCAAATCGTTTATATTTAGTTTTATAGAAAACTAAAATATAGCAAAATGATGGGATCATAAAAAAACAAGAGATATAAAATCCATATGTTAGAAACTGTGGTATTATTGATATCATACCTATGGAAAATGACAATGCCTAAATATTAATTATATTTTTACACAAGCCACTACAACTAATAAAGTTGAAATGGCTAATTCTTATGCTGGATAATGCTTTTCCATTAATGATTCTAATAAAATTGAGTATATTCCTCCAAGACCAGCTCCAATAAAAAAATTCATTAAAATAACTAATTGAAAAGGTAGAAATTCAAAAGTTAAATTCTCTGCCATCAAAAAAAAAAAACCTAAACTAATGGTAAATTTGATAAATGTATCATAAGTTTATTATAATCCTTTTTGTGATTAAGAGTTCAATTTATAAGAACATATTAGAGCAGCTATCAATTATCCAATAGAAAAAGTAACATTTGTTAAACAAATCTCTTCAGGAGTATACTACATATAATATTATTATGTTCCAAATAATAAAATATAACACCAACTTATACCAATAACTAAACAAATTATTAAATAAAATACAAGTTGATACAGAAGCAACATCTAAAAATGTTTCCCATTGAGAACAAATCTTTTTTAATGATACCCATATAGAATCTCTTATTTAAATCTTATCTAAAGAATTATATGGGGATTTAAGTGATATAAAACTAATAATGACAGTAGAAGTAGCTAAAATTGCATTAATAAAAATAAGATTTTCAAATCTTATATTAAATTCAATTTCATCATACTAATTTTAACAAATATCTACTTACAATTTCAAAGAAATAATAAAAGGAAACTAAGTATCCTATTAAACATCCTACATTATTTGCATATTAGGCTACAAATGTAGTAAATATACGTTCATCTGCATTAAACCATATTTTTGATAAATCTAATTTTGATATAATTTTGATACATAAAGGAGTTTAACAATAAAGGGCTTCTCCAATTCCTAAAAATGCAAATCCTAGCATTCCTAATTAAAAATCTCTTTTAACTGATACTAAAATCCACAATCCAATTGATGAACATATACAACTTAAAATTTATGATAGACCATAATTATAAATTATAATTGCATTGAAAGGAAAGCAAAATAAGATTGGACCAAAATAATACCAACCTACTATCCAATTTAAATCGTAATCATTTGTATTATAATAAATGGCCACTTAATACCAGATAGGAGAAACAATAGTTGATAACATTATATTGGAAATTCTAATTAGAATAAAATAAATACGAGTTTAGACACATGCTCCCAAGAACTAGTAATTTAAACAATTTTGTATCCCATCCCCCTCTATCTTGCTTTTCAATTTACTGAATTTTTCTCATTATAAAGAAAAGTATAGATGTGATGCTTTGATTTGAATAAATAAATATTTTAGAATTGATGATATTAATTGATTTAATCTAAAACTAAATATTCTATAAAGATCATAATTTAGTAAGGTCTATATCACATTCAATTGGAACATGATCACTTCCTTCAATTGTAGTGATGATATCTGTATGTATAACTGAACCAATTGCTTCTTGATTAACAACAAAATAATCTATCCTCCATCCCTTATTTGTCTCTCTATTAATTATATGATTTATTTTTCACCTTGAATTAAATCGTGGACTAAAATAACTATATTTAATTTCTTTTGGATACAAATGCCTAAATGTATCAATCCATCCTTTAGATAGAAACTTTGAAAATGAATCCCTTTCTTCTTAGGTAAACCTTTTATAATATTTAATTTAATTACCCTGCACTTCTTCTATTTCCATCAGGATTGGCTAAATCTATTTCTGTATGAGATACATTTAGATCACCACATATAATAGTATTCTTTTTCTATTTTAATTAATCAAGATAATTTTAAAAGTCAACATCCCATTCTTATGTTCTATAATTTAATCTATCTAATTTATCCCCAGAATTAGGAACATAACATGCTACTAGATTAAATTTCTCAAATTCTGCTGTAATAATTCTTCCTTCTTAATCATGTTTATGAATTCCCATATCAAATTTTATTGATATTGGTTTCACTCTATATTTATTTCATATAATTAAATACTTAGATAAAATAGCAACACCACTATATCCTGCCTTGATTTTACAAAAATTTAAATATGTAAAATAATCTTTAGGTAATTTAGTAATTAAATTTTCTTTATCAAATGCTTCCTAAGCTACCTTTAATTCATTTAAACATATGATATCAAACTAATTTTTCAAATTTCAGCATACTTTCTTATCATTTAAATATGTAACTGCACTTTCTTTTTTAGATGATGCTCTAAGTCCATTAATGTTCCAACTTGAAATTTTTAATTTATCTTATTAAAATATTCCATCTCCTAAATCTAGCTTTTTTTATGATAAATCAACTATTTATCCTTTCTTATCTACTAATTTAAGAGTTTATTATTTCAAGATTTTTGGATTACTTTTTTTTTCATTTTTAAGTTTAGATCCTTCTTTTTGATTTTAGCTTTTACTTTTATTCTCTTTCTATACATTTTCATTTGAATTAGAATCCTAAGCTATGAAATTAAAAATACAAATATACTTATTTTTGGAGGCATTTTACTTATTTTAAATAAATGAGTGTGTTTAATTAGATTTCTAGCTATTTGTAACATTGAATATTTATCTCTTAATTAAATTACTTAATGTCTTATTCAATTTTTATATATGGATAATATAATTAAAGATTTAATCTTTTTTTATTGTTTCTATTTTTTACTATAATATTTTAGAATATTTTTAATAAGAGATGAATCAATAATAATAGTTTTAATATGAGAACTCATTTAACTTATTATAAATAAGTCATTCTTTAAGTAGCACGACTTGCTTCGAGTTCAGCTTATGCGAAACATAATTATTCTTAACATTTATGATATTTCTCATTTAAATCTTAGAAATTTCTTCTCCAATCTATGTTTTCATTATGATATGAATCTTATAATTCTTAATTCTTTATCATTATGATTCTATTTAATCTTTCAATTTCTTTGTAAGATTAATCTAAACCTTATTTTTAATTTCGATTTTCCTCATTTAATTATCTATTAAATTAATTAATCTATTATAATTCATTATAAACATTTTCAACTTATTTACTTTATTATTATAATGAATTATCTTTGTCTCTAAAAATTAATATAATTATACTCTAAAATTTATGTAAGAACATTGATTTAGCTCACTAATTAATCAAAATTTTTTTCTTATTCTCTAAATTTATTAGTAGAACCTATATTATCTCTTTATGTTTATTAAGTCATCTATAATTATTCTTATAAATAATATATGGTTTTTTATTTAGTAATTAATTCATTTCGTAAATCTTCAACTAATTTCTAAATTGCAATCAATTCTTAAGCTAATTATTTTTAATCATTCTATCGTAAAATTCCCTATTCATTATCATTTTATTTATTTAATTATAAATTATGAAGTCTTTCAAATTCCATACTAATTGATACAATTTTATCATTTGATTCTTTTAAAAGATTTTAATATTGAATACTATTTTCTCTAAATTTAATTTCAAGTTCTTATATTCTCAATTTATAATCTTCATTTTATTATCTTAAAATGTTGATATCATTTATAAATAGTTATTCATTTTGTACTATTAATGAATTTATTAAGTTTACCTCTTTAATTGATTTCGCATTACAACTAAATTTCTAATTAAGAAGATCTTTATCTTTCTTATTAAATTTCAAAACGCAAATATTAAACTTCTGCTTTTTCTTAACAAGGTTGAAGAACTTGATTTTCTAATTAATCAGTTTTAAAAGTAAGATTTGGTGAGAATGGTCTAATTTAACTATTGAGTGCAGGTGTGTTACCTTTTCTCATTGATCTACTCATTTTTAACAGTTAAATATAAATTAATATTAAATAATGTATATAAGTTTCAATATTAGGAGATGCAAGAATTTATTCAATTTATTAATTTAAGATTGCTTTTGATATTAATTATATTGATTTAAACAAATTAGATTGGTTTACAAATCGAAAAAATCTAAATTGATTATAAGTAAATAATTTAAAAAAAAAATAATATTAAAACAATGAGTAATGGATCTGTGAAAGACATTTTGAAAGATAAAAAGAAAGTTAGATTTGTTGCTGAGAGTGCTTTTAAATAAGTTGATAAAGATGGTAAAATTATAAGAATTTATATATAATAGGTAGTGGTTATCTTGAAAGACCAGAACTAGAAGAAGTGATGAATAATGTAGCAGCAGATTTAGGAGTTGAAGTAAATATAATAACTATTAAATTTATAGCCACCTACAAGTGAAGAAATTGATGAAGTATTAAAAGAATTAGATGAGAATGGAGATGGAAAATTGTCTATTGATGAATTTTAAGTTTTAATTGAATAGGTTCTAGAGATGATGGCAAAAGTAGAAGGTTGAATTAAATTAAGATGCACATTTCTTATTATTTTTAATATTCACTTTTTGTTTCTCAAACAATCCAATTAATTAGATAGGGAATTTATTATAAGTATTTATATATATATATATACATTATAATATTTTTTATTAAAAATTTAAGAATAATTTCTAAACCTTAATTAGATTGCTTTAAATTTTATTTCTATATGATATTATCATTATTTGGAGTATAAATGTAAATCTTTAAAGAAGGATTTTGATAAAATAATTAACCAATTTCGACAATGTCCTTCTATCCTGGCTATCCATATGCAGCACCCCTCACAACCTCAGTTGCAGCTCCATTGACATATGCTCCATAAGTATCATATGCTCCACCAGTGTCATATGCTCCTTAATTGTCTTATGCTGCACCAGTTTAATATGCCAGACCTGTCACATAATCTGTTGTTTAACCAGTTGCTGTTCAACCAGTTTTACAATAATCTGTGATTGCATAACCAGTTGTTGCTTAACCTGTCTAACCAACAATCAAAGGAGAATCAAGAGTTGAATACAGAGAATACTAAAGACAAGTTGTTGAAATGGAAACTGAGACTGTTTAAGTTTAAGTGCCAAAAACGAAATATGTCACAGATTACTATCCTGTTGAATATTAAACCGAATATATCCCCAGAACAGTCTATGAATAATAAACTGAATATGTCCCAGTAACTAAAACAGTCCCAAGAGTTGAATATGAGGCTGTCGAAAGAGAAGTTTAAAGAGTATATAATTTGTATATTTTTATAGGCTTAATAAGTCGTTGTACAACAACCAGTAGTATAATAAGTTGTTCAATAACCAGTTGTTTAATAAGTTGTACCATAACAAGTTGTTTAATCTTATGTTTAATAACCAGTTGTCTAACAACCATTGTCATATTCATTGGTAAGACCAGCACCTACTTACACTGCACCAGTAGCTTATTCAAGTGTAGCCCCAGTTGCTGCTTATCCAGGTTATTATGGAGGATACAGACCTTTCTGAGGTTATTTTAGTATCAACATATAATATAATATAAAAATTGTATTTTATAACGACATACTTGAAACATCAAACATCCTTAGTGTTTAATTAAAAAAATACATTATAAAAAGCAGCAAACTTATCATGAAATCAATAGAATATCACTTAATTTAATTTTATCATTGGTCGAATTCTAATGATTAATTTATATGTTTTCAGACATGGTTAGTCCATTTATTAATGTCTAAGAGTTATTTCAGGTCTTCACGAATTTGGTTTAAGTGCACTAGGCAAATATTAGACATACAATCTCGCATCTAGGACTGATGTTGATTTTGAGATTGCATATATATCAGATACAAAGAGAACGATTGAAACATTTGAAATGTTAAAATTAGCAGGAAAGATGCCATCAGAAGAAAATTGTATCTTCACTCCTTTAATAAGAGAAAAATGCTAAGGTGATTTTATTATGCAAGAATTCAAGGCATTTCCTGTAAATATTTATTGAAAAATATAGGATGATCCAAATAAAAGAAATTTTACACCTAAAAATGGAGAGAGTTGGGAAGATGTACAAGTTAGAGTATCAAAGACTTTTGATTTTCTTGTTAGACGATATTTATATTTATAAAAGGAGGCAAAATAAGATGATGATGAACTTGTTAAAGCATTGTTTTAATAATCAGAACATATTGAAAGCAAAAAGAATAATATAATTTTAGTCACTCATTATGGATTCATCAAAGAAATTGTATAATATCTTAAAAAGGCTGACTAATTATAACTAGAATAGCCATATTTTGCATAAAATGCTACTCTTTTCACTTTATAATTATTTCTAAAAGAAAATGAAAGTTGGTAAGCCAAAATTATCAGTCTCAATAGCTACACTAGATAATACAGACCATTTATGGATTGATTGTAAATAATGTTCCATTATCAATATATATTATGCAGTGAAATTTTTCAATTATCATACAATTTTACCCATCAATTCAACTTTATTTGCCTACTCTCTTAATCTATCTAATTCTCTTTAATCTTCTCTTTTTTATTACATTCTAAAATCAACTTCTCTTAATTTATCTCTAATTTATTCTCTTCTAAATTCTTCAAATTATCTTTAATGTTTAATAGCATCTTATTAATCAAGTCTTTTCTTTAATTTTTCATAAGCCTATTATTGATATAAAATTTCTTGTTCTTTCTTCACTCTTTATATCTATGATATATAGATGCTATTACTTTTTCATCTTAATCCTATAATTTTATAAGATATTATTATCTTTTCTCTTCCAATTATTACATATTCATTCTCCTTACTTTCTCTCTATGTTTTGCTCTTCTTTCTGCCTATTATTTTACAAATTCATCCTTTGCTCCTGATTCACTTCTTTATTATAATCTATATTATATTTCTTATTCTCTTTCAGCATATTATCTTTTAAATTCTTCATGTATCTATTCTTTCATTCTAGCAGTATTTTTAATCTTTTCATTTTTCATTTTATTCTTCTCCTCTATAGACAATTATCTTTAACGTTATTATTCTTAAAATTTATGTTATTATTCTACAATTCTTTCTTCTTTCTTAAAATAATCTTCTCTTAATTTCTTTTAAAATTCTATTTAACTTCTTTAAGCTTCTCTTTATCTAATTTTAGCAGACTATGCCCTTTTCTAAGCACTTATTCTTTTTTATTCTTATTATTGTTAAAAAAATTCTTATCTTCTAAGTTCTTATTCTTCTTCTTCTTATTTCCTTTATTAATACTCTAATTCAGCTTATTTCTCCTTCATTTTTCTATCTCTCTCTAATCTTTATTTTAATTCCTTTTATTATTGTTCTCTATTAATTGCTTCTGCTTATCTTTATTATTCTTCAATTTATTATTATTAAAGTCTTTATTATTCTTTTTGAAAATATTCTTATTATAATTACCGATTTTTCTTTTAATCTTCTAGTTCCTTCAATCTTTTTTATCTAGCTATAGTTTCTTATTTTGCTTAAAATTCTTATTGTCTTTATTCTTGTTTTTTCTTTCTTTATTCTTCAAATTATTACATCTTTTCCTATTATTATTAATTTTATTATTCACGCATTAACATTAACTCTTATAAATGTCTTTACCTCATCATTTCCATATATTTTCTTTTCTATACTTAATCCATAAATTTTGATGCATTTGAACTACTAAGAGGTCTATCTCCTTTCAATTAAGTGATATTTGATTCAATTTTTTTTCTTTTTTCTTTTTCAATCAAAGCTTCTCTATCCTTTATTAACATATAAACTTTTTATTATCTTCTATATTCATAATGTTTATAGAAATCATCCAAGTTCTGATCCTGTAATGATTTTTCTTATTTTAACATTAGTCCCAATTTCTCTTTATTTATAAAAAGCAACTCTTCTTATGCCATTCCTCTTTACTTTAAAACCATAATTGAACGAGGACTGTTGATTCTACATCTTTAATCAGCTGGATTGAAATTGATTAAAGAAATCATTTATATTAATAAAAATTATAAATGGATTCTATATATTAAAATCATTATTGTTTGAATTCAAACTCCCATTTCTTTAATTATTATTTATCTTATTGAGGTTTCTCTGCAAATTTGGCACTATTAGTAGACTCCACTAAAGAAACATCATTAATAGAAATTCTAGACAAAATACTCATAGTTTCATCAGGTAAAGGTTATTATTATTAGAAATGTAATGTTTAACTTCTATTATGGATTTTAAAATTATCCTTTTTGCCACTATTACTTATACTATTAGTTTTATTGTGAGAAACATCCAATTATTATTATTTTGATCCTAATGATTACTATTATTATTCTAATGAAACATAACTTAATTAAGCCATTTCTTTTATGAAAGAATCATCCATATTAAATTGTCCATTTAATTTTTAAAGTTATTATTTAATCCAAATTATACATCTCCCATTTTATTGGGGTATTCTAACAATTTCTGGATTAAGTAAATCAGAACCATTATTGAGTGATTAAAAAAAGTGATTCAATATAGAAATTAATGTGCTTAGTGTATCTTGTAAAGAACATACTTCATGAATTAAACCTTTTCTTGTAGAAACCCATGTGTCAAAACCATTTGATTATGAAATTTAAGTCTTTAATGGCATTGTATCATATCTATTGGCATAATTGATTCTATCTTTGCTTCTTAACTATATTATATATTATGAAAAATAACCTAATCTTTCATTTTCAAGAATTCTAATTCTTTTTTTTTGAATTCACTTTACATTACTTACACTTTGTTTTGTATCTTAATAACTTTTTAATTCAACTCTTCCTGTCTATTAAATTAATTGATACCTTTTCTTAGATAAGTTTATCATTTGCCAATTTATTCTATTTATTCAATAAAGTAATTTGATTTTCAAGTTATCCTATTTGTTTTATTCTATAAAAAATATATTAAATAGAGTTCTACTTTAATTCTATTTCTTCTTATAATCTTTTAGCCTTAATCTTTAAAGATTCATTGTCACTTCTGATTTTGAAAAATTCATCTTCATGATTGTTAATATTTTTCATGGTGGCTGATTTAAATATAAATACTGCATGTATTATTTCATAAACTTTTGATAAATATAAGGGTATGTTATAATTATCTTCTGGAAAAACAGGCATTTCTATTATAAGAATGATTAGGAGAAGTACATTGTTAATTTAAAATTCCATTAAATTATTTAAGCATTTACATCCATTCTAAAGAATTAATTGAAAGTTTATACTTTTAGTTTCACATACAATACATGATTCTGATATTTTACAATCACATCTATAATCCTCAATTTCATCAACTATTTTTTCAAGGAAGCTTGACATCTAAGACTTCTCTGAAAAGATGATCTTAATTAATTAGATTGTATACGCTTTATTGATATGAATTTTATTACATTATATTAATTTATAAATTAGAGTACTTTTATTAACAAAAAAAATAAAATTTTTAAGAAATAATTTATATGTTAAAAGCTTTGGGAAGTTTTTTTTAACAAAATAATCAAAAGAATAGGGAAACTGATTCTTAGGATTTTTTTTTCCTGAATAAATTCACAAAAAAAATGATGTTAAATAAAATAATGGTTGCCAAGAGATATGAATAAGGCAGTTTAGTTAGTTAATTTGATGATTGTGATGGAAATATGTCTCATTATGATGAGGATATATTGAGATAATTAACCATTTACTCATATAGAGATTGCTTATTAATAGAAATGGATATTATATTTGTAAAACATCATCAAGAAATTTTATCATTTTGTAATGTAACAAATATATATAAAACCTTTAGAAAATAGATTTAATAAGCAATTATCTACAATCAAATTTAAATAAAAATTTACAATCTGAAGGAATTATTTTTTACTCTTATTTGGATCAATTAATGGCTAAATACAAAATATATTTACCAAACAAAAGTTGTTTATAGAATTTGTCAGAAAAAGAATTAAATATCTTAATTTTTAATGTTAAATAAATACATGAAAAAATGGAAGAGTCAATTGTGGCCTATAGAGATTAATTACTTTCTGCCCTTGATTTAGACTAATATTCAATTTCAATGTATTTTCCAAATCATCTACCATTATTTGATTAGTATATAGATGAAAATATTAAAATTGAAGTTAATAATAATTTAACATTCGAATGCATAATAGCAAGAAAATGTGAAATTTTTTAAGGAAAAATATACTTTGAGGGTGGATAACATAAGAATATAGAAGATCTATCCTAAAATGATTAAGAAATAGTAAAAAATTAAAATAATCCAATTCTTTAATAGTTAAATTATGAAGTTAAGATTTATCGTATTGAAGTTAAAATTAATCCAATGAATTAAAGAAATATTAATAACTTAAAATAAATCCTTGAAGGAGAACTACTTCAAGAATTTTGCAGGACTCTTGCTGAATAGTAGATGTAAATATAAGAGACGTTTTGTTCTATTTAAATACCTGAAGCTGATCCAAAATAAAAGAATTTCTTATAAGAATAATTACCTGATGTAGAAATATCAGTATTTATGAAATTATTAATATTAAAAGAAGTTATGTATACAATTAGAGAAAACTAAAAACTACTAAAAAATCCTAAATTTAAAGGTAAATTGTCTGTTGTGAAAATGATTAGATTTTGCAATGCTTTAGGTGTAAGACCTATTTGTATCATGTAATAAAATGATAAAAAATCTATAGATCTCAAAGCAAATCGAGAAAATAATAATAAAATCATACAAAATTTGATATAAGTTTTATTTTTTAAAGACAGATATGATGATAAAATAAAACCTATAGATACTTTATGTGGGGAATTCATGATTAATTTATGTAATTTTGGACTTTAAGATTTTCCAGATATTGATAATATTTTGGTTAAACTAGAAAAATTACTTCTTTTAGTCAAATCAATTCATTGTGTACCTTTAGATTGATAAATTTAAATATATACATAAATGAATTTATTATACAATTATTTATTTAATAAATAATCAAACATAAAAATATCAAAAAATATGAATTAACTCCTAAATGATTAATAAAAGCGAAAATGTCCTTATTGTTAAAATCTATTTATTGGATAAAAGATTTTGGAACATGAAAAAGAATGTTAAAACAAATAAAATGGAGAATAATATTAATAAAATGTAAATAAAATTCCTATCTATATAGAGGAATTATGAAAGAAACTAAATAAATATTTAACAAATACAAAGTCCAAATGATCTTAACTCTAGATAAAAAATCTAACAATTATTAAAGAAATGCGATTATTGTAATGAAGATTACCCTTCAGAAGTTTATAATTTACACATATAAAATTGTGATGCAAAGACATTATTATAAACATATTTATAAACTGAATGTCCATCTTAACTTATATCATAAAATACATAAAATGTTGAAGATGAAGAAAATGAAAAATAAAAAATTGAAATTCTAACATAATTTTTAGAATTAATAGAAAAAAAAGGAGATATATTAGAAAAAGGGGAAGAATTAGTTAAAATATCAAATTTTTCAATTGAGCCTTTCATACGAACTTTTAAAAATAAGATGTGTAGATTATGCAAATTAAATTTGGTATTAGATGAAGAAATATTAATTATGAAATGTTGTTCTTAAATTTATCATAATACTTGTTTTGCTTAACTAATCAAATAAACTATTAATTGTGAATGTGGAAAATAGATAATTATTGATTGATTTATTGCTTTATATAATTAAAAAAATCTACATATTAATATAAGAATTAAATTAGTTAAAATATTTGAAGAACCGTATTAATATTATCATTCTTAATCATCTTCTTCAAATCCCATCTCCTATTAAGTGACATCAGTTTTGCAAATAGGGCATGTACTCTATTCTTTAAACCATTCTGAAATACATTTCTTATGAAATCTATGTATACATGGTAATAGAATTAATTCTTCTCCATCTTCATAATTATTAATACATATTGAACATTATTTATATTCTTATGACAAACCATCATAAGGTACAAATTTTATAATTGCTAAATTTTCTAATTCTTAAGGAGCTTGATGCAAATGATTCCTATTATATTGATTAAATTTACATCATAGGAATGAAGAAAAATCCTCTTCTTGTTTAATTTGAAAAAAAAGGATTACTTAGAATTTAATCCATTAAAGCTTATAAAGAATTTCTTTAAATTTAATTTCTACCCATATTAAAGATTGGAAATAAATTATGTTATTGTTATTATTATTATTATTATTATGATGCTTAAGTTATTATTCTTTGAGATTAAACTTATCCTGTATTCAAATTTGTAGTAATAATTGTTTTTCTAATTGTTCCATCTGGTAATACTTCAACTTTTGTTCTTGTGACTTAATTATGATTTCTATGTTATGGTTAATTATAATGAATATGATTTTGATTGTTTATTTGTTATTAAATATAATCATCATTATTTTCATAAGGATTATGATGAGTATTTTATTATTCATGAATATTTTCATCTTAATATTCTTCTATAGATAATTATTCAATTAATTTTTTAGTATCACATAAAGGATAATGTTCTTCTAAAATTTCTATAGGATATTCTTAATCACAGTATTCACATTTCTTCTATGTTCTTTTTAATAATGATTCATTATATTAATTAATATTCTATTATTGTATCCTTTATACTTATGAAGTATTTTTATATTCTGGATTATCTGATCTTCTTGGATTGTTGATTATTTTATTTAAATTTGAGTTGTTATCCTTTTATGAAGAATAAATATGTGATTCCACAAACTAAACAGGTTATCTTGAGGAACTTTATTATAATCTTGATTATTATTGATGATTATTCTATGATTAAAATTGAGATTGATTTTCGTTTATTCTAGATTGGATTTCAGACTAATAATTAGGATGATTTGATTAATTGCACTCTAATTTATGTGCATACATCTAACATTGATGTATTCTTTTCTTACAATATTTACATCTTACATAATCTTGATTTTCAGATTTCATTCTATTTAACACAATAATTAATTAGTTTGAAATTGTTGTAATTTAGTTTTGGATCTCAAAAATCTTTTCATAATAGAATAAATTAAAAATAGAGTTGTAATTATTTATATGAAATATGTTTTTTGGTTTTAGTTGTTAAAGAGTGTGTTTATTAATAATTTGTAAAAAATATAATACAGAATTCATCAATTAAATTAAATTAAGAAAGATGGTTGAAAAATCTACAATGAGATGGTTATGTGCTATTTGTACTTGCTGTTGGTGGTTAAATTATTATGGATTTTTAAATAATTGTGTAAGAGGATGCTAAATTTGTATAGATGGTAAATTTAATTAATATTTATTTCAAGTTTTTGATGCAACAGTTTCAGCTGTTTGGAAGGGTATATTTTGTGTATTTATGTGTTGTTGTTTTGGATTTGAATGTGTAGCATGTGTATTATGTATCTATTCTTGCATTGAATTATTTAATGATCCATGTTAAAGATATTAAGCTGAAGATTCATGGATAAATGCTTTTTGGCAATTAGTTTATCTAAAAGATCTAGAAATAGAAGGAACAGTTAGAGAGAAACTTAAAGAGATATTTGCTAAATGATAAAATGAATAAAATATATAATGGATTGTATGTTCATTCTTATTTAAAGTTCTTTTTTATTTTTATATTATTATTTAATTGTTAAAAGATATTGAAATTATATATATAAGCAATGCAATTAAGTAAAAGTCTGAATACTAATTATTAACTCATTCTAATTTATATTGTTATTAAAATTGTGCTTGCTTCATGGTTATTGGATTACATTTCTCATAATCTGTTGAAAACTTTTTTTTCTCTTCAAAATAATTCAAGCAAAGTGCTGATTCAGTATGAGTAGCCTTGGATTCAAATTTAAAATATAGATAAGTTCCAACACAAAGACAAGATATTATCATATTTATAATATGAATAATTAAGTTACTGTATGTTTTAATCAAAACAAATTAATAACATGCTGATCCAGCAGATATCAATATAGGTGATATTCCTAATAATTGGAGAGTAGAATCATTTAAATTTCTATTTATAGTTGGTGGATAAGAACATCTTCTTAATAATGTATATTTGCATGCCCAATAATATAGAAATAATGATAATATCTACATCATCATTCCATATGGGAATATACATAAATAAAACATACTCATCAAAATACTTTTATAAATAGTTGAATATTTATCTGCTATTCTATAATCTGGTCCTTCAAATAATTCATGTGTTTATTATTAGGTAAGAATAATCTATCTTTTATCTTATTCCTTCAATATTTAATTTTATTTTATTAATTTAATAATATATAATGGATCTAATATTTCTAAGATTGGCAATATTATTAAATTGCCTAAAAATATAAAAAATAGACTAACTGCTAAATTATTTTAATCAAAATCAGTAAATATAAATAATCCAAAAGGTACAAGGGCTGTATTAATAAATTACATTATTGTTTAAGTTACCATAACACTTCTAGTTTCATTTGTATAAGTAGTATGTTTTTCATACTTTGAAGTTATTTTAATGAGCATCTCTAAAATTTAATTAATAATTAAAATTGCTAAAGCACACAAACCTGATAATACATATTTTACATAAAATGTATTACTACTTTATGCTTAATTTTGAGTATATGAAATTCCATATACAATAAAAGCTCCAACTAATACAACAAGAAAGTTTAAACTTAAAGCCAACATTCTTTTGCATCTTTTTTATGAATGACTTGTGTTGAAATTTTACCAAATTATATCTAAAGGTTCAGGTGCTCTTCTAATATAAATTCTTTAACCATTTATAAATTTCCATTGCTATTTATCATTATTTAAATAATATAATAATTTATCACAACATCCAACATAATCCATCATTATTTCATACCAATGATTTTAATTACATATATCTAAAATTTAATCAACTAGACTTTCCTCTTATAATGTTACTAAAACATAATCAGTTCTTTAATATAAATTATTAAGTGTGACTTATTATTCAAAAAGAGAAATCTATTTATCTAAAACTTATATTTCAAGCATCAACTAATTTAAAATATCATTTTTCTCTCTGACTTCTTATGGACGTGTCATCAAAGCATAAATTTTTTATTATTCTTACAACTTTTCATTCTTTTTCTTCTAATCATTCAAATAATCTTAAATATTTAAAGGACGTATTATTTTTACTATGGATGATGAGTTTACATTAAAGTATTTCATAAAATATTATTCTATCTATTATTTTTCATGAGTATAAGGATAATTTCTTAATAATATAGTAAAATCACTTGGTGAACTATTTATAGAAAAATGAAGGTTTCTTTATTAAAACCATTTAATTAAGAATAAACCAGCTGTCACTAGAAATGTTCCAAGAAGTGCTAATACAGCCTAAATTGTTAATTATAATTCTGTTTTATTGACAGTGTATGCTACTCCTATAAAATGATAACATCCTTATTCTTAATTTTCTTCATTATCCATCAAATTAAAATGATATTCCTTGTAACATAAGTCAGAAGTAGTGATAATATTGTATATTCCTACAAGAACGAAGATTAGTAGTAATAGAATTGAATATAATTTTATAGATTGAAAGAATAAAGGGATTCCTTCACCTAAAATAAATCAATTTATTATAAATACCTAAAAATTGTAGTCTTATGATGTCTTCACATACTCCTATTTGTATTTTATTTATTGCCATATTACAACATGGACAATATTCTTATTAATTTTGATTCTAATATCCAACTTATTTTGCTTTAGCATGGGCTTAGGCTAATTCTAATATAATTATAGATTGAATAATTACAAAAATCAGGAGGTAAAGCAAAGGGATTGTATAGTTTATTTTAATTCATTAATATAATATATCCCAAATCCACCAATCAAATTAGAGGTTCAATGTTTTTTGTGTGCCAATTTTTGACTCACATTTTTTATATTAAAAATGGCAAGAACTAAATAAACTGCAAGAAAGAGCACTGCTGGTAACAAAAAACCAACTAAACATTTGGCTACTAAAGCAGCCAGAAAAACTGCTCCAGCTGTAGGTGCTGCTGGAGGTTTAAAGAAGCCACACAAATTTAGACCAGGAACTGTTGCTTTAAGAGAAATTCGTAAATATCAAAAATCAACCGAATTATTGATCAGAAAATTGCCATTCCAAAGATTAGTTAGAGAAATTGCTCATGAATTCTAAAAGGAACTTAGATTCTAAAGCTCTGCTGTCTTAGCTCTCTAAGAAGCTGCTGAAGCCTATCTTGTTGGATTATTTGAAGACACAAACTTATGTGCAATTCATGCTAGAAGAGTCACAATTATGTCAAGAGACATTCAATTAGCTAGAAGAATCAGAGGAGAAAGATTCTGATATTTTATTCCAGAATATTATTATATAAGATTTCATAAACCTTTAAATTTAAATTGCTATTATATCGATTTCACTCTCTCATTTAACATGTTTTCTACTTACTATAAAATCCTTGGTAGTTAACAATTAAAGTAAATTAGAACCATAATATTTCTAATAATATAGAAAATTATAGTATATTAAAAAAGTACGAAAATTAATATTTTATATATCAATATTAATAGGGTATTAAATTTATAAGTATTATCTCAAAACAAAAAATATGTATTTTGAATGCCCTTGCTCCTTTAGAAAGGAATTAGAATAGGAGAGTTAAATAATTGAACACATCGATATATGTTAAGAATTTAACATTGATAGTCCACTTTGCAATATGTATAAAAGAGCAAATGTTGAAGAAATATCAATAGAATAATTAGTAACTTTCTTATGCGATCTTAAATTACAAGTAGAGAGAATTGAGAATGTTTTAAAAATAAGTAGAATAATATAATAATTATATAGGAGGCTTTAGAAAAAAAATAATGCCAATTATTTCAGACCTAAATTTTGATCATTGTTCTAAATCCACATCTGGTTCAAAAATAAGAAAAAATAATGTTGGAATTAAATAAAATAATATTGTAGTTAGAATCCTTTAAAAAACCAATTCTAGTGAATAATAATCATTTAAAATTAATTAGGAGAGTCTAAATTAAGATAACCAATTAAATCTAACTTCCTCTCTTTCAACTCATCATTATTTTGAAGATGAGAAATCTAGTAATCTTATAATTCATTAAACAAAAGAGACAATTTAAGACTAATTAATTACAAATTGTAAATAATAATAAGATGAAAAAATTGCATGTGAAGCTTGTAGAAAAACATTTTATTTTAATCAAGATTTTGAAAAGCTATGGTTCTTAGAAAATTGTGGACATGTAATGTGTAAATTATGTATTCATCGATTGGCATAAGAAAAATATGTTGAAAATGATGGAAGAATTTTGTGTTAGGAAATTGGTTGTATAGCTTGGATTAAAGCATTTGAATTAAAATAAATACTTGGAGTTGATAAATTTAATGATTTAGATTAAAAATTAGCATTTAAAAATTAAGATATCATTGAATGCATTAAATGCAAATCTCAATTCTTTTTTGAAAAAGGTAATCCCAAAGATTTAGTAAAAGATTAATAAGGTAAGAATATCAGTTGTGAAGCATAAATTAATTATGCTAATAATAGATTTATTTGTAAATAATGTAAAACAGAATAATGTAGAGAATGTAAAGCAGTTCCTTTTCATATTGGAATGACTTGTTAAGAGTATAAGATTAATTCATAAGCAAATAAATGTATTCTTTGTAATTTTCCATGTGAAGGAAAAGTATGTAATTAAGATGATTGTCAAAAAAGATTTTAAAGATTATGTTAAAATAAATTAGATTGTGGTCATAGTTGTAATGGAGTAAAAGGAGAAGAATGTTTATGTTTAATTTGTTCAAACTAAGAACCAGATGATTATTGTAATATGTGTTTTATTGAACCCTTAAAGAGTGCTCCATGTATTAAAACAGAATGTGGTCATATATTTCATGAAGAATGCATTTTTAAGAAATTAGATTCCAAATGGAATGGATATAGGATTATATTTAACTATTGTACATGTCCTTTATGCAAAAAATTCTTGGATATAAAACATAAGGAAATTAAAAATAAAATAAATCAAGCTTTATAATTAAAATTATATGTATAGGAGTTATGTTTAGAAAGATTACATATAGAAGGAATGAAATAAGCTTAAGAATTAATAGATCCTAAAAGTTAATTTTATTAAAAACCTCAAGAATTTGCAATGGATAAATTTTGTTTTTATGAATGTTTTAAATGTAAAAAGCCTTATTTTGGAGGAATTAAAAATTGTTAAGCTAATACAGATTATAATGAAAGAACTTAGTTCAATAAGGAAGATTTAATATGTCCTAGTTGTTGTCCTATATCTTTTGAAGATATATGTAATTAACATGGTGATAAATATATTGAATTTAAATGTCGATTCTGTTGTTCGGTTGCTGTTTGGTTTTGTGGGTATATATATAAAATAAATATATTTAGAGGAACAACTCATTATTGTGAACCATGTCATAGTGGAAGGAATCCGAATATGAATAAACCTTGTCCTGGACTCGAAAAATGTCCATTACGTATTAAACACAAGCCAACTGGATAGGAGAATGCCTTGGGATGTGCACTTTGTAGAACTAAAAGATTTGATGATATACTTAAATAAAACTGATTATATAATTATTTGCTTTAATTTTATTAATAACCTATCATATGATAGTAAATCTATAGTCAGATATATATTAATTCTATATATTTTTGTATATTCTTTTCATAATTTTACCTTAACATTTATTGTAAATAATAAATGGAATGAAAAATGCAGACTGAATATTAATTCTAAGGTTTTATTAATTAAATATGCGTTCAAATTATGCAACAAATACCGAGAATGGTTCTGCAACTAAGCCATAACAATATTTTGAGGGTAATAGAAAAGGAGAAGTGAATGAATTGAAAATGTATCTAAATATTCATTGAATATAGATTGGTTAAGAATACTATTAATGAAAAGGATGATAAAAAGAAAAGAGAAGTAGTTAAGAAGGTGATTGCTTATATGACATTGGGTAGTATTAGATACTAAATTAGGAATCGATGTATCTAAATTATTCCCAGAAATGTGTATGGCTTCTTATACTAATGATTTGGTATAAAAAAAGATGATATATTTATATTTGACAACTTATGCAGAATAGAACAAGGATATGGCATTCATGGCCATAAGTACATTTTAAAAGGATTGCAAACACAATGATCCTAAAATTCGTGGATTTGCTTTAAGAAATTTATGCTCTCTTAGATTTAGTGGTGCTATAGAATTTCTAATGCCTGCAATAAAAGAGGCATTATCAGATATTGATGCATATGTTAGAAAAACAGCAATAATGGGATGTGTTAAAGTATTTTATATGCAACCAGAGTAATTAAATAATATTGAAGACTAATTATATAAAATGATAAGTGATAATGATCCTTTAGTAATTATAAATGCTATTCATGCATTAAATGAAATTTTAGCATAAGAAGGTGGTATGGCATTATCAAAAAAGATGGTTGATTATTTATTAGGAAGATTGAAAGAATTTAATGAATGGGGATAGGCAACCATTTTGGATGAGCTTTCTAAATATTCCCCTAAAGATGATAAGGAAATGTTTAATATTATGAATTTATTAGAAGAGAGATTGAAACATTCATGTTCTGCAATAGTTTTAGGAGTTATCAAAGTTTTTATGAATTTTACTAAAAATAAACCTTAAATATATGAATAAGTTATTACTAGAGTCAAATTACCATTAGTAACATTAGCATCAATTAGTGAAGGTAATTTTGAAATAATGTATACTATTTTGTGTCATATCAAATATATTGCATCTAAAGGATATAATTCTGTATTTGCATCTGATTACAAATCCTTTTATTGTAGAGTAGATGAACCAACATATATCAAATTACTTAAGCTTGAAATTCTATCATTAATTGCATGTGACTTTAATTTAGGAGATATGCTTAATGAATTAGGAGAATATGTTACAGATGTTGATCAAGAGATATCTAAAAAATCAATCTAAGCTTTAGGAGCTATTGCAATAAGATTGCCTGACTTAGCTACTGCAATTGTTAAATAATTATCATCATTTGTTACTCTATAAGATTATATCACAAATGAAGTCATTCTTGTGTTTAAAGATATTTTGAGAAAAGAACCTAAACATATTAAAGATTGTTTAGAAATTATTCAATCAGATAATATAACAGATTCAAATTCTAAAATTGCATTAATTTATATACTTGGTCAATTTGGAAGTCAAATCCCTTTGGCTCCATATATTCTAGAAACATATATAGGAGCATAGGAATCAGTTGAATTAAAACATACACTCCTTACATCTTGTTTGAAAGTGTTTTTTGTTAGAGCCCCAGAAATGCATTAAGTGTTGGGTAAATTATTTTATGTAATTATTAATAATGAGAATGAAGATATTGATTTAAAAGATAGAGCTGCATATTATTATAGAGCATTAAATTCTAATGCTAATGAAGTTAAATAGCTTTGGCAATATAGTATAAAAGTTGATAAATTCCTTGAAGAAACTATTATAAATAAAGAAGCTCTATTATTTGAATTCAATTCATTATCTGTTATTTATGAAAAGAATGTTAACAAATTTATTAAACCTATTGAATACTTTAATAATCTTAGAAATAAAGAGTTGTAAGATCTTAACTAAGAATAATAATAAACTTAAACAAGTACAACTTAAGAATAAACATCTGATGTTATAGAAAATCCATAACCATAATCTTATGGTTAAACTAATGATCTTCTTGAAATTTCTGATTAACCTCAATAATAAATGTATTTGAGTGTAGATAGTTTCATAGTCAATTTTGCAATAGATGCTGATCATTTTGAAAATATGTGGACTAATTTAAATGATGGGTAATTAATTTATCATTAATATTAGTGCTACCTTTACTAGAATGTTAATTAGAAATGATATTGCTAATGAAACTTCAATTGAATAATTATTTAAATAATATAGGCTGTATAATATTGCAGCAGGAGAAGAAGAGAATGTCTTGAAAATGTATTTCTATGGATCACACTAATGCTAAGTCTTTTTTGAATTTGAGATTAACAAGAATCTTAGTACAGTTATATTAAATACAAGATCTGAAATTGAAGATCAAGCATATTTAGCTTCTAAATATGTTGAAGATTTTCTTAAATAAGTTCATTTAATTGAATGATAATATTATATTACATATATATATATATATTAGAGTTATCTTTTTTAATACATATATGGAATTTGATTCATTAATAAAAGATATTAATTAAATCAGATTAGAAATAAATGAAAAAGTAATTTATAAATTCATATAAGATTAAAAGAATTTAATTAAATATGAACATTTAAACAATATATAACATTTCATTTACTACAGATTATGAGTTTTAATTTTATAAAGGAACAAATACTTTAAGAGTTATATAATTTTAATTATATATATATATTATGTCACTTTAAAGAGATAATATGTTAATAAAAGAAAATAGATTAAAACGAATTCAAAAGCTATACATTGCTAAAAATTTGGTTATGAATGAACCATAAACATAAAGTGACAGAAATATTTTTCAAGAAATTAATGATGAATTCAATATTGATAAAGGTCCAAAATATAATTAAAAGGGTGAAATCATTAAACATTCAATTTTAGGAAAACCTGATTGGTTCAATAAAACAAAGTATGGAAAAAAATAAGCATAATTTGATGAATTTAATCTTCGATAACTTCCACAAAAATCTTAGACAAGAATTGATTAAGATTAAAGATCCATGGCAAAGAGTGATGTAAAAAGTTTATAAAAAGGTGGAGGCTCTGGAAAATTCAAAAAGGAAAAGAGAGATTAATTAACAACTAAAACTCAATTGATTTAAGAATTGGAAAAGATTAAAGAAAGAATAGATATGAATAAAGAAATTGAATAAAGAAAATTGAAGTATTTATTAAATACTTATATTAGAGAGTTATAACCTATTGTAAGATCTAATATTACGAAATAAGAAAGAGCAATGGACAAACATAATAAGATTGAATAATACTGGAATGATTTTACTTATAAATAAGCAAATCAATTAGGTAGATTTCCTTCTGATTGCCAATTAATATAAGCTGAAAATTATAGAACTAGATTAGAAGCTGCAGCAGCATTTGATGCTCTTAAAACAGATTATGAAAGATTTGGACCAAGAGTTTGGTAAATGACTCTTAGAAAACCTGATTAATCTAATGAAATGTTGATTAAAATGAAGGATACAGAAATGATTGTAGAAAATTAAATAAAATATGATTTTATAGTGGTAATTAATATTTAAGATATTTAGGGATCTGATTTACCTAATGCTTTTACAGAATCATCTGTTTGTGGACATAAGGGTGGTATAGAATATTATAGAAAACCTAATTTCTTACCTGATAGCAGTCAATTAACGATTTCCAGTAGATTTAGAAAATCTACAGATTCTGAAATGAATTAAAGTTCTTTACCTTTTAAGAGTTTTAGAAGTGAAGAATATTTGATGAAAAAGATTGAAAAATAAAAAAGTTAATTCAATTAATCTCATATGTTATCAATTGATAAGACTGATGGATATGATTAATTAATTATATTAGGAAAGAATTAATATGAAGTAGAAAAATAAATGTTATTAAATGATGGAACAGATAATACAGGAGTTTATCGTAAGAATATTGAAAAGATATCTGAAGAATAAACTAAAGAATAAATTTATGAATAGAATTTTACTGGGAAATAGAGATTAATTTTACCATAGATTTATAAAACATAAATATCTAGAATTAAAAGATAAGGATCTGTCACAAGCAAAAGTTAGGATTCAAGAAGTAGTTAGGATTTTTAAACAGAAAATTAAACTGTTATATAATGAATAGAAAGATTTTGATTTTGTTTTTCACATGATTAATATACTTATTTTATATGAAGCTTTTTCATTTTTTCTTGTTTCCTCCTTTAGCTTAAGCAGTTGATTTTCCTCCTGCATTATTCTTTCTCAAAGCTTTTAATTAGGTACTGAGGAGTGCACTTCTCTATTTTTATAATTGATAATAGCATTACTCTCTTTCTGAGAATCATAACTCTAAATCTATCAAAATCTGTTAATTTAGCTCTTAAAGCTTTCTTGGCAACTTTCTTGGCAGCAATAGTATTTTGATATTGTGTAAATGGGTCATTCTTTTTAATTGCCTTGGTAATCACACCAGTTCTAGCACCTCTTGTGGCACCTTTAAGATTGAATTTGGTAAGTGTCAATCTTCTAATTGGGATGACCTATCTTTAAACTCCTGTTGTTGGTCCATCAATAAGGACTCTCTTATCGTTGAGGATTTCAATAATAGTGGCTAATTTGCCTTCTTATGGACCATAGTTGATCTTGACAACTCTTCCAACTTCAACAAACTTTCCAAGTCCCTAGAAAAATTAATGGATGTTCTTACCATCTCTAATAAAACAAATTTTTTTTATTATTTAAAAATCCTTTTAATCTTTTTAAAAAGAGATGTTAAACAAATATAATATGTATTATTAAAATATATTCAATCAACTAAAGACTTCTCTTTTCTTATGAATATATAAACTAATTTAGAGAATTATATATAGAATTCAAATTTGTTTATATTAATTTATATAGAATATAATTTTAATGTACAAGAATTATGTATGAACTCATAAATTTTACATCTCTTTTTTAGTTAAGTGAATTTTTAGTATAATTTATTATTAATCCTATTATAAATTTAATATGATGAGAATAAAAATTTTATCAATTCCAATAAATTTTATATATAAATTGATAAAACACAATTGATTATTATTTTTGGAAATAAAACTATTACAAAAAGAGATCAATTAATTTGTGATTAGAATAATAAAAGATAATTAGATAAAAATAATCAAAATATATAGAGTATTTTAATGTAATTATTAAAAATACTTTTAAATCAAAATATAAAAAACAAATAAAATTATAATACATTACTTTAACATCTATTTCTTATTGACAAGTTTATTTCCATTAAAAAAAAAATTAAATATAGCCCTATTATATTTACTTTAATATTTAGATGTTTATTTTAATCAATTTTAGAGTAAATGAGAAGGATATTACCTGGAACTAAGAAAATAAAATAGAATTAAATGAAACTTATAAATGAATAAAACACATTAATGAATTTACTCTGCCTAAAAAAAAAAAAAAATATATAAATAAATAAGACAGTAACTGATACTCCTTATAACAAATAGAAGAGAATGTGTAAGTAAATTTAGATGATTATATCTATAATTTATTTAGAATGGCTAATAAAATGGCTTAAATATATTTTAATTATGTGGAAATAGAGAGATATGTGTATTATTTTTTATCTAATTATTGGCAAACAATTATAATTTTAGATATTAATTATGATTAGTATTTAATTTAAGCTAAGTGGTTAATGATTGAAAATAGTAGATGAATCAAATAATGAGAGCTAAACTGAAATTTTCGGACAACATTTATTAGGATTATTATGAATAGTGAAAAATATATAAATAAAATTATTAAATAGATATGTCTAGAACAAACAAATAGGTTGAGTAATAGCCAGCACCAAACAAGAAGGTTTAAGCACCTGCTAAGCCTTAAAAACCAAAGGAGAATTATTTGACTCCAGAGGAAATCAATGATTTGAGAGTAAGAGTGTTGTAACCATAAAAAGGAAACATTTGATTTATTTGATGATGATAAGAGTGGCACAATTGATGCACACGAAATTAAAAAGGTGCTTGAAGATTTAGGAGTTGATGCTAGAAACAAGTTTGTGTATCAAATGGTTTAAGATTTGGAAAAGTATTAATATACATCTTAATATTAGTTTTGGAGGCTCAATTGATTTTGATACTTTTGTTAATATTATATCAGATAGATTGGGAAATAATAAAACAAAAGAGGGTGCATTCAAATTGTTCCAAATTTATGATCCTGAAGATACTGGGTATATATTTGAAGATATTTTAGATTCATTGATTTCGTGAATCTTAAACGTGTGGCAAAGGAATTGGGTGAAACTCTCAATGATGATGAATTGCATGAAATGATCCATCATATTCACATTCTAAGAAAAACAGAGAGTCCAGAATAAATCTCATTTGAGGAGTTTTACGAAATCATCACCGCTCCAAGAAGATATTGAGAAAATAAAATCACATATATTAAATCATCATATGGCAAATATATATCTATATTTAAATATAATTCAAAATTACAAGATGAAGAATAAGATAATAATTATTAAATACTTCAAATATTACTTATAATAAATAAAATTAGTATGAAAATGTTAAAAATAATAATTATTATTATTATTTTACATTTATAAACATATAATATATTTTTAAAAGATTATAGTTCTCAACCTATAAGTTCAATTATCTACTGTCTATAAAAATAGGATTTATTTGCAACTTTAGATTTTTAATATTTGAAATATTAAATGAATTAAGAATCATTATAATTGAATATTATAATTAATATTAATTTTTATATTAACCATGAGAAATTATATCAATTTTATGATTCTACAATGCCATCTGATTAAAAATACAGATTTCGATTTGTTAGATTTTGAGGAGATCCATCAAATTAAATTATTTAAGGTGAATGTTCTCCTTAAGGAGAGCAATCTAATTCTATTTTACACTAAGTTCTAAAAGGAGAAGATGATAATTATAGAAATGGTAAATCCCTGTAAGTTTGTGATGGTGGATCCTCCTTTGATTTTATAGATTCCTAATTATTTAACTATTCTGCTTATAGATTTCTGTTTTTCTTAACCTCTTATAATTGATTAATTTCATTTTCTAATAAACCTTATCTACAAACTGGACAATTAGCTTATTTTGTTGTCCTTTAATAGAATATTAGTATACCAATCATATAAACATTGTTCGTGAAAATAATGATTGCAAGGAGTTTAACAATATTTCTCTTTTAATTCAAATTAAACTAAACAAACTGAACAAGTATCAGAACTCATTTTAGAATCCACTTTTTTAGTTGGCATATATTTTTTTAATACTTTTCTATCCAAAACTGGTTTAATTTAAGTAATTTTTTTGTATTATCTTCTATAATGACATAATATTATTAGAAAAAGTAATAGACCAAAAATTACTATAGAAATCAAAAGAATAGTAGCCCAAAATGGAAATTCTTCATTTTAAAAAGGACATCTATATTTATTATTTATTATATGTACGTAATTGTAATTGTAATTTCTTGAATTTAAGTGGAATTGAAATTATACAATCCAATTATATATATACTATCCTAACTATCTTCTGTTTAAGATAAGGAAATTTAATTTTCATTATTATCAGTATTTAAAACAACAAAATTTTATAGAAATGATGGAAGTCTAGTTACATTAACTTTATTAAATGAAATGATAGAAATACCAAATAAGGATTCTCCATTTTAAACATAAACCTAGTAAATTATTATAATATTAATTACTTCATAATTGTTATTATCAAGAATAGTATAAGCATAAAACCAGGTATTGTTCAAAATTAGAATTGTTACAGAAAATTCTTTTTAGATTTGTTAAATTGAAAGACTGCAATTCTATCCATAATGAGGGAATTAACAAGGTGATTAAATATGTTATTTCTAAAATTGAAATTAGATTTACAGCTTCATTTAGAGTCAAATTAAAATGCATTGTTTTATTGATGTTTTTTTGATTTTAAAAGTACTCTAATAAATTACAACTAACTTTGATAGTAATATTTTCAGTTTAATCAAAATATACTTTCTGAATATTAGCTTTAATTGAATAAGCTAATGAATCATTATAAGTTTAATTATTTATGATGATTTATAGCAATGGTAAACAATAATTATTTATTGGTAATTGAGTAATTATCATGGACAACAAATAAGTTTTGGAACTATTCAAATTTGTTTGTTAAATTTCCAATTGATCAGTTACATACTAAGTATTAAAGTTTGCTAAAACAGCTGATATGCATAATAAAAATATCATTAAAATTAATGTATAGAAATTTATTGAAATTGCGCTATGCATATCAACCATGTATAAATTAAGATCATTATCATTCTAGAAACATCATAATTAACTCCAATCAAGATGACCGTTAGAGAAGCAATAAATCTAGCCATGGATGAAGAGCTTGCTAATGATCCAAATGTATTTTTAATTGGTAAATTTTCAAAGTAATATTTTAGGTGAAGAAGTAGGGCAATTTCAAGGTGCTTATAAAGTTTCTAAAGGACTTTTCTAAAAATATGGAGGTGATAGAATTATTGATACACCAATCACTGAAGCAGGATTTACAGGTATCTCAGTCGGAGCTGCCCTTTATGGATTAAAACCCATAGTTGAATTTATGACATGGAATTTTGCAATGTAAGCAATTGATCACATCATAAATTCAGCAGCCAAAGCACATTATATGAGTGCTGGAGATTAAAAGGCTTCAATAGTATTTAGAGGAATTAATGGGTAATAAATAAATATTATATTTCAGAGCAACTGCATATGTAGCTGCACAACATTCTCAATGTTTTGCTTCTTGGTATAGTAATGTACCAGGATTGATTGTATTAGCACCTTATGATTGTGATGATGCAAAATCATTATTAAAGGCAGCTGTTCGTAATCCAAATCCTGTTGTTTTTTTGGAGAACGAGATATTATATAGTGAATCATTTGAATTATCTGCTGAAGCTAGAGATCCAAATTATATTGCTCCAATTGGAAAAGCTAAGATTATGAGAAAAGGTGAACATGTTACAATTGTAGCATTTTCTAAAATGGTTGAATATTCACTTAGAGCTGCTGAATAACTATTTCGTGAAGGCATAAGTTGTGAAGTCATTAATTTAAGAAGTTTAAGACCATTGGATAGAGATACTATTATTGAAAGTGTAAAGAAAACAGGAAGAGTTGTTTGTGTTGAAGAAGGATGGCCATAATCTGGTATTGGAGCTGAAATAGCAGCTCTTATTATGGAAGGAGGAGCTTTTAAATATTTAGATGCTCCTATTTAAAGAGTCACAGGAGTTGAAATACCAACACCATATGCTTTTAATTTAGAAGCCATTACATTTCCAAAAACAGAACAAATTGTTGATGCTGTCTTAAATGTATTAAAAGGGGCTCGTTGATTTATATTTAAATTATAAAAATGGATCAATATACAGTTCTTGGTGAAGGTGCTTAACATATTGTCTATTAATATATTGGCAATGATCCCACTCTTAAAGATAAGGTTATCAGAATTCGTAAACCAAGGGATATTTGTGAGATTTCTAGTAATCTCATTCTACCTTTCAATAATACAGATTGGACTCCTCTCAAAAAGTATTTTGCAAAAAAACAACCATACTAGATAGGAGATCAATAATGTTAAATTATGGACAATCTATTTTTTAATGTTGTTTTTGCGGTGGAAATCAAACCTAAAACATTTTTACCAATTTTATCTAACAAATAAGAAAATAAAGACTTATGTGATCCTAAGAATCAAAGATTTTTTATGATCTAACTATTAAAGGCTTAAAAGAAATTACAAAAAAATGGTAAAGATATTTATCAATGTACAAAAATGGAAATCGATTCATTAATCTCAAAATATGACCCTAGAAAGTTTTATAATGGTAAGATTGAAAATCTATTTGATGCAATAATTGATTTAGCAGATATTCCTGAGAATAATTTTAGACTCTTTAATAATTAATAGAAACATGTTTAAAACATTGAAGAATTTAATATTGAAGAGGTAATACATAATAATTAATTTTTAGATAGCATCAATTATTAGTGAAACATTACTATTAGAGGATCTTATCTAATAACTCAAAGGATTTTTTCATATGTTATAATAAATGAATCTTACAGTTGAAGAAACATAAGAAGCTTATGAAAAATTAAAATAAAAAAAATTAACTAATAAATAATTTTAGGATATTGTAGAAGGAAAGTGTTAAGATCCTGAAATATAAAAAATAGCTTTTAAATTGTTAACCTTTTCTTCCTTTTAAGCTTTAAGTGATTTATCAATCATTGGAAGTTTTAGAAAAGAAGGTTCAGGCAAATTTGTTGAGGTTGGAAATTAAAAATTGTTTTATTAATATTCAATAGTTGATTGTGATTTGAAACCATTAAATAAAATTGAAGATTACATGTCAACCATAGATGAATTAATCAAATTGAGAAATTATTATGATTCTCTTAAATGAATTATATTATATATAAAAAATGAAAAAATTGATCCCAGCTATAGTCTCAGATATAGATGGAGTATTAGTAAGAGGGAAGTCAATAATTCCAAATTCAGATATAGTTATTAAGTAATTATTGAATTGTCATTACACAAATGGAGAAAGACATAATATTAGGATTCCCTTTTACTTATTGACTAATGGAGGAGGATGTACAGAATTGGATAAAGCTAATTAATTAAATAAAATAATGGGTTCAAATTTTAAAAGACATCATATATTTCTAAATTATACTCCATTAAGACCAATAATGAATGAATATTAGAATAAATTAATTTTAATTTGTGGAGCAGGAAAACTAACAGAAATAGCTAAGGATTGTGATTTAAAATATTATTACACAATCGATGAATATTCTGCAATATATGATTAAGTTGCATTTAAATAATATGATGCTGAAATTATTAGATAATATGAGACTGATATCAAATAAAGACATATGGAATAGATGAAAAATAAGTAAATTGAAGCAGTTTTTATAGTATTTGATCCTATAAAGTGGGAAGAGAGTATTTAGACAATATCTAAGTTGGTTAAAGAGAATAAAGATATACCTATTTATGTAGTTAATAATGATGTGACTTATGCAGATTAATTTAAATTACCAAGATTAGCATTTGGAACATTCACTTATGCACTAATTTCTATTCTAAAGAAAGAATATAATATAAATCCAAATATCATTTATTATGGTAAACCATCTCTTAATACATACAAATATGTATAAACATATATACATGAAAAACATGAAAATATTGGTAATATATATATGATTGGTGATAATCCTACAAGTGATATAAGAGGAGCCAATTAAATTGGATGGCCATCATTTTTAGTAAGGACTGGTGTGTTCAGAGGTGGTGAGAATGATCCAAAAGATCCTGGGAAATATGTTGTGAAAGATTTAATGGATGCTTACAATAAGATATTACAATTAGAAGGATTAAAAGTTGTTTAATGATGTTTTAACTATATAAATTTAAAAATGGGTGCTAATTCTTCATAAAGTGAAAAATTTGTATAAGAATTCTAAAGACAATGCGTTAAAGTGAGAGAGTTAAAAGACTTGCGTTTTGGAGATGTTTAGATATTTCGAACACAATAGAATACTTTCATTATGGTCAAAAGCATCTGGTGCAATAATTCATAAGAATATGATGCATCAATTAGTAATATAAAATTGATTAATTTAGGTAATTGTGAAAAGAGATCTAAGATTCAGCATTAAAATCTGGTCAAACTCTTAGGTTATCATTCAAATTCATAAAATTAATGGTGTGGAGATTTTTCAAAAATTACTGTATATTTGGAATTCTTTGATTACACTTTAGAAAAGTCTATTGATACAAGGAGACAAACTAATTAATACTTTACAGAAGCTGAACTATGGAAGATGCTATTTACTATTGCTAAATTGGGAATCTATCTTGAAGAATAAAATAAAGTACTTGGAGATATAAGACCTTGCAATATTTAATTATCAGATGATTTGAAAATGGCTGTAAGAATTATACATAACTCTTTATAGGAATTAGGCATATTAAAACCAGATCAAACAGGTTATTAAAGATAAATAAATAATTAAGAAGTAGCATATTTAAGTCCAGAACAGTTATATTCACTTAATAATCCTTCAATTACAGCTAAATCAGATGTCTATTCTTTAGGTGTTACAATGTTAGAATGCTCTACTCTAATGAGTGGAAAGAATCTATATAAATCAAATAGAATTGACGGCCATCTTCTTTAACAATTATTAGAAACTGTCAAATAACTAGGATATTCAAATCCATGGTATAGAATGGTTAGAGAGTTATTAAAAGAGTAGCCTGATGAAAGGCCTTCTTATTAAGATATTTATGTAATTTTTCAATCTTTATAATCAGGATGCCCTCAAATAATTTGAAGTTCAGATCCTTAATTTATAGCCATTTTAACTTGTATATTAACAACCTCAAATACCTTAACAATCTATATCACCATATAGACCATAACATTAACAATATTCATAATCATTACCACCTCCACATCAACAATAGTAGGTTCAAAATTAAGTACCAATATAATATTAATAATTTTAATAATAATAATAATAATAACCATAATAATAATAATAAATAGTTTAACCATAATAAATACAGTCTTTACCTTAATAGCCACCTTATTAGTATCAATAATAAGTGCTTCCATCACAATAACCAATTTTAGCATCTTAATTACCTTAATAATAGACATAATAATAACCTATGCCTATACCATAAAATTAATTTCCTCCATAATAATCTTATATGTATTAATATCAATAGCAACCTTATTTAAATGAATTAGCAAATGCTCAATCAAATTATTTTGTTTAATAACCTGTTCATCATTTACCATAACAAATAGAGTAGTCCCCATATCACACACTACAGTCCCCTTAAAACATGACATCAACTATGTATTATCAAGAGGAAGAATAAGATGATGGATTAAATGAAATTGACAGAAAGATTTAATAAGCATTGAAAATGACTAGGGATACTGAAATGAGAAATAAATAAACACCGAATTACTATTGACATAAAAATTACAATATAATCAATAATTAGTTGTATAAATTTGTTTTATCCCTTCCATTTCTAGTTTCTCAAATTTAATTTAAATCAAAAAAATAATTTAATAAATTCAATTGTTATTCTGTGAAATATCAGTTTGAACCCTAAATAATTTAAATAGAGAAAAATAATATGAAAACCAGAATGTCATATGAAAAATGAGACAATTTTATGAACTTATAAAAGATTAACAAATATAATTACATATTTTTCAGATTGATTAATGAAGATTGATATAAAAAATGTCAAGAATTAAATTTAGTAAATTCTTGGGAGATCATCCAAATTCATATTGTACTTGCACCAATTTGATATTAAAATTAGTTGATTATTTAAAAAATCATTGTTTTATAGCATATGCTATAAATTTATTTATAAATATTACTATTGTTGCATAGTTTGACAACTCTTATTCTTTCTGTAGGTGAGAAACAATCGTATAAAAGATAGGTTGAATAGCTGAAAATATTATTTTTATAAAATTTATTGATCTAATGAATGCTTGCGTCATAATGAAAGATAATACCTCATTCTTAATCATAAACATTTGACTCTATGGTTCAAAAAAATAAATATATAATGAGCTATTCTACCATAGATGAGAGATTGATGGATTCACCAAAAAGAACAGAAAGCACAGATATCTAATCTGACAGTTAAATGTTAAAGAAGGGATTTAATCCGTCATTCCTAGGAATTTAATAAACATCAAAAATCACTGTACTTAATTAAGCTATTAAAAGGTCTCTAGAAGATATCTCGATACTAAAACACATGGAGTTTAATTATATTATTAGGAATTTACTCCTTAATTTGTAGATGCTCAAGTAATTATAGTTCATGGATTTGGTGAGCATTCTGGAAATTATCAATAAGTAAATTCGAATTTTATTCATTCTAGTTGACAGATTGTTTTATACTCAATAATTTTAAAGTTTATCTCTATGACCAAAGAGGATTCGGTTATTCTGGAGGTATAAGAGGCTAAGCTACTGTTGAATAAATGCATATGGATTTAGACACCGTTTTATAATTAGTAGATAGATCAATTCCTTTATTTATATTTTGCCATGCTCTTGGTGCTTCTATGATCATCAGTTTCTGTTTAATGAATCCCTCATTTCAATTTTAAGGACTTATTTGTAGTAGTGCTTAATTAAGAGTACCAGCCAAATATGGAAAAATTAAGATGCTCACTCTTAAGCTTATGACAAAACTATGTCCTGAACTTTAAGTCAATACATACTAAAATTTATCATATGCTTCAAAAAATAATCATCATATTAAAAAACTTGCCACTGATCACCTCATGCATCCTTATATGAGTATCTAATTTGCATACAATGTACTTCTATTTTAGCAATTTATTTTGCCAAATGCAACTAAATTCAAAATCCCTATCTTATTATTGCATGGAAAAGAAGACAAGGTTGCATCTCATTTAGATTCCCTTGATTTTTATAGACTCATCTAATCCAAAGAAAAAACCCTCAAAATATTTGAACAGGGATTTCATGAATTACATAATGATTCTGAATGGTCAAAAATGAAAATAATCATCACTTAATGGTGTACAAAAATGTTAAGCAAAGATATTAAAATGTCCTTTATGAGGGAACACAATTATGGAGTGATTGTTAAATAATACAGAAGCAAAATTAGAATTATTATTACTATACTTCTAGTTTTATTCAGAAAGTAATTGATTTTATAAATTCTATTAGAAAATACGCATGTTTAAAAGCAAGCACTAAAGTTAGCATAATAATATTTATAGAGTTACTTCTAAGAGTTTTCATTTCTAATTGAATATTTGTTAAGTTTATATATACTAATTAATATATTATGAAAAATATCAAAAATAACAGATAAAATTTTATAGATTTGATAATCCATCTTCTTGATTTAGAGGAACAAATAGAAAGAACAAAAATTCATATGACTTCAAATGAATATTTTACTCTTTACAGAGCTTTCTAAATAATTGATGAATAAAATACAAATTAAATAACTCAAGAAGCAATTTCAAAATTAATATCTAAACCTACTGAACAATGTGCATTGTTAACGGATTATTACTCTGAATTTAAAGATAATAAGTTATAATTTGCTAATTTCATGAATTTATGTTTGCCTAGGAGTAAACCCTAATTAAGAGCATAATTGACATAAAAACTATAAAAAAATGTAGGTTCACCAGAAGAATAAGAATTAATCAAAGAACATTTATCTATACTGATAGCTAATGAAATTCATTTTTTATAATAGATTAAGCAATACCCAATAGAAATAGAGGGGTTATTAGATTATCCATTTAAACAGAAAGATTTAAATTAATTAGTAAGTGATTTTGGATATAAAATAAATATAGAAGCAATTTGGAGAAGATTGGATTTTGATTAGAATGGAGTAGTTACTTATGAGGACATGAAGAAATTATTTAGAGAGTAAGATTAAATTATTGATGTTGATGAATAAGAAATGGAGAAGGAGAAATTAAGAAATAAGGATATAAAATTAGGATGGATAAATAATAAAGCATGTCCATATCATTCATATTCAAAATAATTGAGAAAGAAAATTCAAAATTTTTAAGAATTTGAGAAATAAAAAAGTATTTTGAGGTATGAATATATAAATAAGTTTAGATAAAATGAATGGAAATAAATTAGAAGTTTTTTATATTTGGTTAAAGAACACAGTTAAATTTATTTTTAGATAGATTAATTGTTGGAGAAGTTAAATAAATTTGATAGTTTAAAGTTATTTGAATTGTTGAGCATCAATAATAGAATAGAATTTTAACATTTTTAAAACAAAATATAAGAGATTGTTGGATAAGAATTCTAATTAGATTATTCAGATGTAGAGTAATTAATGATATTTTTTGGTGGTTAAAGTTATGAAGAATTCAAAAAGTCTTTAGAATGTAGTAGGATATTGGAGAGAAAGCAACCTATCAACATGAATGTTTTGAAGATGTTATTTATAAAATTGATTTTGTTATTGCAATTAAGTAGATATTTGAAATAATAATATAAAAAGAAGGCTTTGATTTAGAATAAGGACTTGTTGAATGAATTTGGGGAATTCTCTTAGTCAAATGTTTTGTTGATGGCAAGAAAAGCTGAGGTAGAATTAAGTTTGGAAGAAGTTAATGGGTTTTTTAAAGGTTAAGAGGTTTTGGAAGTTAGGAATGTTATGAGTTTTTTGAAATGATTTATTATATATAAAAATTATGGAAGAAATTGTTAATGGAGAAGATGATGTCGAGCCGTAATTTACATTTATTACACATACCCGAACAATATAATATCGTATTTCAGTGATGAAGAAACGAATTGAGATAGCTTCTATTAATAGCCTAGATTAAATTTAAGTTCCATTAAGCATAGATTAAATTATCTATTGGCTATATGATGAAGGTCGAGAAATAGCTTTTGGATTAAGATAGGGAGATCTTATTAATTATTACTATGGAGATGAGAGTGAGTTATCACATTTTCGTATATTGATTGGGTGCAAAATTTCATTTGGAACATTTAAATAAGATTATTTGGTTGGTGATTTATTGGGAAAAGGCACATTTTCAGAAGTATGAGTTCTTCTATGACCAGGTAATGAAGGTGACTTCTTTGAGGGATGGCAAAGAGTATGCATTAAAGAAAATCAAATTACGTAACGAGGCTCATTTAAAGAATATTGAAATTGAGGTAGCTATATTGCATAGGTTAAATCATGAAGGCATTATCAAATTATATGATGTATATAGATTAAATGAAGAGACATATGGATTAATTACTGAATTAGTCATAGGACAATCTCTGGACTCAATTATTAATAAACAAAAAGTAAGGTTTTAAATAAATGGTTAGTAAAAAAAGAGCAAGTTGGAAGAACGAGACATTTAAATGATTCTTAAATAAACTCTTTAAATCATAGATTATTTACATTAGAATAATATAATCCATAGAGATATTAAACCTTAACATATGATTTTATGTTAAAATAAAACGATTAAGATATTAGATTTTGGTTTAAGTTCTAATGAGAGTTAAATATCTTGTAATTGTGGTACTCCTGGTTATTTACCACCTGAATCATTTCGAGAACAATCATTATACACATCTAAAGGAGACATATTCAGTTTAGGAGTTGTTTTTTATAAGTTATTGAATAGAGGAGTTAGTTGTTTTGATGCAAATACACTCGAATCAGTAATGAGTAAAAATAGACGTTGCACAATTGAATATCAAATCAATGGATATTCACCTCAAGCTCTGGTACATTTTTGAAATGAATTCTAAGCATTTGCTCAAATAAATGCTTCAAAAAGATCCAGTCTTAAGAATCAATTCATACGATGCGCTGAATCATACTTATTTTACTGTCCTCCGAGAATCCCAGAATCTAAAAGAAGATAAAGGGAATATTTATGTTTACTAAGCTCATCCTAGGCCATCCCATTTATCTAGGACAAACAGTGGTGAGTTAGATAAAACTTCAAAATGATTGTAAATTATTATTAAATATATGTTCATGATATTTTCAATGCATCAATTAGGTTAAGTTCATTTCTTTTTTGTGTTCTAGAGAAAGTCAGGAGTATCAGGTTGTAAGTTAATTTTAAAATGGATTGAATTTGAATGAGTTTATGAGCGACAGATATTTAAAGACTCAGGTTAATGAATTAATGTACTATTGGATTATTTACTTGCAGCACACCCCATTTAGTTATTTTTAAAGATTAATTAAACAATAAATCTTAATGAAGACAATTTAATAAATAATAAGTTGTATTTATATTATTTGAGTATATTTCTATAGATAATTATAAATATTATTATAATGTTAGTATAAAAAATATTAATAGATGATTATTAAAAAATAGATGATTAAATTATATTATTAGATCAATATTTATTGTTCAGAATAACACAATAAGTTTTCAAAACTATTTGAAAACATTGAATGATAAGTTGGTAGAAATAAATTCTAATTTTAAACTACATTTCCATAATATTCTAGTAGAAATATTTTGGTTCCAAATTCAAGTAGAGAGTATTGATACTTATTATATAAATTGAAAGGAATTATAGAAATGTTAAGTCAAGGTTTTAAACATTAAATAATTGCAATAATTTTAATCAATTAAATAACTATTTTCTCATCAACAATTATAATAAAAAAATCTTTATTAAATTCATAGTGATGAATATGATAAAGAAGATTGTTGGTTATAAATTGATGAATTAAAAGCATCTTTCTTAAAGAGACAATAAATTAAAACATCTATGAACATTAAAATCTATAAGTAAATCGAACTTAAATATGTCTAGAGATATCATTTTATTTATTAATGATTATTAAATTCAATAAAATGTAGTTTTATATACAATAATATTAAAAGATGTCAAAAAGAGTACAAATTATTAATTTACATCAAGATATAGTGATTTAAAAGAATATAATAAATTATTTAGAAAAAAGAATAATTAAAGTTGAATTACCTGTTTATCAGAAAAGAAAGATCATATCTCTTTTCATATTAGATAGATTGAAATAGCTGTAAAAAATTATATCTAAATGATATATTTGCAATTATATGAGTTAGTTTAAAGTCATCCTTTGAAATAATTTATAATAATAATAACATTAGAAAGTATATAACAATTTGAGTAGATCTAATTCAATAAAATAGTAAATTTATATCAGTTCAATCTTATATAAGAAATTTGCTAAAAAGAAATATCATATTTTGAAGTTAATTTATTCTAAGATGTTTATTACTTTTTTTATAATTTTATTTTAATAAATATTTATTTGCATATTTTACAGAATGGGTTGTATAATTTAAAAATAGACCAGATAATAAGGGATTAAATAGTATGATCCAAAACTATAGCAAATTGTAACTGTTCCAGTTTTATATGATGCTAAGACTAATCCTATAGTTAAAAGGAGATTACAATAAGATGGTCAATCATAATCAGAATAGAACAGAACGTCAACAAGATTTTGAATAAAATATGATGTACTAAAAAATAATTATTTCAGACTCTTAATTATTATTTTACTAAATCCCATAATCTTGGATAATCCTTTTTTCCTCTCTTAACTTCAAAATCTATAACTGCACTCATAGCTCTGTATCTTTCTAATAAAGGATGGGTTTTTTCTTCATATTCTTTCATTCTTTATTCTATAACCTAAAGATTAATTTAATTATTATACTTCTTTCTTATCATCATCTCTAACCACTAATTTACCACCACAAGCATCACAGATACCTTCCTTCTTTGGATTTAATGGTTCCATAACATATCCATCTCTATTAATATCACAAATATTGAAAGCAGTTCCACAGCCCACACATGTACGACGACTTAAATATTTTTATTAAATAATACGCAGCTAATTTTTCAAGTAAAATATCTGCTCTTAAAGTTACATTAACAACAACATTTGTTGGTAAAATCTTTTCATATAAGTCTAATTATCTTAATGTTCTTGGAAATCCATCTAAAATTACTCCCTTTGCAGATTCTGGTTCCTTTAATTTTTCTTATAAGATATTCATCACAATTTCATCTGACACAAGACCACCCTTTGCTACAATATCCTTAATTGTAGCAATTAATTTTGGATCAAATGATTAAGATGTATTGCCTTTTAAAATCTTACGAATTTCATCTCCTGTTGATATATGGTTAAATTTAGTATCCTTGATCAATAATTTTGCAAATGTTCCTTTACCAACCTAATTTCATATTAATTAACATTATTACTCCAGGGGCACCAAATAAAACAAGGAATTATTATCCTGGCTTTGCAACACTAGCTGCATATCTTATTATGAGATTTTTCATATCCAATATATATTTATTTAATGAAATAATCACTCTTTGCTTAGCGTATGAAGTTAAAAAAGGATATCCAAAAACCAGATGAAAACCTCTCATTTCCTTAAACATTCAAAGTTGATATTCCACCATAACCTAATCGTGCCTAATTTCATGGTTTAAGTGAAAAAGATTATTAATAAATTGATGAAGAAAATCTTAAAGCAATCAAAGAAATGAATTAAGAATAAGTTATGGAATTACAAAAATAAATTAGAGAATCTTTAGGTGATAATTTATGCAAAATGTTTGAATCTGGAGACATATACTAAATTAAACAATAAAAACAAATGCAACTAGAAATTAACTAAACCATTACTAAAAATACAGAAGTTTTTAGTAAACTTATTGATGAAGATTAAATTACAATCTCTTAAATTCAAGAACTAATTAAATCACCAGAAATGAGTAGTGTTAAATTGGCACTCCAAAAAATTGATAAAGTTATTAAACCATAAAATGTTCTCTAATTAGAATCTATAAATCTAAGTGATTACCTTATCTCTGTTGGAAAATCAACTAACATTTCAGTATCCCTATTTTCATTTGATTTGCTTTATACATATTGGACATAGATAGTTCCTAATTGTTGGAATCCAATATATAATCTTAAAGAAACTAAAGAAATTGAAGATCTCTATATTGATCTACCTTAAATGATTAATTAATTATAGCATCATATTCATTATACCAAAGCATTAGACCTTTTAAGAATAAGAAACATTCTATCCTAATCCAATTCTAAATATATAATAGAACAATAATCAATTATAAACATCGAATGCAAAATTAAATCTATTATTTTACTTTAATAATTTTAAGAATTGTAAAAAATTGATTTCATTTCTTAAGAATTTTCAGATTTTTTACTATCAATCATTTTCTATTATTTTAATTATCTACTTGATTCCCAATGTAATATAATTATTAGTGAATTATCAAAATTATAGAATTCAAACTTAAAATTGGCTATATTCTATCAATATTAATAAAGATTTAGTTGCAAATTAATACATGAACCTTTAATATTAAATATAAAGAAACCTGAAATTAATCAAGATATCTAAATTTATGAAATAGTTCCATTTTAATCTGTCCTTGCAAAACTATTTGATTCATTTAATTTAGCTATATTTTCTGGTCAAGATGTTATAACTTGTCTTAAATAAATTGTTTCATTGATTTTTGATATTAGATATTTAGCAAAATCTATTATTTCAAGAAAGTAAAGAAAAATACATAAATGGAGATTATTGAACATTTTAAGAAGTATCTTTTAAGATCAATTTAAAAATGAAGCCAATAAAAGAACATCAATAAAAGAAAATAATGAAAAATATTAATTATTAGAATTAATCAGATAATAATTAAAAATTGAATTTCATTTAAGAGATGAAAAAGAATTAGTCTTTGAGGCAAGTTTATATTCAGGACTCTCCTAATTTCTAAGTTAACATGAATATCAATTAGAAGTTGTTTAATAATATATTGATTGTTTTAATGATATTGATTTTGAAATAAAATCTGAATTCGTACTGTTAAAACTATACAAATTATTAATATCTAATATGGAATTACCTAAAGGATTAATAAATTTATACAAATATTTATTGAATAAAATAAATATCAAAGAATTAGCTGTCCTATTAAATAAAAATGTTTCTTATTTTGAAAAATTACTCTAAAAATGTTAATATGATTCATATTATAATGAAACATATGTGAATGTTTTATTTTTGTTTATTAGCCCTCATTTTAATCCAGATTTTCACAATTTATTATTTTAAGAATTCTAATGCTCACCTATATTGCAATATTTATCATCAGAAATATATATGAAACATTTAAATTACTTTACTATTAAACCAAATAAAGGATTAGAGATTTATAGATAAAATGTCTTAGATGTAAGTAGTTAAAATGAATTTATATAAAAATGGCAAGCAGAAATTAGTCAATGGTGATGATATTAATATAAAAGAAAATATATATAGGATTTCAAATCAAAATTTTATTCAACATAATATAATTAAGAATTAATTATTTAAAATATTAATAATTTATTTATTTTAATCCAATTTACAAATCAATAATTTGTTAAGATACTTACATCTTCATTTTTATTAGATACTTCTTCATAATTTCATATGATTAATCTGTAGAAAAATAAACAAATCAGATAACATTTATTAATAATTAATTTTAATGTTTTCTACATTTTATTAATTCAAATATCTTATAAGAATTATGAAAGAATTAAAAATAAATGAAAAATTGAATAATATTGAATTAAAGTCATGAAAAGCAGTCAAGGAATATATCACTTTCATTATTAGGTTCCTAATTTATATCATAATTTTATTGTTACCTCTTAAAATACATATATATTTCTCTCACTTATATATTGATAGTTTTTACTTATAATTTCATGAACAAAATATTACTCATCCTAATATAATGAATTGATATTACATCATCATTTCCTACCCAATCTTATCCTCTCCACACATAAACTTGTAAGACTGATTTATTTATTTCTTTTATTAAAATGAATAATTGAGATTAATCCAAATCTTCTAAATCGAACATCAATAGATAATCATCTGAATTTGGATATATATAAAATGCCTTTTTTTCAACATGGGTTTCCTCAACTCTGTCTGAACTATATAATTAAATATTTGATTCTTTTTCTTTATTAAATTCATTCTCATCAACTTCTTCATACCATTAATCCCATTCTCTTATCTTTTAACAAATAATCCCAGGTTTACCAACTATTCCCCATAAACCCCAAAACATTTCTGATTCATTTTCAGCTTCCATCAATATTGGTTATATATTAGGGGCTTTCTCAAATTATTTCAAAAATTTAGTATAATCAAGAGCATATTGAATGAATCTATTTATAAATTATGAAATACTTACTTCTCTGTTTTATTGCATTCAGGACCAATCCATAAATATAAATCATGTTCTGAAAGTACTAGAAAGACTCCTCTACTATCAAATGTTCTCAAAACCTTACCAGAATATAATTAATCCATCAACATTCTACATACAATACTTTAAGGTCCACTAACTCCTCTTCCTACTGCAAATACTCTAGGAGCAATAGGTATACTATCATATGAGGCTTGTAATCTCTTTTAAAATAATAACAATTAGACTGTAAATCCCATATTAGGAGATGCTACCCCTCTATTTTTCTTAATAATATCGAATGCTTGAGAATAAGTAATTTATTAAGATATAATTAAATAAGCTATACATAATGACACAGATCTTGATACTCCTTAAACACAATGAATCAATACTTTCCCATTACTCTTTTTTGCCTTTTCAATGATACCAATAACTTCATAAAATATACATTCTATATTTTCTGTCTTTGAATCTTTGAGATAATAAGTCTAATAAAAGAAATCATCAGGATATTTATTCTTACATACATCTCCTGCACAATTTACTACATGAGTGACTCCAATTTATTTTAAGACTTCTTTATTGTATGCTATTTATTCACCTCCAACATAAAGAAAATTAGGTATTACAGATGAGCATTATTCTGCAAAATGTTAAATTTTAAGCTTTTTCCTATCTGTATCTCTGATATCAAAATTAAATCCATTTGAATCCTCTTCCTCAATATCTTAATATGTAGTATCATCTCGTTATAATTTTAAACTTGCTAGAGGTAATTTCATAGGTTTGATTTTTTCATTTTCATTATACTCAACACCTTCAACTAATGGAACTCCTATACTGACTTCTTGAGAATGAGTTTTGCAATTTAAATCTAATTTAGGAATATTAAGAGCAGGAACTTTGCTTTTTATTTATGTTGGTAAATTAAATTAAAATGCATTATTATTAGTAATTGGTAATTATTATGGACTAATATCTTCATATCTATTATTTTCTCTTGAACGACTAGAAATTGGTTTTGAACCTTCTTTAGAAATAGGAGGAGATCCTTCATCTGATATCTCATGTATATTATTTTTAATTTCATTTGAATTTCTTCTAGGAAATGCTAATTCTTTGAATACATCTCTTGGTTAGGCATCTCTACTAGTCAAAGATTCTCTTAGATTTAATTTAGGCTTTTAAATAACTTTATTATTGTTTGAATTTTAAAGATGTTCATCATTTAAATCTACTTTAATAAATTATTAAGCATATGCCTATGTATTTTATTTTTTTGCTAAAAAATCTGCTAATTTAGAGAATTCTTTTTTTTTTTCAGGAACTGGAAACAAAAAATTAAATAAATATACAGTTTCTCTAACTTAATTTTCAGTTTCAATATTTGTAGTAGATGATGTTTAGGCACTACTTTATAATGTCAATATTGATCCTTTAGATAACTTTTTATTTTTAATAATGCCACCACTAAAGAGTATTTCAAGTAAAGGATCCCTTCCTCTATTTAACAGATTTTCTAATTCAAAAGCATTAGATAAGGCTGATGCTTTAATTAAGGGATTTGCTGTTTTGCCATTCCATACAAAAATCATATACTCATAAATATTTGATGTTGATGGATTTTATTATCTTTAGGGTAGCAAAAATGATTCTAGATGACTTTCTGATGCTGCCACTGGTTCTTCTAATCCTCTAGGAGTTAAATTAGAATAAGATTCAACGACACCCCACATTTAATGAGGAAAATTTGTAAATTGATTGTACTCTATATTAATTATACATTATTTTACCTTCTTAAGCCTTTTTGTATACCAACAATACGAGATAGCATTCAGTTGAAAGAAAATTAAAACCGCTAGTTTAGATGGTACTTAAATTAATTGGTTCAGATCTAACTTTCTTTAAAGGGTGCTTTTCCTCTTAAAATTTCCAAATCTGATAATTTTGAAAATAAACATACTTTTAAGTGTTAAGTTATGCTTTCAGGAATGTTACTATCGAATTTAATCTTCTCTAATAATTTTGTATTAAGTTCCAAAATGTCTTCCAAATTTGAAACATGCTTATCTATACTCAATTTAGATCCCATAATTTATATATATATATAATTAATATAATTTTTTAGAATAATATTTTCAAATATCATTCACACTAAAAATAGATAATCTAACAGTAGAGTCCCATTATAATAAAATATTAATTTCTCTAAATAAATTTAATTTATAAAGGATTACTATAATAAAGTTTTAGGTGCATTGTTAGGAACTTCATTTGATATAGAACAGATAGGATAATGAAGATTAATTAATAAGGCAATAGTGTGTACAAAACTAATTATTATATATATTATAATGGATTTAATAATATGTACATACATTATAAGAGGCTGAAATCCAAAATTTCAATCTAAATTATATATTTCATATAAATAAATAATTGATTCATAACTGAATTTTTTTGAATATTATCCAATATTGTTAGTAATAATCATAAAGAATTATATATCTATTTTATATTTTAATATTTATTAGTTGTTATTAATAAAATTTCTAATAATTATTCGGTATCAATTAGAATTATACTTCACTTTTATAAGTATTATAAATTGAGATAATTTTGGAACTTACTAAAATTTCAAATATCTTAAAAATTAGGAATGAATATTTAAGAAGATGTATTATAAAATAAAAGATAATTTGATTTTGATTTTTTAAGTTGATAAATTAAAAATAATAAGATAATCAATAAACAAATCATTTTTTTGTTTATATTATAATAATTCTAATAGTCAATACTTTATAGATTAACTTCTAAAAGGGTTTTTTAGAGTTGGAAAGCTTAATGATTTTACATAATTTTCTATTGGATGAGAGATTTCAGATTTCTTTCTGAAAAACTAATGTTTCAGACAAAGAGAAGCTGAAGGTCGATGCTTCTTGTGTCCAATCATCAAAAGTAGAAGCTATCTTTATTCAGTATCAATAATCTTTGAAGATACTTTAAATTTGTTTAACTTGTTTAAAAATATTAAATGATTCTTATCCTTATATTCTGGATATAATTTTTATCCAGATAATAAAGAATGAAACACACATCCTAAACTATAAATATCAACTAATTCATCATAATCTTCTTAATTTAAAATTTCAGGAGCCATATATCCAGGTGTACCACATCTTATTAAATTTTAATAACCAAATTCAACAGCAAATCCAAAATCGATTATTTTAATAGATTTGATATCATTTTCATTTTCAAAAACGATATTGTCTAATTTTAGATCTCTATGAATAATTCCTAATTTATGTAAATGTTTCACTCCTTTTAATAGTCTTTTCATGATACATTTTATCTCTGATTATTCAAATTAATAATTTCTTTCTAATATATAATTATATAGAGTTCCTCCTTTACAATATTTCATTATAAATATGATTTCATTTTATTCCTTATAAATTTCATCAATTTCGAGAATACTTTTATGTTTTTATTGATTTAATTCATAAACAATATTAATCTCCTGTTGAAGTTTCAGCTAAAATAAATTTATAAAGAATACTTATTAATTCATCTTTATATTCACTTTTTTTACTAATTTTAGTTCTCCTGTAGCTATTTGAACATATTTTAATATCTAATCAATAAATTTCTAAAATTAGTACCTCAACATCTTCTTTTGATAATAAGGAACTAACAAACAAATAATCATTATTAAAGTCTGTGTACAAAACTTTACAATCAAGTAAATTCTTTAATTACTTCATTTTTTATGCCTCACCTCTATAAGTTAAAGACTTTTAAGCATTAGCAAATCGACAATAATATGAAACTTTAAAACCTAAAATTTCTTTTTCACTATTCTTTATGTTATATAAAATACTTAAATATCCAAGCTATTGTAGTTGATAAAGAACTAAGGTCAATTGATCTATCTCTTTTTTCTTAAACAGCATCATTGGTGGTCTAATCTTATTATGTGCTGCTGATCACTAATCTTTTGTTGTACAAATATAGAGTTCGTGAAAAATTATTTTTTGTGTTGTTTACATCGCAAGTATATAATATATCTCGATTCATTCTTATTTAAAAATATAATTAAAACAATTAACAAAACCTATTTGGTTGAAAAATCCTAATTAAATCTTTTAGATATCCATATTAGTGTTAATTATTATTAAGAAAAAGTAAAATTTTACATAAATTGTATATATCCATATTGGATTAAAATGTTTTTCACACTCTTCTAAATATATATCACCTAATTGCTCTTAATTAGTTAATTACTTTTATAATAATTTTTTTTAGATTAAAATTGCTTGTAACTTAATGTTTTTCTATATATGTAAAGTTTAAAATGTGTCTATTTTTTTACATAATTTTAGAATTTAGCTAAACAAAAAAAAATGCTGAATATACTAAAGAAGGATATGTAATACTACTTGTATTCTATAACAGAGGGAATTTATTGAGATGAAAATTTAAAGGTAAAAATTGTTCATATATATTTCAAAATTAATTATAATTTATTAATATATTACAATATACTAACAAATTAAAAATTAAAAAAAGTTAAAATTATAATAATATTCACATTGATGTAAATTATCTCTTTTTAAAACTAATAATAACCTTAAAAAAGTAGAAAAGTAATTGATAACCTCGTTTCTTGGACATTTAAGATTGTTTTAAAATGGTAAATAAAAGTATTTAAAAAACTCCAAATTTCAACCAAATTAATGAAAATTAATCAGATTAAAACATAATTATTTAAATATTCAATTTAATCAGCTCAATTTAAACTAGATCCTTCTCCTTTCCTGAGTCAATTAAAAAAATATTTTAACTTTCAAGTAATTTAATATTAATAAATAAAATATATAATAAATTAATAGTAATTATATTAAAAAATTATATAGTCTATAAAAAATATATCTAATACAATAAAATACTTTTTAAAGTTGACCTTCTTTAAAATATTTATTAAAATTTTAATTTAGAATATTAAATAGTAATTTTTATATAATACAAAAATGTATAATTTATATTATTAAATAATAGAAATTAAAAACAAGAAAAATTGCCAAATAAGAATTGGTATATTATATAAGCAAATAGAACAATAAATAATACTGTAAATTTAAGAATAAAATTAATGGGGAGTTAATGAATAAAAACAAATTTCTATACATTAAATCAATCAGTCATCTCTGATTAACTTTTTTGCAATAGACATAATCTCTTGTCTTATAGATTTATTATAAATTTTAGGATATTTAGTATTAGTACTGATATCTGATGGGTTTAAATTTGTGTGGAATAATTTATTGTAAATGTTATCTTACATGGCTTTTCTGATTGAAATAGAGGGGATAGGTTCATGGGATGATTTAATAGTACTTCGAAAATCTTTACCATTTAATTCTTCTTTATCAAATTTTCTTGATACATCTCCCAAAACTTCAAAACCTTCAATATAAACATCTGTATAATATTGAGGTTCTGATGGTTTTGGATTAACAGTAGTTAGAAATCCTCTGTCTGTCTTCCATTTGTCTTTGGAATGTGTTTTCCATGTTGGAAAATAGACCATGGTCATATCTTTAGCAGCATCGTCTATTATACTTTTATTATATTAATTAGCTTGATCAGCTTGATCTTTTCTTAATTTGGGTTTATGTTCACTTGTCCATTGAGGTCCTTCCAATGATTGAACTCTTTCTCTTAATTTAATTTTAGGACCTTCAGTGTATAATTCTCTAGGCAAATGGGATTGTGAGAAATCATCAACAATATGTTAGATTCTTTAGTTGTTGGTTAGAAATCTATATAGAATAAGGAGTAAAACTTGGATAGAGTAATGGGTTTGGTAGTTTCTCTTGGTAATTTGGGAGTAGGATAAAGTCCATTAAGCAAACCTTGAATAGAGATGAGAAATAATACAATTGGCAAATTCAGGGTCGAGAGATTGAATAAAGTGTTGTCGACGATCATTAAAAGAGTTGTTGAGTATGGTATTTTGTTTTTTTGTTGATTTTGGGTTTGAGAGTGAGACAGTTCTTTTCTTTTGTTGGAAGTAATTATTCATGAAAATAAAATAAAAATGCCTTAAGAAAATTGTGTAGTTTGCGGGAAAAGATAAGATGGTTTATAGAAGTTGCTGCCTCATTTTAGATCAAGATAGTCTGACAAATACATTCATAAGAAGTGTCTATTGTTATTTAGTTCTGATTGGAATCATAGAGTTGCTGTGAATGAGCGATTGTATTATAGTGAATACCGAAAAGATTGTTCAGTATGTGGTAAAAGAAGTAAGCAATAGGTGGTTAGATGTGCACATAGGTATAAACTTTAATTATGAAATCCAGTTCATGTAGAAAAAGATTTCATTTGGATTGCTTAAAGAATGCTATAATATAATCAAATTAAAATTCAAGGAATTATTATCCAAGATTAGATGTTTATTGTTAAGATCATTCTATTGATTTAATTAAAATTAGCAATTTGGATGAGTGTGTAGAATCAATTTTTAATGAACATCTATTAAATTAAGAATAAGAACCTGGCTAAATTTAGTAGAAAAAACACAAAAAAAAGCATAAGAAGAAACATTCTAGATCAAGATCAAGATCTCATAAGAAATCAAGAAGACGATCTAGTAGCTAATATAGATTTAGTGATAGTCAAAGTTTAAAATCATCAAAATCATAATATAAAAATCATTCTCATCAAGAAAAAGATAGTTTGTTAGTTATACCTGAAAGTAAGATTACTGATTTCATGATACAAAATGTTAAAATTTTAACATAAGGACCTTTATTTGAAAAAGAGGAATCTATTATTGAACCTTTACCAATTCCTCAACCTATTTAATAATCAATTATTGTATAGAAGGAAGTTGAAAAATAAAAGATTTATCCATAAATTTAAAGATCAATTATTGAAGATCCTGAATTTCCATATACAGAAAGAGATAATAAAAGAGATTAATCAATTTTAAAGTGGTGGGAGAAAATTGAAGAAATCTATTTCAAAGGAGAAGAGAAATTACCAAATACAAAAATTGAAGAATTCTAGAATCCTTTTGAATGGTCTAATTAAGGTATAGATGAAGATTTACTTAATTATGCTGATCAAATGAATATTGGTATTTATTTTTATATTTATTATTATTATTAGAGCCAATTATACAGTTGAGATTTCAATATAGAGGAAGCATTAATGTTTTAATAAGATGTTCAAAAGCTTAGTATTAGTACACTAATTGTAAAAATCTTTTAGTTTCATTCGATATAGTTTTACCGAGCATGTAGGCAAAGCAACACCAAAAGGACTATTGAGGACTAACATACAATTGTATAGATATTTATAAGAAACAGTTGATATTCCTACATATTCTGATAAAGAAATAGTTGGCAAAGATCTAATTTATTTAGAAGGTTGTGAATTAACTAAATAAGAATATTAGGATTGTTTTGAATTAGAATAATAAATTAAAGAAGTTTATTCTAAATTGGAATCTCAATTAGATATTGAAAGTGATACAATACAATAATTTGATATTGTTTATCATATCTTAAATAAAGAATTAACTTCTGTAGTTAAATAAAATAATTAATTCAGAGATTAAATCAATTCATAAATCACTGATTACAATTTTAAAATATTAAATACTGAATAACAATTATTGATTGATTTATTGAGATGGTCTTAAATAGTCAAAGCATTTATAAATGGATACAAAGATAAAAATTAAGATGTTTTAAATTCATTTTTTCCTTTTTAATTAACATTAACATCATAATCATCCTAAAAAGCATAATAAAAGAAAAAGAAAATACATTCTAAAGAAAATACTTAACCTTTAGATACTGATTGCAAAATCTGTTTTGATTATCATTATACAGATTTTAATCCAGTCATCTATTGTGGAAAATGTTCAACATCTTTTCATAAGAATTGTTATGGTTTAACTGGATCATTAGATGAAGATGACGTTATTTGTGATGCATGTTTGTATGAATCTTCAAAGTTAAATTAATTCAGAAGAGGTATATCTATAATAATTATAAGGTGCTGCAAAATGTAGAATATGTAAAAAATTAGGATTACCATAAAAGTATATAAGGAATTATTTTTATCATGTTTCTTGTTTACTTTTAACCAATTAAGTCATTCTATCAGATGGTGCTTATGATGTTAGATATAGAAAGAATGATATTAAACAATTTTGCAAAGATAATGAATCAAGTACTCCATAATGTGCTGTTTGTGGAGATTCTAAAGGTTAAATATCAATTTAATCCAAGGATTTCGTTTTGTTTGTTCTGGCAGTGAAACCATTCCATGTAAACATGCATTCCATCCAATTTGTGCTTATCTACATGGTTTAACCATTGATATCGAAAGTGAGGATCTTGAACAGTGTTGCAAAGAATTACGGTTTGCTTAATTAAATGTGCATATCAAATGTGTCTTACATTGTAATAAAACATTGTAAGAACTTGTATAGTAGACATATTACAGGTATTATTTGTAAATATTATTATTCTAGAAGATTTGCACTGAATTATGAGCAAACTGCCAAATGTGGAGGCGAAGATGCATTCATAGAAGAATTCAAAAAAACTAAAGGATATAAGTAAGATATTTAAGCAAACTCTTAAGATATCTCTCACTAAAGTTACCCATATCAAGAAATGACAATTTATAATAATTTATTAATTAAAATGGTACACCAACCCAACAGATGTGAGTAGTATTTTCATTTTAAAATATTAAATATTGGATGAAGAAAGTTCTTTTAACATGTGATCTAAGTTACTAATATCTATTAGATATCTATTTTTATTTGACAACTTATTATAAAAGTAATTTAAAAAATATCACATTATATTAAATAATAATATAGTCAATTCTAAATTATTATCATAATTCATTAATTTAATTCAATAATTACAATTCTATTGGAATCTTAAAAATAATTTATAGGAAATGAATTATATTTTAATCTACAAATTATAATATATTTTGATAGGAAAATAATAAAATTATAAATTAACATAAAATTTGGAAATATTTATTAATATTCTTTTATTATTTCTATGAATGAAGACTTAATAAAAATTTTAATAATAATAATTTATTATTAAAATAATCACTTAATTAATTTATTATTTACCCATCTTCCTTCAACAATCTTTTAGTTTTTTGTATGATATAAACCAAATCCATTTATATAATCCTTTAAAAATTAACCACAAAACTTTTCACCATTTGATAAATATAAAGTACCTTGACCTTCTTTATTATCTTCATTAAATTCTCCTTCATATTTGGTCCAAAAACTACATAAATAAATTAAATTACTCTTCAATATGATCAAAATCATGATAATTAAAAGGTTCATTTAATTAAGATGTTACTTCATTATATAATACACCATAACCTTAAAATTTATCTTAATTCCATGATCCTTTATAAGCTGGATTACCATTTGAATAATATAAAGTACCTATGATTTATAATATATAATATATATACCATAACCATGCATATGATTAAACTACCAATTTCCATCATAATATCCTCCATCTTTGTAATAAAACATACCCTATCCATGTCTCATTCCATTAAATTTATAACCATTATATTTAGAACCATCTTAATATAATTCATTTACAAAAATTTCTCCTTAAGAAGAAAATCCTGAGATATGTGGTTATGATTATTATTAAGGTAGATCAAATGGGAGTGAAAATTATTATTGAGATTCTTTGACATTAATATCACTAAGTTTTAATTAAAAATTTTTATTAATATGTTGATCAGTGTGATCCTATAATGGCAAATTTAAAGATCTATTAGTGTAATTTTAATCATTTTCATTAGTATCTGTATTCTCATCAATTTTTGAAGGTTTTGAAAATTATTGAGAGTATACTATTTATTAAATGAAATCAGAATTATCAGGAATATTAGGTTAAATAATATCTTCATACATTCTACTAGCCATAGTTGAATTTGTATTTGATTGTTCTGTAATAATATCTCTTAGAGATGGTTTCTTAGCATTAGATTTTGAACTTTTGATTTATTTCATAATTGGAAGAGTTTATTATTATTAATATTGTACATTAGATTAATGTTAAGAATTTTATTATATATTACTTTATTATTGATCTTATGAATTAAATGATCTAAGTTAATATTTAAAATTAGTAATAGATGTAGATTCTTAATATTTTTAATCTAATAATTTTGATAAGATAATAAAATCAGGTCTTTAGATTTCTTAGATTGATAACATAGATTGAATTACTTCAAATAATTATGGTTATACAAGAGTATTTAATTGATGTAATTTTGTTAGAAGTATTTCTTCAACTAAATATAATTGTTTATAACAATCATTCATGGGTGTTTTTACTATACTTTATAACATACACATTCCAAGTATAAATACATCACTTTTATATGGATTATGATTAGGTTGAAATTCTTTTTATCTTAAAGCCATAGTTTATTAAGGTGATAGATAAATATCATTTAATTTATTATTTTGAAAGAGCTATTAAAAATTTGTGGATTACTCATAAAGTGAAGGATCACATATTTTAGGAGGTATGTATAAAGTTTTTTATGATATATGTTCATGTTAAATGGATTTATTTTATAAATCTTCTAATGCTCTAACATATGCAAACAAAACCGCCCAATAATCTTATGAAGCCAATTATGTTGCAGATAATTAGGAAGTAGGATGCTCTATTAATAAGTATATTTTAAAAAATTGACTACACACTTATTAATCTTATGTAGTATAGATGTCAAGAATTTTGAGAATATATTAATTTTGAGTTAATTATTGTTTATTTTCGAATTACTTTTTACTTTTCTTAAAAAGTATTTCATCTATGTATGTGTACTCTTTCAAAATAAGTTTGATTTTAGGATTTGATTTATTAACTAGTACTGTACAATCACCAAATTCTAAATTAATAGATAGAAATACATTCATCTCTAGTTTTAGTTGGTTGATATTCAGAATATAATTAAGCTAACTTTGTGGATTCTTAGCTATTATTATTTCCCATTCAAAATTAACGAATATTTAATAATAATGATTACAATTCTGAAGAATACTTTAATAATATATGTAGGACTTTTAGGTCTTAGTACAATAGGATCTCTATTCATATGTTTAGATTAAGATTATCATTAACAATGTCCATCACATGTAATCACAATTTTATCAGATTTGTCTGTCATTCCAATAGTAAATGAAGCAAGAATGATGTTGATTCCAATAATAAAAGAATTACCTCCATAATGGATTACTATATTAATTTGGAGTTCATTAATGATGACAACTGCATTAATAATATCAATGATGTATTTAGCAGCGTAATGAATTTAAATTAATATGTAGAAAGTTCACTTATGAAATGTTAATGAATTTAGTTAAATTAATGGTAATAATTATTTTGATATCATTCATTTGTGCATGGTTGATGAATGTTTAAGAGATACCTTCAAAATTGTAATATTATTTGAAGTACTTACAATTATTCTAATAATGATAATATAATTATATTATAATTAATGAGATCACTTTCTTAGGTTTGTATCACTGAATATTCAGAAAATATTGAAAAATATATCTTTAAACCAAAGAAAGTAATCACATTAAAGTCAGACTCACCTACTCTAACCAAAAGAAATAGTCAATAAGCTATGGTTATTTTATCTGAATCACCTCCTAAAAAACATAAAACTTGTAGTAGTGAAATTCCATTAAGTAATGGTAAAATGTTTTTGAAAGATGGAAAGATCTTATTCTTAAAGTAAAAGCTACCAAAATTAGAGTTACCATAAGCAAAATGTAAATTTGATCCAAAAATTGAAATCCTAAAATGGATATAAACAAATAAGATTATATCTCCTACAAAAAAAAGAATCACATTTAGAGCAATAAAAGAATCAAATGGTTAAAATAGAAAATCATAAATCTTTTGATTATATTTATGAATTAATTAACTAAATTTATTGAAGTATTATCTTTAAATTGGATATATGATAATTGATTTTGATAATTGAATAATAATTTATATCTTAATGGTAGATATCAATAAAATGAATAGTTTTAATTATTTTATATATATATATATATATTTATATTATTATATGGATTATTACAAGATTTTAGAAATTAATCGTGATGCTTCAGCCTCTGATGTAGCCAAAGCCTATAATAAACTTTCATTAAAATGGCATCCAAAATTGAGTAAGTTAGATCATAATACTACTTATCATCATTTTTGTTTAATTTCTGAAGCTTATGAAGTATTGTCTGATCGTAATAATATATAATCAATTTAGCAATTAAAAGGACATTTTATGATAAGTATGGTGAAGAGAAGTTGAAGGAAGGTTTCTTTGCTAATGGAAGTAAATAATTTATTGATTAACTAAGACCTCAAGGGCGGTTACAGTTTTGCAGGTAATCCTGAAGAAATATTTGAAAAGTTTTTTGGTACATCTAATCCATTTGCTTAACTTATAGGTAATTATTAATATTCTATCATTTAGATACAAATGGATCAGAAAATCATGGCACTCTCTTTAGTCATGCATTTGGAGGATAGAATTTCCCAGGAATACCAGGACCTTAAGATCTTGAAATCTAAGTAGAGTGTACTTTACATGAATTATATAATGGTTGTGCAAAAACAGTATCATATTAAAGATAAATACTTAATAAAGATGGAATCACAACTCGTTAAATTACAGAAACTAAGTATTTATTTATAATTTGATATCTCTTAGAGAAATTAAAATTGATCGTGGTATTGAAACTGGATAAAAGATAGTATATAAAGAATTAGGTAATGAAGCTGCAGGATTTAAATCTTCTGATTTAATTTTCTTAATCAAAGAAACTCCACATCCAACTTTTAAAAGAAAAGGAAATGATTTATTATATATTGCAAAAGTTAAATTGGCAAATGCCATTGCTGCAGATCCAATATAAATTGTAACATTAGACAATAGAAAATTATAAGTACCTGTTGATTAAATCATAAGGTATGTTTATTAATAATAATCATAGTCCTAAATATGTAAAAATGATTGAAAATGAAGGAATGCCTATCTTCTAATAGGATGAAGTGAAAGTATCATATTTTATATAAATTTTAGGATTTTGGTAAACCATATACATTTGGAAATTTGTACATTAGATTTGATATACAATTCCCAGAAGATCTAACAGAAAGTTAAAAAAATAGAATCAAAGATATTTTATTAGAAGGTTAATAATGATTCATATTAATTATCATCATCATCATTATAAAAATTACTCATTAAAATGTTGTTACTAATTAATGAGAGTTTATAAAATTAATAATTTACTATTATTTAAAAACCTTTTTATGTTTTAATAACGTCATCAAAAGTTGAGAAGTAATAGCTTAGCAATTGATTAATAATTACCTCCTGTAAAGCGATCTAGAACAGAAGAGACAGTCTTAGGAGTGTTGTCTTATGGAGGATTTCAATTAAAAATTCATAAACGTATTATTGATAGTCTTAATATGATAAAACCTTGTTAATTATAACCAATATAAAAAAATAAATTCAAACTAGAAAAAATTAAATAATAACCAAAATTACCTAAATTACCTAAATTAATTATGTTAAGATAGATTAAAAGTAGAGAATTCAGTCCTTGGTGAATTATATGTTAATTATTTTTATTCATGATTATTATGATAATAACTATTCATTTCTGATTGTAAAATATATCACATTATTAATAATGAAATAAATATATATCAAATATTTACAAAAATCATAAAAATTTTCTCTATTTTTTTTTTCATTTAGATTATAATGTAATGAATTTAAGCTCTTTTTATAATTTCACTCTTTTCAGTATTATAGTCTTGATGACTTTTGATTTCTTGTAATTCATTCTTTTATAATAAGCTTTTGAATCTTCTGAATCTCTAATGTCTATGAATGAAATTAAGAATCTCAATTTAGATGACATATAAAAAGATATAAATATATTAAAATATTTAAAAGTTCTACTACTTTTAGTATAAATTAAATCTAAAGTAGAATGAAGATGATAAGATTAAGACTTAATCAAAATCTTTAGTTCTAAATATTTGAGGTTAAATTGAAGATTATTATTTTGATTTAAATAAAATAGTTTCTTTTATATAATTAAATAATAAAAATATAATTTTAGCTTTAAGAACTTTAATATATAAATTCATAAAGCAGAATCAGCTAGTTAACATCTCAATATTCATCTATTGTATCTTTTGTATCTATCTAAACCATGTATCTGATCTTCACTTTAGTCTCATCATAAACTATATATTCATTATGTTGTAGATTATAATAATGCATTTAATTTCCATTTTAATCTTTCTTATTTGGTTATTGATAATCAATGCATGATCCAACAGGTACTTTACATCCATTTGCTAAAACAACTGACTAATTATAATCAGGTCCTCTTCTTCCACATCCTTTAACTGATTAATATTTTTCTAAAATAATTTATTAATAAAATTACTATCTAAATTAGAAATGTTTTCAGCATTATATAGATTCTTTGATTTACCAACAGCTACTTCACATAGTAACATATATCTGTATCTCTGAATTTCTTCTTATTCATCCTTCTAAGCACTAATTTATCTATTATAATATCCATCTTATTAGAAAAGTCCATTATACTAATTATAACGGAGAGACCAATCTGAAGTATAACCATATGATTTTTAAAACATATCAGCAAAATAGATGCCTTTTCCAAACATAGCCCCAGTATTAAATGCCCAAGGAGGTGCAACTATATTTATAGAAATCAATCAATACCTTTCAATCCTTAAGCTAAAATACCCATGAAATTAGAAATCTTAGAACCATGCCATAAGAGCAATCTCTTGTATTCTTTATTATGCTCAAATCTTTCAGTTTCTCCTCTTCTTTCTACTGCAAATATATTTGAAATCTTTGCTTTTTAAGATGAATTAATATATTAAACTATTAATTTAAATTCAGGATGTTCCTTTGGTAAAGTAACTACTCTAACATTAAGTGCATTAAAACAATAAGTTAATGGATTAATTGATTATTTCATTAAATGTGCACCCAATAAAATTTTAGAAGTGATTTCAAAGTTTAGTAATGTTTCTATTAATAATAATTTTTGATTTATTGCTTCCACTGTATCCAAAGGAGGAATAGGTTCTGTTCTTAATTCTGTTACTGGAACTAATTCATAAAATCTACTTGATTTATCACAAATTTCATTAAAAATATTTTGTATCTTTTTAATATCAAGATCACCCTTTTTTCTAAGTAATTGTAGATCTTCAACACAATCTGTTAATTCATACAAAATAGCTTTAGCTGCTTCCAATAATTTTCTATCTAATCTTTCAATAGGCATATAATCTAAATCAACATGGAATTATTATAAATCTTTATTATACAATTTAACTTAAACAAATTATAACATAAATCTTTTTATTGCTTTATCTAAATTACTTTATTAATAAGGACTTTTCTTACTAAAATCAAAGGGTGAAAGTAAAGTCTTATAATTTTTTGCATTCTTAAAATTAATCAATTAATATTTTCCTGGTTTCTTTACAAATGAATCTTCTCCAGTCTAAACATTTCTCCAATTATTTCCTCCAGTTTTAGTATGAAATATTTTATTAAATTCTTTTATAGCTTCTTCTGCATTTTCAAAAGGTGTTAATTGATGTTATCCAGTTGTTCCAATCCTTCCCCATTTAGTTAAAAGTATAAAAACATTTCTATTAATTTCATGTAAGACTTGCATTCTATAAAATACATTCTCTGAATATATACCATTACCAATATCAACTTTAGTCATCAATAATGAATATGGACCAGATTCTTTATCAATCCACACTTCAACCTTACCTGATTATAAAGCTTAAGGATCTACTATTCTTCTAGTATCTTATTTTGAATCATCCAATTATTCTCCATTTTCATCTAAGAATTTCTAAGCATCAGCCTCAACATCAATTTCTTCTTCAACCCATTATGCTTAAGAAATAATACTAGTAGGAAGTCTAGGCTACTTTTATTTCTTGCCTTCTATAGCATTTAATTATTTAAGAGCATCAGCCATAGTTCCTGAATCTTGATCATTAGCATAATCCAATGGAGTTCTTCCAAATTTATCAGGTTAGTTGATATCAAAGTATTTTGACAATATTTCCAACATTTAAATATTTTCATATGAACCAAATTCAAGAGGTTAAACTACATAATGGATTGGTGTTCTATTTTATGAATCTTAAGAATGAAAAGTTTTATCAAATTTAGGATGATTCAATATAAAATAGACTAATTTCATAGAATTTATTTTAATAGATAACATTAATGATGTTTCTCCAGAATCTGTCTTTTCATTAATATCACATCCAGCATCAGTAAACTTATTTAGTATTATTTCATCTTCTAAATGAAATTCTTGAATCAAAAATAAAATAGATGATAATTAATATTTTTTATCTTTAACTTTGAATTTTACATTTAAATTTGTATTTTTTTCTTTCCATAGTTATAATTCTATATCAGATACCAAAGCTTAATAATTTTTTTATAATCTTATAGAGAATGGAGTGTTTTAATTAATGTTGTAAATATTTGGATCACAATTAGATTGCAATAAATATTAAATCATTACAAAAAAGTCATTTTTAGCAGCATAATGTAATGGAGTATAGTTTTTATCATCTTTAGCATTTTTATCAACTTACCTATTTGTTAATTCATCAGCAATCATTAATGCAATTTCTTCTGTACATTTTCTACCTTTTATTGAAAATATATGAAAAAGATTTTATTTATTTTTATTTTGTTTCTAAACAATTTTATCATCTTTAACTTTCATTAATAAAGTACGTACTAATTTGAATTGTTCTTCCATTATAGCATCTTCTATTGCTCTTTGTAGATCATATCCATCAGAAATTAATAAATAAGCTAATCCTTACCATCCTTATTTTATTGCTAATTTAAAATATGAATATGTTCCTACAGGGAATTTATTTGATTGTAATAAATAAATTTTACTTGATTATTTTTATTATTATTATTATTATTATTATTATTATTATTATTATTATTAAACTTAAAATTATGATTAAAATGGAAATTATTATTAAAATTATTATTAAAATTATTATCCTGAAAATAAACTTTTTACATTTTATACACCCTTTCCTCCAAATGGCATTCTATAAGGTTAAATAATTCCTCCATTAAGTTAGTTATCATCTATCTAATTTTCTTATTCTTCATCATCCGTAAAAATATCATCATCTTCCTATTCTATTGCTTATCCACTTTCAATTCTCTCCTTTCTCTTTTTCTTTTCTTCCTGCTTAAACTTTTCATAATCAATGATAGTAGCATATCTATTTACATCTGCTTTATTATCTATTAGCATTGTGCAGAAGTTAGAATGACCACATAAAAATGCCAAAGCCAATGGTGTATTACCATATTTATCAGGAACATCTATTGGAGCTTTCATTTTAATCATGTATCTTCCTGATATTACACTTCCTCTCATTGCAGCATAATGAAGAGGAGATCTTTAATGTATGTCAACAGTATCAACTTCACAATTTTTATCAGCTATAATAGATGATACTGTTTCAAAAGGATCAATCTCTCTAAAATCATTATCATAAGACATTTTTGTGAATGCATAAAAGAGAGGAGTTCTTTTGAAAATATCAAGAGCATTAGTGTTTGCTCCATTCTTTATCAATAAATGTTCCATTTCAAAACTAGCATCAGCCTAAGAATTTGATGAATTTATAGCATGATGCAAAGCTGTTCTTTTTAATAGATCAGGGAAGTTAGGATCAGCTTTAAATCTAGTCAAAAGAGTTGCAACAACTTTCACATTATTTAATTTTACCCAATGTTATAATGGGATTACGTCAGCATCATTCAAATTATTGAGACTTCCCCCATTTGAAATTAAAATATCTAGGATTCCATCTAATGTAGAAGTATACCTACAAGCTATTTAACTTGTAGGAGTATTTAATTTCTAGTCTTATACATTGATATTAATTCTATTAATTACAAACTCCAAAAATGTTTTACTTGTTTCATTTTCTCTTCCACAAATAAAATTAGTATTGCATGAGTTAGCAAAAAGATGGATTGGATAAATATTTTATAATGCTGCTTAAGTCAAAGGTATAGATTTGATATCATCTATTCCTTGAAGGAATGAAATACTATGATGTTATTTGAAAATAAAATGAGCAAGAGTATAACCTCCTTCATTAATATAAGGATGATCTTCTTTTTCTTATTCTCCTTCTCTAAATTACTTTCTCTTTATGATTGAGGAATTGGGATCTGCTCCCAAATTTATAAACAATTTGTACAATTTAAGTACTGTGTCTTATAAATTCAAAGATTCTTGTTTTGTCTCTTTAGCCAAATCATCTACTTATTCTTAATTTAAAAAGACTATTACTGGCCTGCTTTTATAATAGAATGTTTTTGTATGTAATTAATCCTTGGTTGGTACAAAATTAGTTTAAGGTTTAGAAACTGTATTTGGATATCCAAATAATCCTTATTTAGTTTAGTTGTTATTTTGATAATTATAACCATGGTCATCATCTTCATCATCATCATCATCATCATCAATACCATTTTATTTCTTATTTTTATCTTCTTCCTTATCTATTTTATTTACATTTCCTTCAACATTTTCATCCTCATCTTCTTCATTTTCTTTTTACTTTTACTTCTTCTTTTAATTCTCTTCATTCTAAATTTTCATTTACAATAATTTTTCTTTATTAATTCTTTCTTCCTCTTCTACCAATTCTTTTAATTTCTCCTCAAATAATTTTTATTAAAGTTTTGATACTTTCTTATTAAAAATTTATGTATGTTTTGCTTCTGCCTAACTTGTATATTCAGAAATGAGATAAATTAATGGATTCCATCCATTTTCATCATATTAGTTAACATATGATGGATCAATAGTTTTTATTATATTTTCTAACATTGAAAATCCTTTCACATTACAAAATAATTTACATTCTATTAATTTATGCAAAATATTTCTATCTTTTTTATCAACATAATTAACAGTAGGATTTGACAATTTCATCAATAATTCTGAAACCTTGAAATTCTAGTTCATAAAAGATAGAATAAATGGTGTAAATCCATTTGCATCTTAGGCATTTACATCTGAACCTGCATTAATTAATAGTTCAATGATTAAATGAACTAACTTTTCATAATTATTTTTGATATTTCTTCTTTCTTCTTTAGTAAAATCATTCCATTTAGAATAATATTATTTTGCATCCTTTCTAGACAATAATACAGCATAATGTAAAGGAGTCTTTTCTTATAAATCAGCTATCTTAACATCAGCATTCTTTTCCAAAACTAAATATTTAATATACTCAAAAGTATCTTCTGTAAATTTGCTTAAACTTGATGAAATCAATGTTCTGCCTTCATCATCTTTACAATTCACATCTGTAGAAGGATAACTCAACAATTATTTAACAATACCTAAATGATTTTTCTATAAAGCAACTGATAAGGGAGTCAATCTCCAAGAATTTGGTAAATTTTGATCAGCTCCGACTTTCATTAATTCATCAATACATTCTGGAAAACCATATGCAGCTGCATAATGTAATGGAGTATTTTTAGAGCTATCTGGAGAATCATATTCAGCTCCATGATAAAGTAATAAGGAAAGTATCTTAACATTACCATTTCTGGCAGCCAAAACACAAGAAGATCTTCCATATTTATCTTTAGCCAAAACTTTTGCTCCTTTATCTATTAAATACTTAGCTAGATCATAATGACCGTATGCACAAGCAATATTTAATGGAGTCATTTTATTTTATCCTGTTAAATTAATTTTAGATCCTTATTTTAAAAGAACCTTTACAGTTTCTAAATGTCCTCCTTAACATGCAACATGAATTGCTGCATTTCCATCTCTATTTTTTCCATCAATATTATTTGATGCCAAAAGTTAGACATTATGTGTACGACCAAATTAGGCTGCCAATATTAATGGGGTGTTCTTACTTCTATCTCCCTCTCTTACATCAATATTATTTTCCATCAAATATTTCAAACATGCTGAAGTCTATGAAACTGCAGCATAATGGATAGGTTTTCTATGTATTTCATCCAAAATATTATATTCCTATGAAATATCTAATAATTTCTAAAGACATGTATGATTTGGATTTATAGCTGCACAATGGATTGGTGTAATTAAATAATTTCCACCTGATTTCTTTGTTGCTGAGGGTTTCTTGATGTTACCAATACGACTTGCACTTGTATAATTTAAGACATCAACATGGACTTAATTGAATCCATACATATGTCCTTTATCCATTGCCATTTGAACCAAATAGCCAGCAGTATTCCAATTTCCACTTCTGACTGCAATAGCAATCTGAGTATAATATTGATGTTCATCTCCAAATTAAGCCATCATTAAACCAAAGAACTCTGGATTTCCATCAATTCTCATTAATCTCTCAATTTATGTCTCTGTTAATCTATTTTCTTAATCCAAATCCTAAACAAAAGCATTATTTCCCTCTCTTCCTCCTCTACTTAAAGCAACCTTTCTAGTTCTAGCACCATAAGCATATTAATCATTAAATCCTGTTTAGATTTCTTTGAGTGAACATCTGGGAGCACTCCCAAGTTTTACTTTACCTATGGCTTTTATAAATTAAAGTAACATAGCCTTATCTTACCTTTAAAATATGAGTTCAATAGCATTAACATCATTTTCAGGAGCCCATTTTTAAAAAAGATTACTAATTTTTAAAGAATGACCTAAGATATCTTCAAATAGTCTACAATTTCCAGTGTTAGCAGCTCTAATCAATTCCTTATTATTCATCATAATACTAGAATAATCAGTAAATCTAGATGATGTTCCTTCAAATTGTTCACAAATTAATTTTATTTCTCTATAATCTGGATTAATTTTTCCTTTAATAAATTTAGGTGGTTAAGCAGGTTAAGATTTAGATTTCTTTTCACTTGCTTTACCTTTCTTTTTTTATTATTCAACTGATTAAGATTAATCTTAATTATCTTCAACATCTTCATCTGAGTCTTGTTATTTTTGAGCTCTACCTCTCTTAATTTGTATTGGTAGTTATTCATGTTTATCCTTTTGAGAAGCAGGTGTTTATCTAGTGACTCTTTTCTTTTTTTATTCTTATTCATTTTCTTCTTCAGAACTCTCTTCACTTTCATCCAAATTAACTTTTTTATTTACTTTTTGATTACTCTTAACCTACTTTTGTGTATGCTTCTTTAATGAAGCTTAATTTTTTTTTGGCTCTTCATCTGATGATTCTTCATCAAAACTTTCATCTGACTCATCTTTTTTTTTCTTATTATTCTTAACTTCCTTTTTTTGAGTCTCTCCTTTAACAGCTTATTTGGTTCCTTTTTTAATTGTATACTTTTTAGGAGATTCCTCTTCTTCATTTTCACTTTCAGAACTTACTTATTTCTTCTACTACTATGTATTGGCGGGAATCTGCCTAACACTCTTTGCTATCTCTTATAAAGTATCTTGAGGGAATACAAAAGAAGTCACTGTAGATTTACTCTTTGGATTTGGTTTTGTGGATTTTACTTCAACATCTTCCACAATTTAACTAAAATTAATATCTTATATTACGTTCTTTCCTTAACTGATAATAATGCTTCTTTTGACTCTTTATAGACAACTTTACCATCCTTTTACTTCTCTTGCTACTCTAGTCTTACTACTTTTAATTATGATTTATGATCATTTGTTTATAGATCCTCTACTACCTTATAGAAGACTGGCTTTCCTTTTTCATTTTATCCCAGGATCTAATCCTTTTTGAATTGATATGCAAAGTTATGTTCTGTTTTTTATCCACGAGTTTTCATTTAAGTTAATTATGATATTCGATTAAAAAAATCTGATGGATTTATGACTAAATTTTATGAGGTTTAAAAATAATTATAAAAATAAATAAATATATTCTAAAAAATTCTCAATTAATTTTTTCTAAACTTATGCATTCTATCTAATTTCTTAACTCTTTTACATCCACTTACATATTATCGAACGTAGGATGATGATTTCCATATTCAAAATTCATTGGACTATATTCATTCATAAATCTTCTTTAATGAAAAGGTGATATATCTAGAGAGTGTATCCCATCAACTTATTTAAATTCGAAAGAATCTAAACCCTATATTAAATTAATTGAAGGTTGAATTCTATTTGAAGGAGTTCTATTCTAAAGATTAATAAATGAATCGTTTTTTAAAGAATCGTTTTTTATGCTATCATGTTCCTCCTTTATTGATTAAATAGTCTCTAAAGGTATAATAATTTATTAAAGAGGAGGAATATGAATATGTTCTGAATTAGAAGAATCTCCATCATTGTCTTCATCTTCTGATTTCTCTTCTAACATATTCACTCTCTTTATGTATGAATAAAATCTATTCTTCACTTAATTTTCCTATATAATTTAATCACTTCTTACTGGTCTTCTATCTAACATTTTAGCAATTTCACTCCACTTAGGCCCATAAATTCTATACTGCTCTAAAATTATTTTGTCCTCTTGCATAGTGAATTTTGATCTATTAATCTCTGGGTCCAAATTATTCAAAAACCTTTCTCTTATTTATTTACTAGTACGCCCAACCATAAATCCTTCAATTAACTTCCAGTTTCTACCATTTTCTTATACAAGTTCTATTACTTTTTTGTCTTCTTCATCTGTCCATTGTCTACGCAGTTTTGTCTAATCAAATATAGCCATTTTAACTACCTTATTAGGATTAATTCTCTTCCACCGTTATTAACATTAACTTAAATTTCTTCCAGGAATTTCTTCAGAAATCTACCGCCAATTTCCATTATGCTTTCTATGTAATCCTATTAACAATGTGTCCTCATTAGGAGTCCAAAATTTACCATACCTTCTTTCTGATGAACTAGAATCAGATTCACTGTTTTGCTTTTTAATAGATTTATTGATTAATGGTGATCTTTATAAGAACCAAAATACATACTTAGATTTTCCTTTCTAGCTATTCATATTTTTAATTAAATTAATCACTATTCAACATGCTTTTTGAATTAAATCTTTAATTGTAATCATTAATTATAAAAATGTTATCAAAAATTAAATCATATATATTATCTAAACTCTGGAAGGGTTAACAATCGATTATGTTATTTCTAAGGTCTTTTGACTGGTTATAGATACATTTTGACATTAGCTTTTAATTTTCTTGGAGATGGATGCTGAGTTGTAGTCATTGTTGCTGGTGTTCTAGGAGTCAATACTTTCTAAAAATCATTTGGGAGAAAAGGAATCGAATGATATTAATTAAGAATTTTTCTATGATTGGAAAATTTTCTCATTTAATCAACTACAATCTATTGTTGCTTAATTAAAAAAGAGTCAAAAAAGCTAGATTTGCTTTTATTCTTATTTGCACAAATTTATGTATGAACATCTTCCAGATGCTCAAACGAATTTATAATAAAATCATTATGAAGATCACCACCATCTTCTAATTGTACACTCTTTATATTCAAATATTATGGATAAAATTTTTCATATTGTTTTTTTTATGTTCTCTAATATTTATTTGCCAGAGCTTCCTATTCTTTTATCTATTACATTATAAAAACACCATCTTTCATTGAATCTCTTTAAAAGTTTGTTTCTTTTCCACATTATGAACAATGGCAACTCTTCCTTTACTATCTTTCTTTCATTTCTATATTTATTTAAGAATATTTAGAATTAGTTATTAATGATTCTCTTTTTTATGGAGATTATTCTCTTGTTTAAAGTTCTTCAATAGTTTCTTTTCGAGATGGACAGAGGTTTTTTGGCATAGTTTCGAATCTATTTAAAAATCTTTAATTGTTTGGCAAACTGAAACTTCTTTTAATTCTCTAAGTATGTATATTTCTCAATAACACATTCTTCATTAATGTTTATTTCTTTCTCTGAATTCGCTCTGTTAGAGGTTGAAAGTGAACTTATAAATAAGGCTTTCTTTATTTAATATTTTGCATAATTATATTTAATCACTTATACAAATTACTACTTTTATGAAACATGTGGAGTTCTATCAACAAATTTTCAAAAAAACCATTATATCATTATGGTATTATATCAAATGTTGAAAAAAAGAACAAATAGGTATTTTGATTTTGAACAGACATAACTTTTTAATAAAGAGCATTAATATATGAAATTATAAATATATCTCCCTGAATCTGTAGACTCTTTTACTGGAAAATATTATACTAATATCTCACCAATAATATTGAATTGATTTTAGTTTCTATGCAAAGAACTTTTTTTAAATCATATTCAATTAGTTCATTAAGAGTAATTCCTTACCTCAGGTATTTTTTAAATTTTTAATTGTTACCAAATTTTCTATGTTAAATTCTTTGGATTTATAAAACCCTCCAAAATGAATATTTTAAACATTATTAGTTAGGCTCTTCATATATTATTCATTAGCTAATATATAGAAACATCATATACTTCTAAACGAACGATGTTAAATATTCTCTTGAATTCTTCTGCGAACTCTGACAAAATTTCACTTGTTTTATTTTCTTTAATATTACTAAATTGCCCAGAATACTACATTTTAAACTGAAGGGCTATAAATTTTTATTATATCTAATTTTTATATTTTATTTATATTATCGAAATAATTAACATTAAAAATAATTTGATTTAAAATTTTAAATTATGAAATCTCTTAAGATAAGAACTGATTAATATTTAAAAAAGAGTGAAATAGATTAGAATTAATTAATAACAACATTACCATATTGTGTAAAAATTGTAAGTTCTGAAGAAGATGAAATGAATGATATAATTAAATTAGAATTTGATAGAGTTAATTGCATTCCTTTAAATGAAATCATTACATTTATTGTAATTCATATTTAATTATCATTTTTAGGATCTTCTTTTATTTAGATTTACTCATGGATAAATATTTAGTCTTATTCATAAATTATTAGATTTAATAGAAAAACTAAAATATTAAAATATCAATGAATATTATATATGGTTAATATTCAATTAATAACATAACCAAAGATTAGAATTATTTAAACGATCTTTTTTAGATTATCAATTATTTTATTCATTTCCTTTATAAAACAAAGTAGAATAAGATAAATCATAAATTATTAAATTAATTACTAAACTTTTATAATTATGTGAGTATATTCCATCATGTCTTTATTTTATTGAATCAAATAAACCTTATAAAATTTATGAAAAAGTACTTAAATAAGAATTTCAATAATTTTAATAAAAATTTAATGATTATTATATAAATCCAAAAAATATTGATTAATAGAATTAGATTGATTTGAATATTGATACAAAAGATTATTATGTTTAGAATTAAAATGATTTTTAGAAATTAGAAATGTTTGTTTAAGAATATATTAAATAAAATGATAATTTATCACCTTTAGACACTGTTTTAAATCAATTGCTAAAATATTATAAATTCAAATTATGTTTAATATCTCTAGGTATGCTTGCTAATAAACAGTAAAAAAACAAAAAATATGAATTAATACATTTAAACTGCATCTTTGTATTAAAATCAGAACAATAATTGATTAAATTAATTTCAAAAATTTTTGAAAGTTTGAATGAGCAATAAGAAATATTAAGAGACTCTATTAAATATGAAGATTATCCATTAAGTTAAGAAGAATTATAAAATTTATATGAATCTGCTGCTATTACTTATTTTAAACATTAAGGATATTTTAATTCTTTTGATTAATTTATTGAAATAAGACAATAAATTATCGATAAATAATTCAATTTTGAAGATAAATTCTAATATATTCTTAAACCATTTATTTAAGAACATTATTCTTAAATTGTTGAGCTAAATTGCCTTGATAAAATAAATGAATTAATATGAAATATAGAATTTTATATAGAGGATTGTTCTCTATTATATATCAAATTTTTTCTGATAAATTAAATTAAATTTTATCTTAATGTTTATCGATTTATATAATGAATAAAAAAATAAATCTATTTAATTTATTTCAGAACCTTTTTTTTTTGAATAAATTTTTTAAGTTTAAATGATATTTATAATCCTTAATACTAAAATGCTGACTGCATTAATACAAAAATGCTGACTGCATTAATACATAGTTATAAATTCATTTAATTATTTAAAAGAAAATGTTATAAATTTTTTTCATGTTTAATTTAATTAGTAATTAAAAAACCAGGCAAAAACTAATAAGAAAGAAAGTTTTTCTAATTTTTATTGAGAGGGAATAAAATATCTTTATTTTAATTCTATTTCCTATAAGTTTTTATCATGATGATTGTTGTCTTTATTTTTCTTGATATTTTGGAAATATTTGCTCTTATATTCATTTTTACTACACTTTGATCTCTTTTGCTTATTGATTTATACTTTTTATTATCTATGTCTTATTATTATATGAATTTCTGGGTTGATTTTAGAATCTTTTAATTTTTAAATAATTTTATCAAGAAGTTTTGTCTAAGATTGATTTTTGCATTTGTTTTCATAAGAAGTGAATTAAAATTTAAGTTGGTCTGCGAGATTAATAGAAAATAAATTTAAATAATAAGAAGTAAGCTTTCTTTATAAAATATTGATCTCAATAGGATTGATTTAAAAAAATTTAAACCAACAATTGTAATTTTGTTTGGTTATAAAAACATAAAGTGATTTGTGTCAATTAATTAGATTAGTGATCAAAAATATTCTTTTTCAAATAAATTCTTAATTAGAAGAAACATTATGTGGTTTAATAAACAAAGGTTTTACTCTTTAAAATAAATNCTTTTGATTAATTTATTGAAATAAGACAATAAATTATCGATAAATAATTCAATTTTGAAGATAAATTCTAATATATTCTTAAACCATTTATTTAAGAACATTATTCTTAAATTGTTGAGCTAAATTGCCTTGATAAAATAAATGAATTAATATGAAATATAGAATTTTATATAGAGGATTGTTCTCTATTATATATCAAATTTTTTCTGATAAATTAAATTAAATTTTATCTTAATGTTTATCGATTTATATAATGAATAAAAAAATAAATCTATTTAATTTATTTCAGAACCTTTTTTTTTTGAATAAATTTTTTAAGTTTAAATGATATTTATAATCCTTAATACTAAAATGCTGACTGCATTAATACAAAAATGCTGACTGCATTAATACATAGTTATAAATTCATTTAATTATTTAAAAGAAAATGTTATAAATTTTTTTCATGTTTAATTTAATTAGTAATTAAAAAACCAGGCAAAAACTAATAAGAAAGAAAGTTTTTCTAATTTTTATTGAGAGGGAATAAAATATCTTTATTTTAATTCTATTTCCTATAAGTTTTTATCATGATGATTGTTGTCTTTATTTTTCTTGATATTTTGGAAATATTTGCTCTTATATTCATTTTTACTACACTTTGATCTCTTTTGCTTATTGATTTATACTTTTTATTATCTATGTCTTATTATTATATGAATTTCTGGGTTGATTTTAGAATCTTTTAATTTTTAAATAATTTTATCAAGAAGTTTTGTCTAAGATTGATTTTTGCATTTGTTTTCATAAGAAGTGAATTAAAATTTAAGTTGGTCTGCGAGATTAATAGAAAATAAATTTAAATAATAAGAAGTAAGCTTTCTTTATAAAATATTGATCTCAATAGGATTGATTTAAAAAAATTTAAACCAACAATTGTAATTTTGTTTGGTTATAAAAACATAAAGTGATTTGTGTCAATTAATTAGATTAGTGATCAAAAATATTCTTTTTCAAATAAATTCTTAATTAGAAGAAACATTATGTGGTTTAATAAACAAAGGTTTTACTCTTTAAAATAAATAGTATAGTATAGGTGTTTCAAAAAAATTATATTAGAAGACTTTTATTCCTCATTTAAATAATAATGTGTTAATCAAAGAAGAATTATAATGAATTATAATAATTTTTATTCTTGAAGGCTTAAAAGTGAGTCAACTATTGAAAAGAAATTTGATATTAAGGTTTAATTGTTAAAGTTAATCATTAATCAATTATAAATTTTTAATGTCCTATGTTCCTATTTTAAATTTAATATTTTTAACTATCAATAAATATGTGAGATAGTTATTTAAATAAATTACACTTATGAAATATTTGTTCTGATGCTTTTGATTAATATTAATATAATAATAATTTATGAAAATCTATAAATCCTTTGCATTTGATTAAAATATTCCATAGTCAGATTATGAGAAATTTATCAACCCTGATGATCTGTTAAATGAGAGCTTTGAGGAATTAAAGGGAGAGTTCAAAAATTACAGAACAAAAAAGGGTAGAGACATTATCAAACAAGAAATGGAAATGAGAAAGTAACTGCAAATGAAAAGTATAATCATGGTTTTAATTGTAGGGAAAAAAAATTAATCTGGGTTGGGTGTCTAACAAAAAAAACATGAAGACCACGATAATTAAAAAGACATGTATGGGAATATTGGATTACTGATTCGATAATAAGAGAGAAAGTGCAAATAAATTAAGAAGGAAGTGCAGTCGCGTACATAATTGAATATAGACATGCAGCAAACTTTGGTTAGGACTATACAGCGATGAAACAGAAAATCCAGTAATTTATTTATGGGGACAATTTAGGAAGACTGATGTGACAAAATAACCAATATTCAGTTAAGAAGACTTTGCTAAATTGATTTAAAGAGAAGACGAAGATGAATTGATTTAAACATAAACAAGGACTGTACATAAACCTAGAGAGTATAATATTTTTTAATAAATTTAGGGGTTTTAAGTCTCGATTTATTGAGAAATAAATACCATTGTATAAAAATATGGAGTAGTCCTCTGAAATTGATTCAAAAAAGTAAGTGGACAGCAAAGTATTAACAAAACCAACTAAAATCAAATAGTATAAAAGCTAATCTAAATCTTAGATTTGGTCTTTAATAATCTCGAGAATCTCCTTCAAATGCAATGTTTGATGGTGAGGCAAAGCGAGTCTCGAAGTCGTATCTCTATAAGACTTGGCTTAAAGGAGAAGAAGCATAAAACAAGAAGTACAAAAAGCCAAGAAGAACAGAATCATACCATAAGGCGGCAGCTTAAAGGGAAGAAATAAAAAGTCAACTGAAAGAAAGAGCATAAGTAGCATTCAAAAGATATGAAAGTATGGGAAAGAGTATTTAATTTATTAAAACCTTAAGCATGGGAAAAATTTGGGGTATTTTCATAGGATATTCTGGATTTTAGAATGTAAACTTTAAAGGAAGCTAAAATTTAAAGATTGTATTTATTTAATAATAATAATTATAAAGATTGCTTGAGCAATAGGAACATGATCTTAAAAAGGTCGAATAAAATGAGTAATTAATTAATATCTATTTTTAAAGACAGAGAGATCCTGACATGCTTACTCGATTAGTGAAGGTGATCACTAAACCTAATTCTGATAATAAGGAAGAAGTCAAAACGAACTTCGTGTATCATGAACAAAGACTGAAAGATATGAGAACGAGGACTAGATAAATTTAGAGAGCTGGATTTTGAATAATAATATTTATAAATTAATGCTATAGCGATAAAAACATGAACTCAAGGAATAATTTTAAGATAGAAAGAAAATATATGAATTAGTATGTAAGAAGAATGCAGATAGAGCAATAGTGATGAGCAATATTTATGTGAATATAAAATACATGGGGAACAAATATTCAAAAGAATTAGAAGATGAGTTGAATTAATATATAGCATAGTTATGAAAATTTGAGATATAAATTAAATCTTTTTTTTTAAAAAGTATTATGATCATCTAGGTGGGTCACCTTAATGGAGAGGTGAAAACATACAACTTAGCAGACTAGAGTACTGCAGCTGAATTAATGAATGTTTTGAACTCTGAATTAGCATGTCAAGTTCAATTGGTTTAATCTGGAGAATTAGTCAATGCATCCTCAATTTTGGCAGGAGAAAGAATCTACTATGTCACAGTTGACGCAGAAGGAGGTAAGAAAAAGAAGAAAAAGAAGAAGAACTTTGCCAAGCCCAAAAAGAAGAAGCACAGACACCGAAAAATTAAGTTGGCTACCCTCAAATTATACAATGTTGATAATAAGGGTGTTGTCCAAAGATCTCACAAATAATGTCCTTAATGTCCCTAAGGTGTTTACATGGCCAAGCATTTTGATAGACATTATTGTGGTACATGCCATTAAACCTTCAGAATGGATGAAGCAACAGTAAGCATAAAAACTATATTTTAAGATTAAAGCCAACTTAGAAGCAATCAAAAAATAATAAGCTGCCAAAGCTGCTGCAGCTGCAGCTGCTGCTCCAGCTGGTGGTGCCGGAGACAAAGGGGCTGCCGGAGGAAAAAAAGGCAAGAAGAAGTGAAACATATCATCTAGTATATTAATAAATAATTTAATAAATTAATACAATCTCAAAAATGTTCATCTTGATTAGAAAATAATTAAGTACTATCTTTTTACATGCTACTTTTTAAAATTATTATATTTTTGAGTATTCAATGCATTAAATTATTTTTGACTATTTTTCTTTTGTTATTTCAAAAGATCGATTTGACATTTACAAAATATTGATTGAATAAAGAAATTAGCTATATTTTGCAATAAAGGATTAGAATTTTAATATTATGAATTTAATAAAATAATGTTAATAATCAAATATTTCATGCATATGTTATTCAATTTTAGTTGGATATGCAATTATAATTACACTTATAGCTATTAAAGCATTCAGTAGATTGATGAAGTCTTCAACTAGTAATCAAGAATTAAATCCAATGATATTATGCATAGTATAATCTCTCTTACATATAATTCAATATGCTGTGACAGAAAATAATACCTTATAAATAATTACCCTCTATTTTTAAATACTTATTTTCACTTCAATTTCTTTTTTATTTGCGAAACTATGCTATTAAGTTAAAAGTGGAACTCTTATTTTGAAAAACTTTAAAATTTTTAAGATTCTATAATTTGTTTTTTATGGAATAATTTTAGTATTTCAAATATTTGCTTTGGTTTTTTCTAGCTAAGACTCATGTGATCGGTAATTGTTTATTAAAATCTAGATATTATTATTTTAGTATAATTTTAATTATTGTTTAGCAGATTACATCAACTATAATAACAACTTATTTTGGAATAAATTTACTTTAAAAACTAAAAAGAGTCAGCTAATTTATATAGTGTAAAACCATGAATCCGAAAGCGTATAAAATAAATAAAATTTAGTGTTTATGATTCATATGCTAATATGTCTTTGTGCAATCCAAGAGCTACAATTATCGAACCAAGAGAATTAATTTAGACAAGAAAACAAATTATAATTGTAATATATTTAATGATAATAACTATACTATTCTATATATCATTTATTTTAATAGCTATATTAATATTCAAAAAAGTGACTTGCCAACATTAAATAGATAATAATAATTAGAATTACTTAATATTGGCTTATGGAATCATTTAAATGACTCCTTGTTTAGTCATTCCTTACGCATTTGGATTTATACCTTAAGTCTAGGTTTAAGGAGATTATAATGATTGCCTAATAATTTTAGATTAGTCTTAAGCAAAATCTAAAGACTCAATTCAAATTTGAATTTAGATAAAATAATTAACAAAGATTTTTAAATGACAAATAATAGATTTCATTTTTTAAATATAATTAATCCATATCCTTATTAATATTAAAACAATAATATGCTCCAATTTTTTATTTACTTACATTTTTTATTGAGATAACAAGTGCTAGGCATAAATTAATATTTCGATTGTATAATGTTAAAAAATAATAAATTTTTCTTAAAAAATGCGATTTTTAAATACTATTTATTAAATTCATATTAATTCATTTATCAATTCTAAAATTTTGATCTCAACAATGTAAGAATAATGTTCTTAAATAAATGGTTTAAGAATATATTAGAATTTATCTTCAAAATTGAATTATTTATCGATAATTTATTGTCTTACTTCATTAAATTAATCAAAAGAATTAAAATATCCTTGATGTTTAAAATAAGTAATAGCAGCAGATTCATATAAATTTTATAATTCTTTTTAACTTAATTGATAATCTTCATATTTAATAGAGTCTCTTAATATTTCTTATTGCTCATTCAAACTTTAAAAAATTTGTGAAATTAATTTAATCAATTATTGTTCTGATTTTAATTCAAAGATGCAGTTTAAATGTTTTAATTCATATTTTTTGTTTATTTACTGTTTATTAGCATGCATACCTATAGATATTAAACCTAATTTGAATTTATAATATTTTAACAATTGATTTAAAACAGTGTCTAAAGGTGATAAATTATCATTTTATTTAATATATTCTGAAACAAACATTTCTAATTTCTAAAAATCATTTTAATTCTAAACATAATCATCTTTTGTATCAATATTCAAATCAATCTAATTCTATTAATCAATATTTTTTGGATTTATATAATAATCATTAAATTTTTATTAAAATTATTGAAATTCTTATTTAAGTACTTTTTCATAAATTTTATAAGGTTTATTTGATTCAATAAAATAAAAACATGATGGAATATACTCACATAATTATAAAAGTTTAGTAATTAATTTAATAATTTATGATTTATCTTATTCTACTTTGTTTTATAAAGGAAATGAATAAAATAATTGATAATCTAAAAAAGATCGTTTAGATAATTCTAATCTTTGGTTATGTTATTAATTGAATATTAACCATATATAATATTCATTGATATTTTAATATTTTAGTTTTTCTATTAAATCTAATAATTTATGAATAAGACTAAATATTTATCCATGAGTAAATCTAAATAAAAGAAGATCCTAAAAATGATAATTAAATATGAATTACAATAAATGTAATGATTTCATTTAAAGGAATGCAATTAACTCTATCAAATTCTAATTTAATTATATCATTCATTTCATCTTCTTCAGAACTTACAATTTTTACACAATATGGTAATGTTGTTATTAATTAATTCTAATCTATTTCACTCTTTTTTAAATATTAATCAGTTCTTATCTTAAGAGATTTCATAATTTAAAATTTTATATCAAATTATTTCTATTAAAAAAAATAAAATCAGATTAAAGGATATAATTTATGAAGTAAGTGTTAGGAAATTTGCCATCATAGATTAAAAACACAATATTGAAACGGTTGTCTAATAATGAATCACTTTTAGAGTATAAAATTCAATAGAATACTGATTGTAAAGAAGCATTTGAATGGGATCTAGATGCATCTTAAATAAATCAAACTGCTTTAGCATAAATAGTTTCTGCTGATTTTAGAGATAGCACTATAACATTAAGTTACGAAAAATAATAATTACTTAATAAAGTAGAAAAAAAAAATGAGCTTAATCATTTATATATTCTATTCCAATTGTTGGAGGCTTGTTATGAATTACATAAGAAATTTATATTAGGAAGATGCTTATCTACATCAACAATAGAGATTGATTCAAGTTCATAGATAAAAATATATAGATATGGATTTAGTCATAATTTAATTAATAATGATGAAATAATACTATTAGCTCCTGAAACGATTTTTGAGGATAAGGTTTAAATAAGTAGTGATATATGGTTAATAGGAACGATTATCTATGAATTAGTATTTCAGAAATCGATTTCTTAATTTAAATATCCTTAATAATTTGAGTAATATAAAAATTTCATCAATATTTGCATGTAAGCCAATACATTTGATGATTTATGTGACAACTTAGTAGATCCTAATATTTCTGTAATTTTGTAATTACTTTTAATTTTTGATGCTGAAACAAGAGTATAATCATATTCAGCAGTAATTCTTCTTATGAAAGAGTATTTTAATATATGATATTTCAAGATTTTTACCAAAACACAGAGCAAAATTAGATGAGATTTTAAGATTCTATGAAAATGAAATGATGAATGCAAATATCAGGATTATTTAAAGAAGTGAAAAAAGAGACCCCCCTTAAAAATATAGATAAAAAAATATAAAATCAAAATCTGTTGAAAGCAAATAATTAAATTTGGAGATTTTATCACATGCAAATAGAAGAATTAATCCTTTAAACAAAATGAAAGAGTTAAGATATGCTTTCACTTAAATAGTCTAACCAGTTGATAAAATTTATACTTTGTAAATAGTTCATAAGGAAAATCTAAAAGAAGAAAACATCAAATTTTGTTAAAATATCAATTTTAAACTTTATCAAATATCTTTTTTAATTAATTTAAGAAAATAAATTTCTTACTTCACAAAAAAGACAGAACTTTTGAATATAGAAAAATATTTATTTATAAAGACTGAATAAATAATAAATTTACTCATCACCAATATTAAAACAATTAAGAATATATTGTTTATATCAGAATTAAATTATATTTAGAAATAATTAAATTTAATGAAAACAACTTCCCAAGAAATTACAAATATTTATAACAAGATTCCTGCATAGTTTTTAGAGGGTACATTAGAAAATTAAATAAAATAATTATAATAAACTCTTCAAAATAATAACCTAATCAAACATATTACTACAGAAATTATGCTAAGAATTTTAATTGCTTAGAATATTGAATATTATTTAGCTGACAAATAATCAGTAAATTTATTTTTGTTCCCAATGAAATTCTATTTGGGTTTGAGTGAAATCACAGAACCAGAAGAAATTGAAAGATATCTACAAAGATCTACCGTTAAATAGTAAATTTACTTGTAAAATGTTCTAATGAATTACAAGAAATAGTAGTAAATTTATTGATTTAGTAGGTATTTATCAAAATAATAAATAATGAATTATTTATATTAATTATTTAAAAAAATTCTAGTTTGAAAAGACAAATTTGTAATACTAAATGAATTGGTTCTAATTATAATTAAAGAGAGATAAACCTATCTTATTAGATGAATCTAATTTATTTAGCTTTTTCAGCAAAGTTCTAGACATTATTTTTAACACCTCTATCAATAAAAGTTAATTTAATGAGAATAAAGAAAATAGTACATTTAATAAATGTAAATATTAAAATATTTCATTTAGTATTTGAAATTGGAGAAATAATTACAGAAATATATAGACTAAATATAATTAATGTTAAATAATAAAAAATTTAAAAATAACTAAAGAATAACAATTTTAGAATTTAGATCAAGCTTAATTGTTGTAATACTAAAAATGTGAATTCTAAAAATTTATTTAGGCAACATTGTATAATACAAAGAAAATAATCCAACTTTTAAGAATTTGAATCATTTTTCCATACTTAAAAGTCTTGTTATTATCATTACAAAAATTCAAAGCATATTCTCCCATCTCATTCTTTATATCTTGCAGAAATTTTGATAATATAATTGATAATTTATAAATAAAAATAACAATTATCAAATTATATACTTTTAGAAGACTTTCAGATTAATTAGAATAATAATTAATTTTTCTATATATTAAAGACCAAATTTGGTAGGAATCAATTCACTTATATTTGCACCTCTTTTATTATCAACTAATGCCAAACTTTTTAAATTAGCTTTAATAAAAGGGAATACTTGCCAATAAAAAGCAGTTAACTGGTTAAAACATTTATGATTTTCCAACTATAATTAACAAATTAAAAAAGAAAAATAAAAATCTTTAATTTTATAGTGCTCTTTCATGATACTAATTGATACAATTAAATGAATAAATTTAAATAATAGAACGCTTTCAATATTTAAAAAAATTAATAGTAAGTATTTTTGTACACTTTAAATAAAACAAATAAAATTGTTAAAACATTTCATGATACATGAATAGATATTTATTTGTTACTCTATGTAAATAATATATTATAATGATTAATAAATAGAAATAGTGAAATTAAATAGAAAAATTGAATATTTTCCTTTTTCTTCCAAGTTTTTGAAATTATTTAAATAATATAGAACATTTTTTGTTACTTTATTATTAAAATCATGTATATGATCTAAAAATATGTAATTTCTATTAAGTAAAATTGGAAATTTTATGAAATAACTACTAGATCTAAAGTTTAATTCAATTTATTCATAATCCAATAAACATTTATTAACATAAGTACTGTAGGAGAGTCAAGTAAAGATAAAAAATTTAGAGAACAATTATGGAGATATAATATAAACAAATACAGATGATACAGACTTAATGGAAGAGCAATTTTAAATAGTACTTACTAGTATCATGAGTTTATATAAAATTTTATTAGTGATATAATGAAATAAGAAAAGATGATTTATGACTTAAAAAGGAAAATAAGTAAATTTAATAAAATTACTAACATTTAGTAAAAATTAAATATGAGACACTTAATGTAACTCATAATTTAAAGAGGGTAAAAGTTTAAAATTAATTATTGAAAAGAATTGTGAATGATTATCTTTAGAGAAATTTATAGAGTTGAATACATATATAATATATAATTTTTCATCTTAATATTAACTAAAAAAAAAGATACATAAAATAAATTTATCATTTTACTGTTAAATAGCAGTTGTGACGGTCAAAACAGATTGTTTATCTTAAAGAGAAATTTAAATTAAAATAAAAGAATTTTAACTAGGTTAATTAAATTGTCAATATAACAAATTTGCCGAAAAACGCACAGTTTTTTTCTGCTTTAATTCTTAATTGAGAAGTTAAGGATTAAATTCATTATTATGAGTTAATAATTTTAAGTAAAGGGCACAAAAACAACTTATATCATTTATGATAAGGTACTTGGAAAAGGAGCTTATGGTGTTGTTTTATTAGCTTAAGCTATAAATTCTGTTAGCTAATTTGCTGCAAAAATTGTATAAAATCAATTTTTCATTATTTAAGATAAGCAAAAAATCACTCAGTCCAACTGATATTGTGAATTTAAGAAATGAAATAAATATACAATCAAAATTATCTCATCCTAATGTTGTTTCAATGGTTGATGCTTTTGAAGATAACGAATACCTATATATGTTACTTGAATATTGTAATGGTGGATGCTTATTCACAAATATCTAATTAAGTGGACCATTAAGAGAAGAAAAAGCACATAAATATTTTGTTTAAATTGTATAAGCTGTACAATATTTACATTAAAAGAATTTTCTTCATCGAGATATCAAAGTATGCTAGTTTGTTTATTTTAGCTCTCAAACCTACTTTTAACCCATGATGATTAGATTAAATTGGCTGATTTTACATGGAGCACATCTCTTTCTATGGGTTATGTAGCTCCTTAAATATGTGGTACACTAGAATATATGCCACCTGAAGTGATAAAAAATGGTTTTTAAAATGAAAAATTAGATATTTGGAGTTTAGGAATAGTCCTCTATGTATATATTTATTGTATTCTTTTAAGGAAATGCTTCATAATGATCTTCCTAAAAATGGATAATTTTTTATTAAACATGGAATTAGCGAAGAATGCAAATAATTAATGAAATAGATGTTAGAAGTAGAAACCTACAAAAGACCTTCAACTTCAGAAGTGCTTTCAAGTTCATGGGTCAAAAAATTTTAGAGAAATAACGGGTTAACAATCAATACTTGTAGAAGTCTTTCAGGATTTACAGACAAATTAGGATCCCCTCAAAAGACAGCTTTATTGGGTTCTCCAATGGGATCACCATTAAGAACTGCCTTTGGTTCGCCCTTTGGATCACCAATGACATCACCTTTAAATTCTCCATTGGGTAAATGCACTTTCGGATCAAAACACGTGCCAACCGAGCCAGTTTCAAAATAGAGAGTTAGTACTCAAAAACTTTGCTGAGTTTTAACTTTATATCTTTCTATTCAAACAAATCAATAACATCATTCTATGAAATTTGGATTCATACACTAATATTCATAACAAATATTTTATAATTAAATTGAATTTATACTACTATGTCATTACAGTTTTCGTTTTTCTATTTATAATATGTAGTATTCTATTTATAGTATCACATAAAAAATGAGTAATTTAGAGAGAAACTTCTTTTAATTAATTGGTTCAACAATCAAACTATTGAATATAAATCTTATTAGTCAAAATAAAGACTTTCTTTATAATTTGAATATTTAATACTATTCTAAAAATATTTACTTTTTTGATAATTTGGGAGTATTGATTTGATTGATTTTGTTATATGTATCTAATGTGATATGATATTTTCAAATACACTATTTAGATAATTTCATTTGATTTATATGATTAATATTCTTATACTGCTATTAATATCTTTTTGTTCAAATATTTATTATTTAGATATAGAATACTTTAGTATACCTTATTCAAATTATTAAAATAAACTGCTTCTACTTATAGATGAGTTGTATATTAAATTAATATCTATTTTAATCATTAATTATAAAATAATTCATTATAAATAATAAAATGATTAAAAAATTACCTTAAGAAGTAATTAATAAAATTGCTGCAGGAGAAGTAGTTTAAAGACCTTATTCAGTAATAAAAGAGATGGTTGAAAATTCAATTGATGCTCATGCATAAAATATAACTATTTATTTAAATAATGCAGGATTAGACCTAATCAGAATTATTGATAATGGAGATGGAATTATGAAGGAAGATTATGAATTATTATGTGAAAGATATGCTACAAGTAAGATTAGAGTTGCTGAAGATTTATTACAATTATTTTCATTTGGATTTAGAGGAGAAGCATTAGCTTCAATATCTTTTGTGTCTTAAATGACAGTGATCTCTAAAAGAAGAGATCAATAAGTAGGATACAAAGCCACATATAATAGTTAGAAACTGTTGAGCATGTCTCCTATAGGGTGTTCAGATGGTACAGAAATTTAGATAGCATCATTATTTTATAATTTAGAAAAAAGGAGGTAAGCTCTAAATAAATCAGAGGAAAAAAAATCTATATTACAATTGATTTAGAGTTTAAGTCTTCATCATTCTTCAATTTAATTCAAATTATTTTATGAAAATAAATGTGAGTTTTCATCTTTCAATAGATTAGATACTATATCATCTATAATGAAAATTAATTAAACATGCATTTAAGAGAAATCATTTAATTCTGACATATATAAATATGAATCTCATTTGATGTTTACAAAATTGAGTTCTGTTAAATATAAAAGAGAATTATGTTTATTTATAAATGATAGATATGTAGATTGTGATACATTAAAAAAGAAAATAACTCAAGCTTATTAAGATTGCTATTTATGTTTAAGAGTTGAAGATGGAGGTTATTATGTATATTTGAGTATAAAATTATAACCAAAAGACATAGATCCAAATGTTCATCCAAATAAAAAAATTGTTAGGTTCTTGAATGAAGATGAAATTAGTACTGAAATATCAGAAAAATTAAAATAAGAATTATCCCCTTAATAAACAGTTAAATTAATTTAGACTGTATTATTCTAACCAAAGTCTTAAGAAGAGCAGAAAAAGAATAGCTTTAGCTTCAAATAGTCAATTTAAAGTTAATAACAATATTAAAAAGAGAAGGTCAGGATTGATCCAAAGACTTAAACTTTAATATAATAATTTGCAAGAAAATCATAAGTCTAATTAGCTTAAAGTGTAATTGATTAGATTCCAAATACTTAATCATAAAAAATTGAAGAAGAAAGCAATTAAATAAATGATTAGTATATAAAAAATGAAAATCCTGATTTGGATGATTAATTAAACAAAAATCAGAGTATAAAAATTAATTAGATTAATTAAATATCTAAAATATTAGAAGAAAAAGAGTAAACATAAATTTCTAAAGCAGAATGCTTTAAACTTTCCCTAGAATCTTAATTAGAATTATTTAATATTTTATAAAAGAAGCATCATAAAGATACATATGAATTTTATAAAAATATCTCTTTTGTAGGATTATTATAAGATTAATAACAATTATTAGTTTAAAATGATACTAAATTGTGTCTAATAAATGTGATTCCTATGATATTTAATATGATTATTGTTTAAATTATTTAAGGAGAATAACCAGAAGGAGTTTTATTAATGGAAAGATAATAAGATTCTTTATTAAAAGTAATTCGTTTAGATTCATCAGAATTTGTATTAAAGATTAATGAAAATGATATAGATATAACAATTTAATTGGCAGAATACTTGTCTTTATTAAATTACAGTAATGAATTTATAAGAGATTTTGTACTGCCCTTTTTCAAAAAATACAATGTTGCAGTAATATAAAATGATGTACAAGTAGTACTAAGATTGGAGGATTTGTATAAGTATTTTGAAAGATGTTGATCAGTATATGATTTATTGAATTATTTACTACTTGTTAATCAAATATATATTATTAGATATATTAATGTAAATATGATTAATTTAAAGTTTGTTTATCATTAATTAGATTAAATATTGAAAATAACAAATGTAAATTGGAAACAAAGTTTTTGTTTTTACTTAACAAGATTTCTAAAAATGTTTTGTTGTTAACTTAAATCCTCCTTTAGGTTAAGGACATGATGCAAGAGTCTATTTAGCTATGCATAAGAAAACAGGAGAAATGTTTGCTTTGAAAGTTTTAACTAATCTGTCACAAGATCATATCATAAATCTCTAGGTTTTTTTACATGTTATTTAGCGAACGAAATTCAAATACTTAAACGCATTAATAATCCAGGAACAGTCTTATTAAAGGGACATTCTGAAGATTATACTTGTGTTCTTTTGGAGTACATGCCAAATGACACATTTTTAAAGATATTAAAAAAGGGACCATTCCCATTTCCTTTAGCAAAGACTTTATCAGGCTATCTTATTAAAGTCTTAGGAACTCTTCATAATGCCGGAATAGCTCATTGTGACATAAAGCCAGAAAATATTTTGATTGCCGCTGATTATAATCTCAAACTGTGTGATTTTGGATTTGCAAGACTCTCAAATTAAAATTTAAGACCTGCTGGAGGAACTCCTGGATATACTGCACCAGAATTATATATAAATGAGACAATGAATCTATTTAAATGTGATATATTTGCTTTGGGAGTAGTAATATTTATAATTGTGATGGGATTCCCTCCATTTTAATCAAATGATCCTAATTCAAGAGATGGATGGTGGGCATTAATCTATAACAAATAATATGATTTATTCTGGAACAAATGTGAAAGTTTTAGATAACAGCAATTTCCTAAGGAATTTAAGATTATGATAATGTCAATGTTAGAAAGTGATCCAGATAAGAGGATATCCTTAAATACATTATTAGAACATGAATTCTTATAGGATGGAGCAACTGAGGAAGAAGTATTGATAGAGATAGAGAAAAGAGTGAAGGAATGAATGAGATAAGGGAATAATTATGATTATTATTAGAAACATATTAAAAAATCATTTATTCTAAAAAATAATACACATTTATAATTGTATTTTTAAATTACATTCTAATTTTGGATTTAGTTTTTATGTATATATTTATATATAAATAATACCTCTCAATTTTTTGAGGGAACTTAAAAATTTAAAGGTTATATCTTGGAGAATTTCCATTCATTGTTTGATTGTTCAATTTATTATAGTCTATCAATGAATAAAAGCATCACTAAGATTAACACATTATTATTAATTTATTATCTATGCAAAGGCCTCTCAAACCAATAACCATATCTTAACCCATAATTCAAAAAATAGAGAACACAAGATCAGATTGCTCTAGTGATGATGATCTTAGTTATATTGAAACTTTGAGGGCCGAAGCTCAAAATCCTATGATAAAGAACTTCTCGGAAATTGAGTGCCTTGTTGATGACATACATGATTTAGAAGAATTCCTTAATTCTCTTGATTGAAACCAATGATTACCAAGGGAAAAGCAATCAATAGCATGACCCTTGGTTTTGACTGATTATAATACATAAACTTTTAATCAAAAACATTTTTCAAAATCTTACTTACATCTTCATATTGACAAGTCATTTGGTAGTGTTAAACAATAAATTACATTATTACAAATGAATCAAAAATAATAAGGAAAAGCTGTATTTTATTTTATAATATGAACATTTTGTAATTTGTTCATCTATCTAAGATTGAGAATTCAAAGAATAATAGAATATAATTATTTAATCTTTTGTATTGATAACTGTAGACTATATGAATTTTTATATGTTCTTGGTTTATTATGATAAATGGATATATATTGAAAATAAAATCATCAGTGATTTGACAATTTTTATAGTAACAATCAAATGAAGTTTAGATAAGAATTATAAGATCATTTGATATTGAGATTGAAGAAATAATGATATATAGACTTTTAGAAATCTGAAAATATCTGAAGTTTAATAATATTTCTAGAGTTTTCTAAACTATTATAATTTTTATAATTAACATTAACCATTTAAATATTAGAGCAATTATATATTGTTATGTCTATTTAAGATAACTAAAATAAATAATTATAATAATCATTAAGTTTATTAATAAATACTTAAAATATAAAATAATTTAGAATGCATAATAAAATTGAAAATAATAATCAATCTTAATAATCATCATCAACTAATGATTAAGTCTAATTTTAATTTTCCTATTTGACAGTTAAATCATCTTTATCTTCTTCTTTAGGTACACCAACTTTCTCTCCATCTTTTTCACAACATACCTACTTTTTTATAAATTTTGGTTTCACTTATTATTATACTTATTTTGTTTATTATTATACTACAACTTATTTTAAATGTTAAGTAACACTATGCATAGTTTTATCCCTAAATATAATTGTATTAATATACTCTTTTTCATTTGTATCTGACAATCTTTTTACTTTAAATTATTCTTTAAATCCTTTTGATTTTTCCCATTCTTCTTGTAATTCTAAAGCATCTAAATCATAAAAAAGTTATTTAAGCAACATATCAGGAGTAAATTAAGTTTATCTTCTATTTAGTTAATGAGTATCATCTATAGCATCTAGAATGTCCATTTCTTTTTTTGAATCATGAGTTTTATTTTCTAAAAATTTCATAGAATCTCCTTATTCTTCATTAGCTCTCATTTATTTAAGAACTTCTTCTGCTGCTTTTGCATCTCTATAAGGATCATAATTTCTAGTTCCTCCTCCTTCAACTATGTAATCATGATTTCGTGGATCAGTTTTAAAAGTAATTTCAGCATAACAATAACTAAATATATAGATTAGATTTAAGTACGTGCATTTAAAATAGAATCGATGAATAAGAATACCTAGATAATTTTCAGTCCATACTGTCTCTTTTCTCATATTAAATTTAGTTCCAATATAGAGATAATTACCACAATGATTACATTTTACAGTCATAGGAAGCATATTTCTAACATTATCTTATTTTCCTTTTGGACGATGATTATTTGGTAATAACTTAGGATCAAAATCAGGTGGATAATATTTAACTAGAACTTTTCTTTCTGCCATTAAATAATAATATTAATGATAGAGATCAAAAAAATTATTAAGTCAACCTCTGTAGATAATACAAATAAGACAACTTAGAATAAAATCAATAATCCAACTAAGTCTAATAATAATTAAGAAGTACAAAAGGATTTCTAAAAATTACAAGCTCTTCTTGAATCAAAACCTAAAATTGAAAAAACCTCAAAATCTAATGCTCCTATTAAGAGTTAGTAACAAAACATTATTGAATTAAAAACAAAAGAGCATAATGGAAATAAACAAAATAATAATGTGATAACCAAGAAACATGATGAATTGAAAAAGTAAACTAAAGAGCTTGTAGTTAAACAAAAAGATAATGAAAAAAACAAACCAAAATAAGAGATAACTAAATTTGAAAATATTAAGAAACAAATTAAACCTAATCCTCAATAATTGACTAAATAAAAAGAAGAGAAGGAATCTTCTTATTAACCATTAAAAATACATAAGCCTGTGATTAAAGAAAAGGTTATTTCGAAAGATGATGATGAATTAAATGAGGATAGAAATCAGATCATAATCTAAAAAAAAAATCAATAACATACAGAGAAATAAGATTAGACATAGAAACTTAATATAGATGTATTAAAATAAGGATTGCCTTAAATTTAAGGATCATAGAATTAGTAAACAGAGAAATAATTACCTAAGAAAGTTCTTGGTGATCAAAAGTTAATGTAATTATTATTAAATGCATCTAAAACTAATACTAAGAAGAAGAGTAAAAATAAAGATAAGAAAGATTAAGGAAATTTGAAGGATTCTAAGAATTAAAATTAATAAACTAATTAATCTATCAAGAAGGATAAAATCAAAGAATTATAGAATTAAAAAACTAAACCTTTTTCAATTAAACCATAAATCAAAGATTTAAGTATTTTAAAAAATAACAAACAAAAGAATTAAGTTAATGATGATTATGACTTAAATGATTCTTTTATTAATGATTCAGAAAGTGTAGATGTAGAAATAGATCCTAATGAAATAGTTAGTGAATTAAAAAAATTACAAAGGTATTTTTTGAGTTTAAGAGTGTAGAAAAAAAGAAGGAAGAAAGTAATGTGATTTTGATGATGATATAGAAGAGGCAGGTTTCGATATTATGTAGAAAGAAGAAAAGAAATCTAGAGTCTTAGGAATAATAGATGATTATAGAGAAGAAAAGTATATAAAGAAGGAGATAAAAAAAGAAAAGAAATAAAAGAAAAAGTTATTGGAAATGAAAAGTAAATAAGAGAAATAATAAGACTGATGGGTAATGATTCAATTCTATAATTTAATGATATAAAAACATATAAATTGAATACTAATTTCTTAGCAATGATAAATATAATAAAAAATTGTTCATTTAGTTATTGCTTTAATGATATCCATTACAAATTCAGGTTTTCTACTTACAACTTTAGGAGATCCAAAAATGTCATCATCATCTCTTTCTTCAAATGACATAACATAAACATGAGTTTGATTTCTATAAATATAATTGAAATTATTATTACTATTGATTGAAAATCATGTTTCCTTTGTGTCCTCCAATAATCCATAATTCATTACCACTTCCCATGGTATCAGCTGCACAATAACATCTTGGAATTGGAATAGTTCCATGTATTTTAGGTTTAGTCCTAATAATATATAATTGAATAGTATTACCAAACTAAAGTTTCTGGATTGAAATGATAGAGATCGCCGAGAATGTCATTAGAATGTTCACCTCTTCCTCCATAGATGAATAAGTGTCCACCTAAAGCACTTCCTAAATGTCCATGTCTTGGAGAAGGTGGTTCTCCCTTCATTACAGGAGTTAAATTAGCCCAACTAGCTTCTTTTGAAAAATCCAGAATCCACAAATCATTAAAATTTGGAGTATAATGACCTTCAGGAAGTGACTGACCTCCAAAAATATAGAGTTTATCTTTAATTTAAGTGGCAGAATGAGCAGATCTTGGAGGAGGCTTGAGTGCATGTTCATCTAGATCATAACTATAAATTAGATTGAAATAAATACTGAGTCCACATCATAGTAGTTAGATCTAGACAATAGATATCATTATAAGTTTTTTAAACTTCAAGATCATGGCTACAATAGTATCCACCAAAATAAATTAATGATTGGTAATTGGAAAGCAAAGTCAAAGAGGCTTTTTCTCTTGGAGATGGAATTTATCCTTTAGGTTTACTTTAGATCCAAGTTTTTGAAGTTGTGTTGTAAACATAATAATCATCAAAGACTTTGTCTGAATTAAGTCCACCATAATAGATTATCTTATTTCCATATTTAATTGCACTAGATAATGTGGATAAATTACTTATGGAATGCTCTTGGATCAGGAATTGGTCCTTTAGTGTCCTCTACAACTCTAAGTTCTTTTGTTCTTGGATTGAGGATGTGAAGATCATTTTTAAAGTTATGGCCTGTTCCTCTACCACCAAAAATGTAGAATTCATTTCCAATACCTGTCATTGTTAAACCATGAATTCTTTCATATTTCTTTTAGATTTGATATTGAGTAAAATAGACATTATCGTAGTTTTAAGGATGATAATGTAATTATTTTCTATTGACATGAAGAATGTTATTTTTGGATTAGAAATTATTATCAATTGTTGGTAGAGTTTCATCATAGACATATTATCCTGCAATTAGAAATTTGTATTGATATGAACCAGGAGTCAGATGCAAATATGCATAATTGATATACTTTTTTGCAAAACCTAAAAATTTTCTATTCAATTTGATTGGTTGTTTCCATTCATCCCAAGATCCCATCACAAACATCTCATTCCAATCCAAATATGTACGTACCTTTACTTTCATTAAGTCTTGCTAAGATTGATAAGAGCCTCTTTACTTTATAATTTTATCTAAACTGAACATCTTCATCTGTGTTTGGCTCTTGATCATCAGAACTATCCACTTGAATCAACTTCCTTGGTACGACTTCCAACTATATTTATAGTGGTTTCTTAGTACCCAATTATTATAAGTCCCAAAATTATTGTAAATTACATCTGCATTAGGATCATGTTTCCAAATTCCATCAACATTGAACTTATATTAATGGTAACCTGGAGGTAAAGGTGGATTAATTTCAGCTTATAAGAAACTAAAATAGCATAAAAGAAAGTACTAAGGAGGCTGCTTAGATTTCATCATTGGGTACCCAACTTAGAAGTGACTCCATGACCCATATAGAGTAACGACATTTCCTTCGTATTTCCATTCAATCACAGTTGAGTTTACTGCACATTCCTGATCTTCATGACGATTGCCACATTGTTTGCAATAATTTGATAGCATATTAAATTATTGCTAAGGTATTTAAATGAACTCACTAATATAATAGGCAAATGATTTTTTTATATGTATAATTAAAATTATCAAATTGATATGTATTTATCAAAATTTAGATTAAATATGAAATATAAATCATTATTGTAATTCTATTGTGACCTTTTTTGCAAGCAATTAATTTTAATGATATCAATAATTTGATTAATATAAATAGTTGATCATTATCAGAAATAATTAGAATGAATATTTAATTTGAATTGATCATAATAGCGCGTATTTATTTATCCTAAAAAAGAAAGTGAGGGTATTTTTGAAATTCAATAAATAAAATGGATAAGAAGTTTATTATTGTCTCTTTAGAAGGAAATGTTGGTGCAGGCAAATCAACCTTATTTGAGATTTTGAGACAAGAATTCCCTAAGGCTATTTTCCTAATGGAGCCTTTGGAATAATGGTAAAAAGTGCATGGTAACCCTAATCTTAACATTCTGGAGAAGTACTATTCAGATATTCAACGTTGGGGTTTTACATTTTAAATTTATGCTTACTAATCAAGATTAATGGCTTGGGACAGATAATTAAGAGCAGTATTAAAAGAGCAAAAATTACAACAGATTGACAATTAATTTTCTTCTCCATCTACAAATGCTGATGATGAACCCATCCTTGTGTTTACAGAGAGAAGTATTGAGAGTGCAAGAGAATTGTTTTTCAAATTGTGTTATAATGATGGAACAATCAATGAACTTGAATATCACATTTATGAAGAGTTTTATGAGTGGCTCATGGAACACTATAAGCAATATTTAGTGGATTGTGTTATTTATGTTAATACTCCTCCTGAAACATGTTTAGAACGTCTGACACGTAGAGGTAGATAAGAAGAAGCATGTGTGCCATTAGATTATTTGAGAAAGTTACACTAAAGACATGAAGATTGGCTTTCTGATATTAATAATAAATTCAAAATTATTAATATTGATGCTACCAAAAACTACGTCAAGGATTTAGATATAAAAGAAGCTGTTNGTATTTCCATTCAATCACAGTTGAGTTTACTGCACATTCCTGATCTTCATGACGATTGCCACATTGTTTGCAATAATTTGATAGCATATTAAATTATTGCTAAGGTATTTAAATGAACTCACTAATATAATAGGCAAATGATTTTTTTATATGTATAATTAAAATTATCAAATTGATATGTATTTATCAAAATTTAGATTAAATATGAAATATAAATCATTATTGTAATTCTATTGTGACCTTTTTTGCAAGCAATTAATTTTAATGATATCAATAATTTGATTAATATAAATAGTTGATCATTATCAGAAATAATTAGAATGAATATTTAATTTGAATTGATCATAATAGCGCGTATTTATTTATCCTAAAAAAGAAAGTGAGGGTATTTTTGAAATTCAATAAATAAAATGGATAAGAAGTTTATTATTGTCTCTTTAGAAGGAAATGTTGGTGCAGGCAAATCAACCTTATTTGAGATTTTGAGACAAGAATTCCCTAAGGCTATTTTCCTAATGGAGCCTTTGGAATAATGGTAAAAAGTGCATGGTAACCCTAATCTTAACATTCTGGAGAAGTACTATTCAGATATTCAACGTTGGGGTTTTACATTTTAAATTTATGCTTACTAATCAAGATTAATGGCTTGGGACAGATAATTAAGAGCAGTATTAAAAGAGCAAAAATTACAACAGATTGACAATTAATTTTCTTCTCCATCTACAAATGCTGATGATGAACCCATCCTTGTGTTTACAGAGAGAAGTATTGAGAGTGCAAGAGAATTGTTTTTCAAATTGTGTTATAATGATGGAACAATCAATGAACTTGAATATCACATTTATGAAGAGTTTTATGAGTGGCTCATGGAACACTATAAGCAATATTTAGTGGATTGTGTTATTTATGTTAATACTCCTCCTGAAACATGTTTAGAACGTCTGACACGTAGAGGTAGATAAGAAGAAGCATGTGTGCCATTAGATTATTTGAGAAAGTTACACTAAAGACATGAAGATTGGCTTTCTGATATTAATAATAAATTCAAAATTATTAATATTGATGCTACCAAAAACTACGTCAAGGATTTAGATATAAAAGAAGCTGTTCGTAGATAATTAATTGATGAAATATCCACTTTGATTGATTGATTGATAAGTATACTAATTTATCAAACATTTTTTTATTTTTATTTACATAAAGAAAATTATATAAGAGAACTTATCTCCTGAAGAGGGTAAAACTCTATAGAAATATAATGATGATGCTTGTTATTAGATTGCTGAATATCAAAGTATAAAATACTAGATTGAGGTTTATATTTAAAGAACTATCTTTTGCAGAATTGTATCAACATACTTATAAGTTGATTCTTAATAAATTACTATTCATAACATTGTTGATAAATTCATCTATCCCCTAAAATTAGTATTGATGATTAATTATTAAATGATTTTGTTAAGGCATATGAAAAGATTCAATATTTTAGCAAATTATTGGCTGCCATTTTACTTTATATTGTAAATTTCCTAAATTTATGAAATAAGAAAAATCTTATATACTTTAGAAATCTTTTAAGACTATTAAAACTATTTGTAATGAAAGTTTTCAAATTAAATTTTTTGAGAAAGACTAAAATCTAGCTTCAAAGTTACTCAATTTTTTTCTTACTCAAATACGTAATGATATGTTTAATGATTTATAGAGAAGCAATGAAGATATTTAAAATTTCAAAGAGACATTGTCATAAAGTTAAAGAGAAAAAATTAATTTAGATATTTTAGTTGAATAATGGCCAATCACTGAATTTTTACCACTTATCATTCATTCAGAATTATTATACTGGCAATAACAATTTACTTAATATTACTAATGCAAGAATTCAAAGAGAAAATTGACGTTTAATTATAGACTAGGCTATGTATCTCTTAAAGCCATTTTTGATTAAAATTGTAAAAAAGATTTTGTATGCTCTTTTTATAAGCAATTATTTTGATGCATTTCAATAGATAATGTATATATAAAATTGATGAATTGATTAAATTAACTAATACAGACTAAGAAATTATGTAATCAGATTGGAGAATCTTATATCGTTTAAATTATTCATTTATAATGAAGAAAAGAATTCATTACAATTAAACTAAAAATTCTAACATAGAAGTTAAAAAATTGAGGTTTAATCAAAAAAACAATTCGATTTTCCTTTAAGTTAGAAAATCCAAAACTAAATTATAAGAATTCAAAATAGATTAAAAAGAAATAGTATTAGATAGAAGAGTTTATTTGGAATCTTTGATTGTTAGAGTCCTCATAAGAAAAAAGTAGATGGATCACAAAGATCTATTTATAATTAAATATAATTTCAAAAATTAGCAATTATTAGCATTTATTATAGATATTCTATATTTATACTACTGGGATAGAATTATTTTTATATATAGAAATCTTTTATTTAATTTAAGTATGAAATTTCACAATATATTTTATGTATAATAAATTGCCGAATTTAAGAGATTTTTTGATTGATTTAATAAAATGATCAGAATATTAATATATAATCTGTTTTATTTATATATATATATAAGTTTCATCTCATTATATATTACAGGCTATGTATTCTTCTGTTTTCCTTGCCTTATTCTTTTCAAAATTATTTTAGCATTCCTTAAATATTTATTCAAATTCTCTATTGTCTTTTAAACTAATATTTGTAATCTGAGTTGTTTAAGTTTATTTTGCATCGAAACTATAATTTGTATTTTAAAATTTTTGGACTTTAACATACTTCTTCTATGGAGAACTAAGTTTTGATTAAGGTATGCTATTATTCATAACCAACATTGAGTCTTATAACTAAAATCTATCTTTGTTAGGAGTTTCAATATTTTTAAGATTGCTTTCTTAACTAAATTTAGAGTAGTTTTTCAAATCACCTTTAATAGGTATTTAATTATTTAATCCAAAATCAGCTGAAATATTGCATGAAGGATCCTTGTTAAGTTATTAAGATTCAGCAAATGAAAAAGTTCTTTTTTTAGGTGCTTATTTTATAGTTGATTAAAGTTCTTCATGTTTTGGAGATTGAATATAAGAACTAAAGATATTTGAATATTTATTTTCTGTTACACTCTAAAAATATTCAGGTGGTACAATATTATAGATTGGATTCTAACTAATGTAAATACTAAATTATAATACAATTATGTATTATCGTAAGACTCCGATGACTAATGTGTATCAATTCTTAAAGCATCATTGAATAATGTCTTAGATTCTTTTAAATTGCAAACATATTCCTCAATTTTTAGCATTTATCAGTTAAAAAAAAAATCAATTTTATTCAAATAGAAGTTTAGATTTTATATATATATTATAATATGTATAAATACATAAGTATCATCTATGACATCAATTAAAGCAGTTCTGATCATTAGAATAGCTGACCATCAATTGCTCTTCTCAAAGTAATATAATAAAAAGAATGTAATTTGAAATTAGAAAATATATAGATTGATTAAGATTATCAAATAATTTTAGAACATATGTCATAGCTAAATCCAAGAGCAGAAGAAAGAGTTACTCTAAAGATTGCTAATGGAGTTTGGGGTTACAAACTTGATGAAAACAAAATTTCATGTGAGTATACAAATATTTATATTAGTACTTGCTACAGAGAGTTAAGCTGATAGATCAATACATGCTATGATAAGAGTAAGATATAGTAATCATATTAAAGAAATAGAAAAAGAATTAAAAAAATGCTTGGCTATGTAGATGCTTAACCTAATGATGATGTTGAAAAATATACAAAAATTTTGGATGAAATAACTACAGGAAAAATATGATAATTTGGCTGGAGTAAACAAAGTAATAAATTTACTTTTACATTCTTAGGTTTATGCAGAATAATAAAAAGTTGATGAGGTTTAAATTGTTATAGAAGGAAACATAAATAATATTATAAATAATTGGATACAGTTTGATGTACATTTTGCAAAACTACTCATAGAATTTAGATGAAAAAGCTGAAAATTTAATAAATTAAATCGAAATAGTTCTAACAATAGTCACATGAACTTGCTAAAATTATGTATTGGAGGAATATAAAACTAAAGATTCTTATTGGTCTTATCGTGTTAGCCGTACTACTTTATATTATAGTTCCATTAGCTATAAATGCTTCAAATTTAAATGTTATTTTGTATCAATAGTATATTTATATGTATATATTTTTATGTCTTTGCTTTGTTATCCTTGGAATATAACCTATTGAAATATATTTGTTTCTTAGTAAAAATTATGTATTTCAAATCAATAATTTATGCTGAGGACATAAGTAGAATTTCATCATAATTTTAAATATATTTATATTATTTATCAATGAATCAAAATATAAAGGATAATTTATGTCGTTTTTTGAAAGCAGAAGGCACCTATAAGGAGGTCAAACCCTACCTTGAAAAAATATATTAAAAGGATCAGTAATACTTAATTCAATATTTAGATAATATTATGAACCAATATGTTAAGCTATTGTATCTGCTTTTAGAGAATAAAATCCTATTTAATGTTTTTTAGCAGCTAGAATGGCAAAGGAAGCAATAGAAAAACAAAATAATGATTTTTTAACTGTCTTTCAAGATATCTGTCTTCAAGAGTATGAATAATTGGCAGGAGATACATTAAATATAAGACTGCATGATAAAGCAAATTAATTTTTTAAAAGAAGTAATGATGCTAGCAGTTATGGAATTAGCTTTTTTCATTTGATTTTAGAAAGTATTCATTTTTGGGCTAGGTAATATTAAAAAAAAAATGATGGATTCACTCCAACTAAATTCTACTAAACTTATTAAAATCTTATGAATAAAGGAATATAATTTCCTTAAGCTAATTACTTTGAAGCATAACCAACAATCAACAATAATAAAAATAATATCGTAAATAAATTAGATATAGTAAATGATCTAGAAAATTAATTAAAATTGATGAAAGAATAACATGAAATAGAACTATCTGTAAGAGAATAAACTTACGCTATAGAACTTTATAATTTATAAGAAGAAAATAATAATTATAAAAATTTTAAACAAATATTAGATGAATAGATATAGGATTATAAAAGAAATGAAGATAAACATAAAAAAGTATAATAAGAGTTTCGAGAAGCTTAAATATAATTGAAATAATTAGAAATCGAAGTAAAAAATAGTAAATTACAAGAGGAATAATTATAAAAAGAATTAAAAGAGAAAAAGAATTTATAATATTAAATTTAATAACAAAATGAATAGATTAAAGAACTTTAACAAAATAACTAGATATTAAAAGATAGAATATAATAATAAGAGAATAGAATATAACCTTAAAATGATTTACTACTCTAAAATTAAATCAAAGAACTCTAAAAAAACAATATGACTCTTAAAACAGAGTTGGATAATAAAATTAAAGAAATTCAAGAATAAAAGATTTAGTGCTTAGAATAAGAATAAAATATTTATTAGTTAAAATTATAATTGAAAGCAAAAGAAAAATTGAATTCTGAAGCAAATGGATATAAAAATTATGAAGAAAAATAAATTATATAAAAATATGAATAAAGTATTTAAGATTTAAAAAGAAGTATTAAATAACTAGAAGGAGAAAATAAATTTTATGCCTAAAATTTATAGGAATAATAAAAGAAGAATCAAAATCTTGAAGTTTAAATTTTAAATTCATAATAAAAATAATTAGCTTCTGAAAATAAGATTAAAGAATTATAAGAATAATTAGATTAATTAAAGTAAATATCTCCAATTAGATCTAATTCAAGTAGAGCTTAAGTTAAGTAACATAGTGCAACTCAATTTTAAAATTTCTTCCCTGCAGAACCATAAAGAAAATATATTAAAAATTTTAATCTACATTATGATTTTTAGGAAGATTTCAATTAATTGTTTACAAAGCCTAAACCTATAGAAGTAGAAAATATAAATGCAACAATATTCTTTCCCTATAAGACACCAGAGTAATATTATTCTAGCATCCCTGTCAGATAACATAAGGGAACAGAAATTACTTATTAAAATTAAATTAGTGTATTAAAAGATTTGAAATAAAAAAATAAATATCTCTTCTAAATTTTCCATGTTAATAGAACAACAAATTATTTCATCGATTTACCTTCAATTTAAGTGGCTATTGTAAAATAGGTTTAAAAATTAGGGGAACAATACTAAATCTGTTATGGAATTTATTTCAAAACAGAAGAATAATCTATCAATTTATCAGGAAAATTTATAATTTAAGATAGAATGTTTTATTGTCTTTCATCACCTTAAACAGATTTTAACGTTACTTTAACAAAGAAATAGCAATACATACTAGAATATTCAATCAATGATAAATGTAAAGAATTAGAAGAGCTACTTGTTCTTGAAATAATTTATAAGTAAAAAATGATTATTACATTAGAGAAAAAATATAATAATTGTTTCTTCCAATATCTTTATTAGGTTTAATTGATTTTTAACAAGTAACTAAGGAAACTTTTAAAAAATGCTGGAAATAATTTTAAATCTTAAGGTCAAAAAAATTCAATTATAATTCTTTCGTTTTACCATAATATGATAGTATTTTACATATTAGCAAATGTTTTATTCTAATAAATAAAGAAAAATTAATGCCATATTTATAAGGAATTGATGAAATAAAATATGGAGCATAATTTAAGTTATTAGGTTCATAATTAGAAGGATTACTTAAATTTGAATTTATCCCATAAAATTAAATGATTATATATTTAGGAGTTAGAAAAGAGAAACATCATTAATTTTAGTATCTAATAAATAAAATAATCAATTCTTATCATTCAATATTTTAGTCAATATGATATTATTAAAATTTAAAATATTTATTATTTTAATGTTGAATTATATACAATTCTCTTCTGCATATTTTAGTAAAACATTATTTTAGTTATATTAAAATTCATACTCTTTTAGTTTAATTAGATAAGATTAAAAATATGTTCATTTATTTATTTAGTTTTCAAACTAATTTAAAGATTTTATATTTATTTTAACTAAAAAAAGTATGTTTAGAGTTTATAATGAGATTATATTATTAGGGAAGACAAGAAATAGATATTATTTAAGATTTGTAATTATAAATTATGAATAATGATAATAATAATCCAGAATAATAGCCATTTGGATTATGGAATAGGACTGCTATCGAAAAAAAAACGACACCTTTAGATTAAGTAAAAACTATGGCAAATGAAAAAATCTAAGAGATAATGAACAATGTATTTAGTGTTCTATTGGAAGGAAGTTGTAATAAAAGTTGGAAAAGAAATAGAGAACCTAAAGTAGGAACTGAAAGAAGGTTATGATAAATTAGACTAGAAGGCTTAGAATGTTTTACATGAATAGAAAGCAAAAATGAATTTATGGATTAAATAAAAAATAGAAATGGCAATAATTAGAGTATTAGAGAAAACAAAACCTATTCTATTAGAAAGCATACTTGATCCTTATATGGTAAAATATTGAATGAGATACGTTTAGTGTGATTGTCTGTCCAAACTTATTGAAGATGTATTTGAAGAAGTATGGCCAGATATTAAAGAAGAAATTTTATTATAAATAAGAGTGAAATATGCAGATCCTTATGAATTAGTGGAATTTCCTAAACCAAAATTATGTTGTATTGAATATCCTTGGTTTTGGTTTAAAGTTTGGTATTTATATGTAACTTAACCTTTTGATAAATCAATTTTTGAGTAATTACATTGGTATTCATGGTGGTTGGTATTTATTGTATAATTAATACCATTTTATGGAGTAATAAATTTAATAAAATATTTAGATATAAGCATTTATTTATGTTTTTGTATTTTTATTTATTGACAAATAAGATGAATATTAATTGATTAGATTTATTTTAGCATTTAAAAGTATGCAATTTATATCAATTGGATGTATGAAATATTTAATGTAGTGATAGGAACTATGGTAGGATATTTTACATTCTATTCATGTGCTGTTGTTTCAACTGTTGATAAAAGTTATTAAGATTGTAAAGAAGAAGGACCAGCAATATTTTTAAATTTTTGGTCTGATATTGCAGGTTTTTTACTTTAATTGCTTTTGGTTTGGTTAGCAATTATATTATTGAAATGTTCTAAAATTAAAGGTCAGATAAGATTTAAGCATGTATAAGTAGCAGAATAATAAATTAATAATAAAATATAAAAATAATCATGTTGTTTATGTTGTACTTTTAATGATAGAGGAGGAAGATTATATTGTTTTATGCTTTATGATTTAATATGTTTTTTAGGATGTGTAGCATTATTTTTAGGTTTGTCAGTCTCTGATGGAGAAAGAATGTTATGGCAATATAAATCAACTATGTATTTAGCTAAAACTGTATATGGTTTATTAAGTTTTCCTTTTTTGGTATTTCGTGTTCCAGGATTAACCTGGTTATTAACTCGTTCTCATGGAACAGGGTATGATTGTAATGGTAATTGTGTACCCTTAGTGTCAAATTTATAATAGTATCATCTAAGAAACAAATAATAAAAAAAAGCATATGATCCTAAATATGTTGTTTAAAGGGAAGATTTTGATGTAATGGAAGGAGTAGAATTAATGGATGAATTGGTAAATTGATAATAAATACTTAAAATTTCATTATTATTTGAATTGATAAACAGATGAAAGTAATTTTTTTATTCCATAAATCTTTTTACTTTATCTCTTTAAACTCTTTCTAATTCAGAATCATCAATGGCTAATAATACTTTAAATTATTATTCTAATTTTTGTAATTTATTTTATCTTTTCTTCTCCTCTTTATTTGAAACTATATCTCACTTCTACTTAAAGTATAAGAAACAGCTCTTCTTTATTATTTAAGTTTTTATATTCTATTTCATGCCTATTCTTTATTCCTTTAAAATTCTTTCTCTTTCTTTTCTTTTATCTCTTTTAATTAGTTCCCTATTTTCTATTATCTACACATTTCAAAAGAATATATTCAATACTTCAAGACCTTGAATTGTTTATTTATATAAATTATTATAATTTTGAGTATCAATTATCATCTTCATCATACATTTCATCATAAAGTCCATCATACGAATTAACTCCTGGCATTAATCGAGATTGGATCTCTTTTTCTCTATATTTCTTTGATTTTGAAGCATTTTCAGGTCCAGTCATTCTGCTTAAGTAATACATCACTTTAGTAGTAATTTCTATTTTTTTTTCTTTTTCTGATTCTCTAGGTAACATTTATTAATGAGATTTATTCGAATCTTAATGTTATAATGATGGTAATCTAATTCTAATTTTAGGCCTCATTTATTCAACCAAATAATCTTCTGATTTATCTCTCTCTGTATATGGTTTCCATGACCTTGCTTTATACTTTGTTGGTACTCTATAGATGCTTGCAAATTGATGTTGTTTTTTTGGAATTGACCGAGAGTATTAAGGAGAATTCAATACACTTTATAATATAGGGTTCATTATTATAACTTAATACTAATTACTAATATACAAAAAAATCAAACTTCAACTTTTTTCTTTTGAATCTTCTTCTTTTAAACTTATTGCACTTTAACATTCTAATCAAATTACTTAGGTTTCTTATTAACTAATTATTTTTTGATTTATTTGGCTATAGGAAGAACAACAGTAGGTTTTTGAATTTTAGTTTATTCTTATTATTATTCTTAATCTGCTTATTTTCTTTATACAACACTCACACAAAAACATGTTAATCTCTATGTTGTTCTAATGGTATAAATAGGTTTTAATTTATTCTTGAGATCAATATCATCATATTATTCATTGGCATATAATAAACAATCCCAAATTTTGATATCTCCATCAGATGAAATAGATGCCAAATATGTTTATTCATTCAAATCAAATAATTATAATTACTTAATTCTTTTTTAATGAGCCACAAATTTAATTATAATCTTGCTTTATATTTAATTGTCTACTATTAATTTTATCATATAAACTATTCCATTTGCATCTTAAATAAATTAATATAATACCTGATAGAATAAGTGAATCTTGATTTAATATTGAATCTGTTATCTAAACTGTTAAATCTATAGTATGTGTAACCTTATTAGTTTCACAATCTACAATATAACATTTTCTGTCAGATTGAAATAATAAATATTGTATTTCATCTTCCTTTGAAATGAAATGAATCTTATCAATATCTAAAATATTAAAAAAATAAATACTAAAATGAAATTTCTTTAATGCTATCCTTTTCAAATTCATTAAATTATAAAGATGTAATTTCTGATCTTTGGTTGCACATGCCAAAATCTTTCCTGATTCATGAACAGCTATGCATATAACAGGATTTCCACATTGGAATGTATTAAGAATAGCCCATTATTTATTTCTCCATAAATTAACTTTTCCATCTTCAGCTGCTGTGAATAGAAAATTTGAATGTCCAGCAATCTAAGTTATTGTTCCATTATGTTGTTCTAATAAAGTGATTTCAACTCTTCTTCTAACATCATATACTTTGATTAATTCTTCAGAACCTCCAATAAATAAATAGCGTCCATTCTAAAAGATTGTTTTGATTAAGGACTCAAATAATAAATTAAATATACTGTAGAGGCTGGAAATGAATAGAGAGTATTATTCTATGAAAATTAATCATTCAAAGAGAATCCTAAAAGTTTACCATCATATGTCCCCACATTAATATTAATTTCCATTTTAAAATTAATTAATATAATTATTTTTATTATTTATATCTTAATCTAACTATGTTATTTAATCAATTCTAAACTTTAATATTCAACTATCTTACATATATTTAAAATATAATTGTATCTAATAACTCTATTTTAAATAACAATTAAAATATATATATTTATCAAATAAATGAATCAAAAAATTATCAATTCTTTTATGATCTAATTTCAAATATATAATCCATCAACAAATTTCCTTTTGCTTACTCTTTAACCTAAAAGATTTACATTTTTATTAAATTCTAAGTAATAATATAATTTTAATGAAAATATTTAATTATATTCCTTCTATACTTATAAATATTTGTAATATATATAACGAACACATTCAAATTAATAAAATAAATTTAAATAATTAGTATCGATGGACACTAGATAATCAGAACACTCTAGAGGCAAGTCTTAGACTTAAATCAAAATGCGTAACCCATTCGAACTACTTATAAGTAATATTACTTTCATTATATAGAAATAATCAGATTACCAAATGTTTGCAATAAATGTGGACATATTACTAGAATGAAAGAAATATCAGATATTCTCGAATAATTTGACACCATGACATCTTAATAAATTGATACAATTAATGAAAAACTAATTCAAAAATCGAACTAAATTTTAGCAGCCCGACAATAATTAGTTAAAGATGCAAAAAATGAGCTCTAATAATCATTGCAATAATTGATTTAAGTGAGATAGAGTATGGGTTCATCTTTTAATTTTGAAGACAGAGAAAAGTGTTTAGAGCGAGTTTGTGAAGTAACATATAATTTAATCATTTATATAGGATATATTCTGTAATGTTTAAGAATAGATTGAAATATAGAATTCTTTATCTGAACTTAATGCAATAATTTAAGAATAATATTAAAAATTTCATTAATTTCCTAATGAAATCACTGAAATGAATAAATTAGAATATCATGATAATCTTGAAATCAGAGAGAGATTAGAAGGAGCTTTAAGAATTAATTAAAGTCATAAAGATATTTTAAAGGAGATATTGATTAAAATAGGAGAAGAAAATAAGAGCTACACTTTTGATATCTAATTACAATTTAGATAATAATAATTAGAAATGTTAAATCTATTATAATGCAATTAAGAATAAATTAAAGATATAGAAAGATTAGAAGATGAATTGAATGATAAAAAATTAGAATTATAAAAATATGCTATATTATTTAGTTAATTTGAGAAGTAAATATAAATAATAAATATTATAGTCCTTTTAAATCAAATAAGATTAGTTCTGAAGAAAGTAGTGCTAGTAATTTCTAATCAATTTAAAAGGAAATCATATAATAACCCTCATCAATTCAATAAAGTCGAAATGTATTTTAAGATATTAAGAATATTTAATCAAAAAGATTCTCTTAACCTTCTATAAATGAAAATAATAATATGTGCACTTTTTAATCAGAATAATTCTATTCTATTGATTAATCTCATGGTAATTTACATCCAGAATCATCATAAAAATCATCATAAAATAATAGCAAACAAATTGAAAATTCAGTTGTGATTAATTAAAGATATGGAAATAGTATATCCAATAAATTTAATAATTCAAAAGCAACTAGTCTAATTTCATAAATTAATTCTTAATAAAATAATAATATCCCTCTTTAAATAGTTCCTAATTCAACTAAAAAAATTAGAAATTCAGTTGACACTAATCCTATGATGTCACAAGATAGTTTTGAAAATTTAAATGAAAATGATGAAAATTCCCCAAAAATCACTCCAACAAGCAAAACCTTACTCTCCAAAGTTCCACCCCTTCCTATAGGCAGATAGTTAGAGCTTGATTGAAAATTTTATTCTTATTATATTTTTAAATCATTAAAAATACTCATCATTTAATTACTTTTATTAAATTAAGTATATAATTTATAAATTATATTCAAAGAAGTTACCTTTAATCTTTAAATTAACTATTTTTTTTCATTTTCAAAAAAAGATAAAACTTAACTTATAATATTGTATAGAACCTAAATTCTTCTATTATGTAAGTAAGCATATTAACAAAAAGAGTAATTTATGGATAAGGATTAAAAAACCTCCAAAAGATTAATTTCTTCATTTTATTTAAAATATATAAGTCTTTTATCTAATCCTTAAAGAAAATTAATTGCTTATTTAATTATACTGTTGTAAGTCTAACTTTTTGATGATTTTAATAATCTATAAAAAATATTTTTATTAATAAAATGTCTGATAACTAATTAACTGACTTATTACTTTATTATGCATATATGGAATAGGAAATAGAAGTTTTAAGAGAAGTTTTATGTTCTGAGCCTTATTTTCAACCTTATAACTTATTCAAATTTATTGACTGTATGAAAGATGAACCAAAAGTACTTATTATAAATAAAATAGGGTTATTTGACTGCTCAAGATTTATCTATTTATTTAAGTGATAGAAAGTTTCCATCTAATTTACCAACAAAAACATATATAGAGAATTACAATTAAAATAGAGATTGCAAATTAGTTTATTCAGAGTAATTATGAAATTCAATATAAGATTTTTGAGAGCAATTCTACCTATATCTAATCCAGATTTAAGAGAAAAGATTACATAGTAAACACCTTCAGATTAAATGACCATAAGTGAAAGAACTTAATATTTATTTGGAAAATTAATGGAAGCGTATATATATTACCAATTAATATAGAGAAATAAAATTAACTATATAGGCTGAGAATTATAAATAAAAAATAGATCCAAATTATTTTGATAAAATTTGTTATTAGAATTACATTTATCATTAAGATCTACAAAGTTACTTCAAATAAAAATAAATAACTACAAATTCTATTGAAATTTAATAAATCTTCAATAGAATAGATTTACTAAATGATGGAAAGATAGATAGAAATGAATGGAATTAATGGATAAATACTAGGAAATCTGTATTATAAATAAATTCTAATTCATACAAATAATAACAGAAATTTAATAGTACAAGATATAGTTCAACAAAGAGAAAATAATAAGATTCTACAATGAGTGATCTACTAACTTTATCTAAATAAGGTTTTTATTAATCTACTAAACCTCCTTTGTCTAATTATTCATACAATACACCTAAAAAATATTAAAAGTAGAAAACAGATATTAGAGCTTAAATGCATTATTCATTAATGTAAAATAGTAATCATTCTTCGAAATAAGAACTATCATCTTATAAAACAATGACTCATAAACCAATTACTAATTTTTATGAAGATGATATTTAAACTTTAAAAAAGACTTAGTCAGTTGCAAAATATGAAGCATTAGATCCTGTTAATTATTATGTTTAACTATATGTTAATTTAATTTAATTGGTAAAAAAGATTGAACGTCAAAAGATTTTATTGAGCAACCATGATGATTTTTCATTATATTCTTCATTTTAAAAATTGGATAAAGGTTTTAAAGGAATGTTGATAAAAAGTGATTTGAATTAATATTGTAAGAATCCATAATTGATTTTGGATCGTTATGGAAAAGATAATAAGATGAGATTTTCAGAATATATAAAAATGATTGAACCAAAAGATCCATAAGCTGTAGAAATACTTTTAAAGAAAGATTAAAAACATAAGGGTAACATGTTAACATAAACAGAAATATCTTTAAAATTATTATTTGAATTAATTGAGTAATTTTAATAGAAAATAAATCAAACTAAAGATTACTAAAGCAAATAATAATTTGATATAAGTGAAATCTTTTATATGTTGGCTTATGATAGATAATAAATAACTCATTAAGATGTAAGACTATTAATTATAATTAGATTACTGATTTCTTATCTGCTAATCAATTCAAAACTGTATCCCAAGATGTTGATTTATTGTTGGCTGAATTAGATTTTGATGGTGATGGATAGATAAGTTATAAGGATTTTATTAAAATTTTTGGAAAATGATTATAGTATTATAATTATTTATACTTAAATGATGGAGGACTTACTACAAAGTAGAATCCGTAGTCGTCATGCCTATTCACTTCATAATAAATATCAGTCATTATGTCATTAATAAGGAGGATAGAACACTCTAAAAATGCTTTCACATAGCTTACAAAAATAATAATATAGTCAAAAATATAATCAATTAAATTTATAACGAACTGAGTCTCGTTTCTAGATAAGTTAACCAAAGCATATTTAATATATTGGATTAATATCTAACTCAATAAAAACAATGAGTACAAGTTCACCAGAAAAGATAATTGAATCACCTTTAAAGGGAAGGATTAAATAGAGTCGTATATTGAAGACTTCACTTCATAATTCTCGTATGAGTCCTGAAAATAGATTAATTTTTAAATAACGTCTAAATAAAATTGATGAATCTATTCAATATATTTAAGATAGACATAATTAATTTAATGGAATTAATTCTAATAATTATTAAAAGATGTGTGAAATGATTAATAAAACAGAATATATGAGTGCTGATTAAAATTAAAAATTAGATGTTCCATTAATAAAATTAATTAAACCAGAACCAATTGAAAATAATGAAAATAGTGCAAATCTAGTATAAAAGTTAGCTACTTAAACTATGTAATGGAGTGAATCTAAGAAAAAACAAAGATCTAAATTAGAATAGAGTATGTATTATAAGACAAATAAATGGAAAAAAGCAAAATTCTTAATTTTATAAAACTTTTCATCTCGTCATAACAATACCTTATATTCTAAAAAATACATTATTACATAATTAAAGATACCATATTTGAGACATAATTCTAAATAAATGTTTATGGCTTTAAAATAGAAAAATTATCACTAATTACTTAAACATTTATCTTATAATAAATCATTTATTCATGAAGTTGACAATTCTCTCATGACTCCTTTACATATATCTTGTTAATAAGGTCTATATGATATTACTAAAATGCTTTTAAGATTTAAATCTGATGTGAATGCTTTAGATAAAAATAAGAAAACTCCACTTTATTATGCAATGTTTAATGGACATACAGAAATAGTAAAAGTATTATATTTTGGTATTTTATCAGATGCTTTTAATACATGATGCTTTTCCATATTCTGATACTAATTGCAATTATATTCAATTCTTTCCAAATAAAACAATGAAAGAATTATTCAGAGTAGCTAAAAGAGTAATAATCATTTAATATTTTAGATTTTAACCTTGATGTTAATTTGTCCAAAAAATAAAAGAAAGACTATGAAAGAATATTTAGAAATTAATTTTCTGAATGAATATTCTCTTCCTAAAAACTTGCTTGCTTGAATATTATATATATATTATTAGCAAATCTATATGATAAATAAAATTTAATTAATAAATCAAATTACATTAAGTTTTCTTTAACCCCAATTTGATAACTTTATTGTATCATCCCATCTTTTTATATAATAAAATATATTGATACCTAACTTCTTTAGATAAACAATTCAATATAATAATTATCAAACAAATTGAATCTTTTTTATATAAAGTTGCAAGACATGGACCAGCCTTATCTGTAAATCCAGTTTTAAATCCACAATATCCTTCAAATTCTAACATTCTATTAGTATTCTTCCAAGTCAAATTTATAAGTTTATTCTAATAGAAATATAATAATAAAATTTACATTTCTCTAAAGAGTTGTTTAATGTTCTTTTTTATTAACAATTTCCATTAACATTGGATCATTAATAATCTATTTGCATAGAATAGCTAAATCTTCAGCACATGAATAGGATTAATCATTTGATAATCCTATGAATAATATATTTTATGAATTTACCATGAGGATTATAGAATTAAGTATCATTCATTTCAAGTAGAAGTGCATATTAATTCATTAATTAAATAAAAGGTTAAATTCTGTATTATAAAGCAATATTAGAAACAGGATCTTTAATAAATGATGATAAATTTTCAGCGATTACATTTGCAGCATCATTTCCAGATGGCAACATTAATCCATGAAGTAAATCATATAATGTAATTTTATCATAGGGACGTAAAAATGCTGAAGTTCCTGATATTTAAACAGCCTTAAATGTTAAAATATTTACATCATAACTAACATACATTATCTGTTTAATATTGATTTTTAAATCTCTTATTAATTAAATTGCCACATAACATGTCATTAACTTTGTAAGTGAAGCTACTTATACTCTTTTTTTTGAATTAAAGCTCTCTCAATTATTTAATTGCAGTACTGTCAAATTTTATCCATCTAAACCATTCATTACTATAAAGTTTTGAGCTGTCACTAATGGTACACCATATTTTTAGTGTAGATCTGTTTTAGAGAAACTTATAGATCTTTAACTTGATCCTGGTCTATGACGAGAATCACTTGAGGTTCTATTAGGACGATTGCCTTAACTTGATCCTATGCTACGGATCAGTATCAATGGCTAATCTAAAGCTTTCTATGATAATCTTTAGTTTGGTAGAGGTGGTTTAAACATATATTATTTACTCAATTAATTTTAATAATTTGAAATTAAACATGCATATTGAAAATCCATTTCTCTCTGCAATCTAACCTCAATTTATGCCTCAAAATAATCCACCTTAACCTAATCAATAAAGAAAAGAGATTGGTGATTAAGCCATATGGACTTTATCATCTGCAAAAATGGGAAATGGAGTTGATCAATTAAGAGATGATAATTTGAATACATTTTGGTAATCTGATGGTACATAACCTCATTACATAATAATATAATTCCTAAAGAAAATGAGAGTCTAAGAATTAGCTGTTTATTTAGATTTCAAATAAGATGAAAGCTACACTCCCAATAAATTATCAATTCGAGCAGGAACTAATATTTAAGACATGAAAGTACAAAATTAAATTTATCTAGGAAGTACTATATATTGAATTGAAAGAACCATATGGATGGTTTGTATTTCAACTTAAAACTAAATTACTTAATGGACAAGAAAAGTACTCAATTATCTTTATTATAAGACCTTATGTATCTACAATTAACATTTAAGTAGTTGTTCTATAAAACTAGCACAGTGGAAAGGATACACATATCAGATAAGTAAGAATATTTGGACCAAGAGAGTATGAATATATTTAAATTTTATTTTTAGAAAATAAAACTAAGGGTTGAGTTTTCCAGATTTCAAAATGCCAGAAATTACTTAATATGCTTCAATTCGTTGAAAATTATTCATAATTTTTGATAAAATTAAATTTATCTTTTATTTATTAATAAAATCTAAATAATTTTAGTAAATTAAACTCTTAATAATTTATAAGGATTTATGTATTAGTGATAATATAATTAAAAGGAGGGATCTTATATCTTAAATTTAAAAAGTCAAAGATTTTATAAAACTCAAGAATTAGTATAACAAAAATAAAATTTAATTTCAAACTAATTAAATGCTAACATTAATTCACAAGTTGTCAAACAATATTATATTTTTTGATCTAAGTTAGAATATAAATTTAGCCATACATAATAAGAATGATAACTGAATAATAATAATAATTTAATGTTATGATTTATTTTTAATAAATATAATATATAATACAGAAGATTCAAGAAAATCAACTTAGATTATGTAGAAATATATCAGAATAAAAATATTAAATAACATTTAATTATATTAATAATTGTCTTATTAATCTTATCATTATCTAACTATCATATATATAAATAGTTATTTAATTCAAGAATCTGTTATTCAATAGTCATTTGATTAAATGATTGAAAAGAATATGTTCTTTTTATAGTATTTATGATTTTCACAATAATTTTATGAATTATTATATTCTTATTATCAGTTTTAGTATTAAATCTAAATAATACTTTGATGTAATCTTTAAATAACTTCAAGGAAAGGTTTTAGAATTTTGAGAAGAGAAATTCTTAATTTATCAAATTAAATTAAGAAAAGTTAAGATTATTTAATGTTTATAGAAAATAATGTTAAACAATTTTGTCTAAAGTAGAATTAAGGTATCCTTATTCTAATTCTTAAGAATTTTCTCATAAAAATATTAGATTAAATTAATATAGAACAGTCTATAATTTTGAAGTTATTAGAGTGAACCTCTTGATAAATCAATATATTAATATTTTTATATGGGATCAGGATAAGGAAAAACTCGAATTAAGAATTGTTAAACAGGGCTAGAATATTTATAGAGTTTAATTTCTAATGTTGATGTATAATTAAGTGTTCAGATTTAAACTTAGTTAAAATAACTTATACTTTAAAAGCCAAAAATTTCAAAAGACATGTAAATTTTATTTAACATTTTAGAGAGCTTTTGTACAATTATTTTTCTTAGGATCATATAGATTGTGAAAAATACAGTCCAGAAGATTATGAACACTTAAATATATTATCAACATTTTAGAAAAAGCTTCTAGAACCTCCAAAAATAATAAATTAATAAAAAGAAGATGGTGTTGATTAGAATGTATCATAATTAAAAATGCAATATATTAAATCTTTAAGACTGTTAGATATTAAATCATTAGATGAATTTAAATCTAATGAATTTTAAGAATCTAGTTGGATATATAAGTTAATAAAAGGAATTAAAAATTATTGTATAATAGCAAACATTTTATTATTAAAATGTGAAAAGGATAAAGAACTATAATGGATTATTTATGTTACTATATGGGAACATTTTTCATAAAAACTATCTAATTTATCAGAGAAATATTCATTTTAAAAAATCAATTAATCTTTTGATGAATATTTTCATAAGAAATTAACCCCTTAACTAAAAGTAGAAACATTAGGAGCTAAAATATGGGGAGGATAAGTTAACATAGATAAATAATTTGCAATAAATTAAATACTATTAGGTAGAAAAGATAGAAAATCAAATCTACCTTTAAGCAGAATTGCTACAGTCCTTATGGAGATGAGCACAGACATATATAATTTGTAATTAGCAGGTAGTGATGAATTTGTAATACCAAAATTAATTTAAGAATTATAGGAACAGAGTAGATAATTATATGATTAGAATTTTGAAGGTGATTATGGAGACTTTTTTTAATTTTGGTTTTTAGATAATTAATATGTACTTACAATATTTCCTGAATGGATAATAGAAAATTATGTTGATATAATTTTATTTGAATTTTTAGAAGATCTCTTTTGTTAATAAATACTAAAACTTTCATAGGAAGAATAATAATAAATAAATAATATTTATCTGAAAGAATATTAAATTGAGCCTATTTTGTTAGATGCAAATGAACTTAATCAATAAGGTAATTAATCTCTATAGAATCTACTTACATTTGATTAATTTTTAAGATCTCAATAAGAACCAACAATTAGTTTAATAACTAAGAGAGTTTTGAATGAAAAAAAAAATAGTGAAATTTTTAAAAGTAATACTACTACTAATAACAGTGGAGTTTTAGTTGATCATTAAATAATCATGTAATAACTTCATTAATAATCTATTGGTCAATAAGTATGTTCAGATATTTAATCAGAAAGTAGGAGTTCACATTTTTTTTCAGCATTCATAACAAAATCATCAAAATTAAAGAATTTGAGTTTAGTAGAACTTGAAAATATTACTAATTAATATGATATAATAAAATTTCCAATTTAATCAAGAATAGAGGCAAGAAATTAAAGAATAAAAATGAAAAACAAAAACATAACTAGAATAAATTATGAATTTCGAAGTTTATTTAGTTTTGAAAATTAGAAAGGTGATATTAATTAAAAATAATAAGAATTTTTTCAATCTCTATTAAATTAAGAAAATCAATTAGAAAGTGTTATTGAAAAAAAAGAGTGCATTAAATCAATAGCTGAAATGTTATTAGAATAATGACTAAATGATTATTTATTTAATTAAATGTGTGCCTCTCTTATTTTATTTATATATTAAATTAATTTTTACGTATCTATAAAGCTAATATTTAAAAAGGATAGAGTTAATAATATAAATTATATATTATAAATGTATCAAATCAAGGTTGGAAATATAAATAAAGATTTTGAAGTTGGAAATATGAATAAAGATGAGATTCATTAGATACTAGCAAAATATGCCTTTAAATGTGAAATCTGTTTTACAGAAGAATCTGAATAATAAATAAAAAATGAAGTAAGACTTGTAGCTGCCAAAGTTACTTCATAATAACCTATAAGAAAATCTTATATTGTAGTTTGCCCAGATCATTTCTAAAATATTGAAGACGCTCTTGAAAAATTCTTATCTATTTCAAAGATAAAATACTCAGTTTAATAAATAGATATTAAAAAGGCTAAACTTGTAACAATACCAGATATAAATCTAAGAGAGGCCATTCAATCTATATAAAATAATTACTGTTGTAGGATACTCAAATTAAGACTTTCAAAAACAGATACATAAATATAAATGCTTAATTCTGATAATCTGGAATAGACTATAGAAAATGCTTTTGAATAAAAAAAGAAAGTGCTTGAAACAACTTAAAAAAAATTCAAATATTATGTTGAAAATTAAGACAAGATGAGCATGAGATAGAAATTTTTAATTTATCATTATTACTTAAGATTATAAAGAAAATCAAAATTGCCTTAAATTAACCTTACATTAAAAGATGACTAAGAAGTTGGTACACTTTCAATGTCTGTATCTATTCCATTTCCAGACCTAGAATCTGATTGAACAAATAATATTAAAAAATGATTTATAAAAACAATTCTATTCATTAAGTGATATTCATTTCAATAGTATTTCTGTCTTCTTCTTGAAATTTAGATTTATTCATTTCATAAAATATCCAAAAAATAGTAGCAGGAAGAGTAGTGAATTAAATCAATTTGAATATAGTTAAATATAGAACCTTAATAATTTAATTAATAAATAAAACCGAAATAGTTGATGATGCATTATAATAATTAGTACATTCTCTTGAATTATCACATTTTATGTAAGTAAATATATCAAATGCAAATTATACACCAAATTGTAGCAATCCACAATCTAATAAATAATAAATAATAATAATAATAAATTATACAATGCATTAATGTAATTTATTTTATTCTAATTAATACTTATTCATATTTTTAAGCATTTTATTATACTTAAATATTTCCAGATCTTGCAATATCCTAAAATAAATTAAAAATAATATCAAACCAATTTATTTTTATATTCCATTAGACCTTCTAATGCCAAATTTCCCATATAAAATGAACCACAAGCCAAAAACAATCCAATACTTGAGACTATTAGATAATCAACCTAAACACAATTATAACTAATAAAATCATATAAATATTTACTCAATTGCACTTTTATGAACTATTCCAGCCCAAAACCATAAAATAAAAGTACTTATAAGCAAAGCTTTAGCTATTTACCAAATTTTTGGTGCTTATTCCTCATCACCTATAATAGATCCCAAAATATTGCAAATCATTATTTACATTGCTATTCCCATACATTTAATAGTTGATAATAAAAAATCATTATCTTAGTATCTAATAAATACATTCAAATTACCAAAATATAAAAAATAAATAGTCTGCAAAAATATTTAGATCAAAGCAGCAAAACATAAATATCTATCAATTTGAACAAGAACTCCACTTTTATCATGAGTAATTATTCTATAGCTCATGAATAAATAACATAAATAGAATAAGCTTAATAAGAATTCCATAAGTCCTTCAAAGCAAATATATCCATTATTACAATAAATTAAGTTTGCCATATAATTTAAATTTGTAATAAATAAATTGAAGTTATTGTCAAAAATAATCATGAATTAAATTATAATATCCTAATTGATTGAGAAATTGTTATATTTCTATAAAGTAATTTTGAATTTAAGATTAAAATAAGTAAATTATTTATAGATGCTCTATTTAGTTTATAAAATAAATTATAAAAAAAAAAATTATAGTTTAGTTAAATGTAATATTAAATTTAAGCAAAATTTGTTTTATGGAAAATAACTAACTCATGTCTATTAGTCAAGATGAATAGGATTGCTTTTTTAGTGAAGATGATGAATAAATTTCATAAATAATAGAATAAGATCCAACAGGTCGATTTTGTAAAGTATTTATTTAGTTATAACTCAGTATAATGAAGAAATTGGCAAAGGAGCTTATAAAAGTGTGTTTAGAGGATATGATAATTAAAGTGGTTGTGAAGTGGCATGGAATGTTTTTTAATTACATAGTGTTCCAGAAAGTATTCTCATTTTATTGAATTATTGTAGATGAAAGAAGAAGAGCAAGATAAGAGATTTCAATCTTAAGTAGTTTAAAACATAATAATATAATAAATTTTATCCATTCTTGGCATAATAAAAAAAAGAAAGAAATAATTTTCATAACTGAAATCATCAATGGTGGTTCTTTAAAAAAGTAATTATATAAAATCAAATTTTATTAGTTATTTACGTAGAATATTAAGACCAAAACTAAAAGTCATTAAAAATTGGTGTAGATAAATTCTTTTAGGTCTTGAGTATTTACATAAATAAAAAATCATTCATAGAGATTTAAAATGTGAAAATATATTGATAGATACAAATAATAACGAATTAAAAATTGGTGATTTAGGACTCTCTATCTAGTAAGGATAGCAACAATTATTAGATTACAATAATCTTTTACTAGTTCTGTGTTAGGAACTCCAGAATTTATGGCCCCTGAAATTTATTAAGAACATTATGATACAAAAGTAGATATATATGCCTTTGGAATGTGTTTATTAGAAATGGTTACTGGAGCTAAACCATTTTGTGAATGTAAAGGAGGTATTGGGTAAGTGATCAAAAAGGTTATGGAATAATAGAAACCTTAATCATTAGATGCAATTCTTAATGATAAAATCAAATCAATTATCTTAGAGTATCATTATATTATATATTTATTCAGATGTTTAAAAACCCCTGAGTAAAGACCTTCAGTTTCTGAATTATTATAAACTCATTTTAATGGATAACCTTAGGAAAATGATAATTTGCCTGTTGCTATAAATGAATAATATTTAATTCAATTGAGAGATGATAGCAAAAGTACAATTGTTTTATTGTTCAGATTCATCTCTTCTAAAATGCAACCTATCAAATAAAATTATGTTGACAGCAGGAAGTAGTAAATTTGAAACCAATTCAGAAATTAGTAACTAAAAATAACCATAGTAAATTTAAATGAAAAAGAAAAACATGATTATTTAAACAGATGATGAAACAGATCAAGTGTTTATGTAATGTTATAAAGCATATATTGTAATATCAATTATTCAATTATATATATATAGGATAAAAAGAAAGATGATACATTTTTAGATTTAGAATAAAGATAAGAAAAAGAACTTCAAATTTTAAAATAATTTCATGCTTAATAAAAATAAGAATATCTTAAAAAAACATAAAATTCTTAAGCAGCCATTAAAATACCAAATTAATTATTTTAAAATTCAGGATTTATGTCTCCTTAATCATATCAAAACTTTTTTGAGTTTTATAATGAATCAAATACAATCAAATCAATAGTTGAAAGTCCTTGTATGGAAAAGATTGCCAATACCAAAATTATTAAATAAGGATAAATAAATGTAAATAAAATATATATATATTTAATAGTAGGGAGATAGTTCTTAAGGATAATAATTCTAAATTAATCATATATCCTAAAATGGTATTTTGAATCAATTAATTGTAGATAAATAAATCGAAGTCAATTTTTGACAACTAATAAACAAATCATAAAAACAAATAACCAAAAAAAAACCAAATATAAATTAATTATTAAATATCAGCATGTACTTAAATGCCTGTCCTCCTCCATCTTTTCTCAAATGATTTTGATTTATTTTTTTCATCTTCTTCAATTATTAGTTCATTTCAAAAATCCAAAATAGAAATAAGTCTACATGTTTCTCTTAAAATGCAATTTTTAATTCTAAATATATAGATTAAAGTAAATCTCTAAAATAATTAAATAATATATATGAAAGATTAAATTATACTCTCTTAGTAATCATGATTGTAAAAATGCAAGACTTAAATATTTCATTTCTTTTGATAAATTATGAATCTAATTGTTTAAGATTATTTCCTTATTGTTAATTATTTACTTATGGTTAATTTAAAACATATTGTTATTAGAATTAAGAGATTTATATTTTGACCTTAATCTTTAGTATTAAAATTTAATTAAGGTTTTTAATTATAATTGTATTGTTGTTGTTATCTAATTTTTATAATTGATAGTATTAGATAATATTTATTATTAAGGTTAATATAATAATTATTAATGAATTATTTATCTTCATTATTATTATAATTTGGATCTTAATTATTGACTAAATCCTTTTTTTATTTTCTGCATTTCAAAATTGTTTGATCTATGAAAATTTTATTTAATTATTCTGCATTTATATAATTTTAATAATATCATTTTTATAATTAATTTGCTAGATTAACTTATGAAGGATAAGGGGACAATGCAACTGAATATGGAATACTATTTAGACTTTAAAAGTTTCCCATGTGATTCTAATTCACAAAAGATCTTTGATTGTAGATTCCACTTTATTATTAATGGATTTCATTAGATTGAAGCATAACAATAGATCGAAAAAACTTAGGATCATACATAACAGAACCTAAACTATTTGGATTAGATAAATAATTTTCTTATTAAATACCTACTTAATTTGTCTCTGTAGATTTAGTCAGATAAATATAAAGTTATTCTGGTGAGGCAAAATAAATTTGATTGTTTTCCTTATTAATAAGACATGGTGTAAGAGTAGCTACTTCATCATCATTAAGTTAAGATTCCTTTACTTGCAATTATAATTTTTCAATGTTCTTAAAATTTGAAATCTTTTACTTAAAATCCTTATAAAATGTCCCTTGTGATTCTATTCTCACTTTCTTAACTATATCTTAATGTTCTTCTTTGACTTCATCATTTTATTCCTTTTATTAGATGTTATCACTCTATTGAATACGCCATTCAATTTTCTTAATGATTATGTTAATAAGCTTAATTTCTTCATGAGTTAATTCTTCAGTTTAAGCCAAGTTCGAAATTGATGATTCCTCTGATTAATTTTCATCCTCATCTTTTTTCCTTTTAATAGTTCACAAATTCTACCCAGATTTATGACATTTTTCTTTTCTTAGTAGACAATTAAATCGATTTTTAACATTGTTCTCACTTCTTGCAACTTTAAGTTTTTTAGATATCAATGCCCATTTTTTTCCTATTTCTTTAGCCTAACACATTAGATCTAAATCTTCACTTAATTACCAAGGATTTCTATTCTTTTAAATTTGAAAACGTTACCTATTTATATTAGGGTTGAGATGATTATTCCATCTTTCTCTACATTATTTACCATTTCTATGGACTTACTGATCGTTTGCTTTATTGAGAGCTGTGGCAATTTGACTCCATTTATTACCCTTATTTTAACTTTAGAAATCTTATATTATCTTTTGTAATAGATTATCCTCATCAAAAGTCCATGGAGCTTATTACAAAGGGAGTTTAAGCATTTATAGCCACTTCTACTTACATTTGAATGCATCTCTACGAGGCATCATACTCGCAATGGAACTCCAATCAGTATCGTTCTGAATAGACAATAATCTTATACTAATTATTTTAAATCTCTTTTATTTAGTGTAAACCACTTTCCCACTAACCAAATTAGAACCTTTTTATCATCATCAGTCCAATTTTTTTTGAGTTTATTTGGTTAAGTTTGTAGATTAAGTTTATTCGTTTGTTGTATGTTGAACACTTCTTGATCATCAGGAAAAGTATCAATTTTTAGATTAAACTTTTCTCTCATATAATTGAATCTAACATTCATTACTCCTTTGACTTTAGCAAAGAAATTAAGGAAATTTTGATGAAAATCGTCCATTAATTGTCTATCAATTTACTACATTTTTAATTATATTAATGTGTTAATATTTTATGAGAGTTATATACGTCAAATTAGAATATGCAATTTTAAATTAATAAGATTAGAAGTTCTTTATATATATATATATATATATATATATATATATTTAATCTATTTTAAGGGGTACTCTCTTTAATATCCTATTTAATAATGAATCTATGTTATCAAATAATAACTGATAATTTTACATAATTTAATTAAACCTACAATTAGAAGATACATTCAAATAAATTTAAGATAATCTATTGAATTAAATTTATATGATTAAATTTTTGTTTAATCTTCTCAATTAATCAAAATTTAATTTTTTTGGATCTCATCTACAAAGATATTATTATTTAAAAAATCTAAAATATATGAATTTTCATATAATATCTCCATTTATAATATTATTTATAATATTTTTTGGCCAAAATGATCCCATTCTATTCTAAATAGAATATCCAAATATATTTTTATTATTAATATTCTATACTCTCTTATTCTAATACATTGATATTTTTATTAAATTCATTATTAAAATTATACATCTATAAATATATAAATGCAAAACATTATACAAAGTGGTTCAGATGAAGAAACAGAATTTATATTCGATTCTAATACAGTTCAACTTAATGATAGTACAACTAAAATATCAAAAGCTAATGTAAATTATTTAATCTAATTATCATAATAGAATGAGATTATACAATTGAATGACTAAAATAAAGAATTAGCCACTTAACTTAATAAACAGAATGAATTACTTGATTTAAAACATAAGTAGAATTAATAATTATAAATAGAAGGTATAAATGATGTTTAAAATTATTAGTAATAAAATTGAAGGAATTGGTTGATGATAGAGAACTTAAACTATTATAATCTATGAAAGAAAAACAATAATTATAGAATGATTTAATCAATTTACATGATATATTAGATTAAACTACTTAAAGAAATGATCAATTAAATTCTGAAGTTTTTGCAATTAGATTAACAATGGAATAATTATAATGTAAAAATATTGAATTATTATAGAAACTACAACAATGTGTAAAGAAGACACAAATTAAGCATTGTAGAGAGAATTGAGATTAAAGGAGAATCTTGATCAATAAACTAAAGTCATTAAATAAAATGAAGAAACAATTAGAAAACTTTCTAATGAGCTTAATTAAAAATAAACTTAATTTAAAATAGATATTCAAAATAGAGATAACATAATATAAGATTTAAAGAGACAACATGATTTATAATTGTAATAGAATACTGAAATAATTTCTGAATTAATAGAATTTAAGAACTAAAATCTATAAAATTCTGTAATGAGTAAAGATTATAAACCAGAACTTACTAAAATGACTAAGGATATTGAGGAATATAAAAATATTATTAAAGGTTAAACTCATTAAATTAGCATTTTAAATGAAAAGATTTTGGTACTCTAAAATTAGTTATAAAAATCTGAATAATCTATTGCTAATCATTTAATTGAAATATAATAGACAAAATTAAAATTAAAGGAAAAAGATTAAGAATTATAAATTAAACTTAATGAAAATATGTTGATAATTGATAGATTAAATACTTAAATTAAATAATTGACTAATTAATTGTAATTGTTAAAAAATTAGGATTAAAAAATTAATTTTGTTAGAAGTATTTCTTAACCTTCTGATGAAAAATTTATAAAAGATTTATAATTAAAAACAGAATAAATTACTATGTTATAAAATGAAAATAATTAATTAGTTAAATTAATTGAGACATTAAAGAGTTAGAAATGTATTCATTTATTTAATTTATTTAGCTGATAATCAAGGAAATGAAGTACTTAAAGTTAGATAATTAGAATCAGAATTAAAAAATCTTTAATCATTCATTTATGATAGTCCTTTAGTAGTCTTATTTAATCTTCTTGAAGACAGATTATCAAAATAATAATAAAAAAGTTTTGAAAATAAGAAAAAAATTTAAGAGTTCTGGAGCAATCAATTAAAATAATGGGTAGAAGGTTTTGAAGAATTAAAAAAAGCATTTGGTGGTTTAAAAATATAATTCAAATATGATCTTAAGTATCCTGCTCAATAATTAAATGAATGAAAAAATCATATGAAATTATATATATAATATTATTCAAATTTTAACTAAATATATAATAAATAATATTATGAAATACAATCAATATTAATATAAATTTAATCAATCATCATCGGAACTGGAACTACTAGACGAACTACTAGAACTACTAGATGATGAACTACCAGATGAATCATCGGAACTCAATGGATTGGCATCCTTTAGCACTCTAAATTCGTTCTTGTCTATATCATCTAATTTAAGTGCTCTTTCATACAAATCGGACCTTTTCTCCTTAAATGCCTCTAATAATCTTTGACTAAACTTTGGCCTTTCGTCTCTTACAGATCTATATATATAATATACTATAATATTTACCTCCAAATTTTATCAAAGTTATTGATTGACATAAAATTTTATGTTAAAGCAACTGAATTATCTAAATTTAAGACTGCATGCCACCAACCTCCAGGTACAAATATAGTATCACCAGGACCTTATACACACATTACAATCTTTAAATTATTAGCTCCTTCTTTTTCAATTAATTTTGGCAAAGCATAAAGGAAATAATCTATAGATTCATCCAATACTTCTGGATCAATTTCCTTTTTTGCAGCAAGTCCTTTTGCTTTTACAATTGATTTTGGTATATCAGGTGGAAATAGTACCCATAATTTATGTCCTTATAGTGATGTATTCCATGCACTTGTCATTAATGGATCTATATGAACTGTAGTACCAGAACGTTTTGGTCTATTGATTAAATAATAAATTACCCAACCAAAAACCATCTATAAGGAGGACGATGTTTCTCTCCTACCATAGAAAAGAAATCTTCTTAAAAGTATTTATGTTATTTGTATCTTCCAATCATATCTGCTCCTCCATCCTTTAAATCTTCAACTGAACTATGAAATTATTATTAATTAATATACCTTTCAAATAAGTAAAGAGGAGAATCATCCTTATTGTATACTAAATATTCAAGAAAATATTTGAATGGTAATCTTAACTTTCTTCCTTTATCATCTTCTCCAATTTTAAAGCAGGTTTCTTTATAATGTTGATATAATTTCTCAAAAGTCCAATATTTTTCAACATTCCAATCATCTGTTGTATTGGTTATTATACAAGGAATGTCTGGAATTTCAAATTGATTCACAAATTATTCTGCAGTAAATGTGCGACCATCTACTTTAGCTATTGTAAAATATCTAAATCAATTAATTATTACTTTTCATATTATTTTCTCAATTCTTTTAGACTCTTTTCATAATGATTTCTTTTATACCATTCTTTCAATCTTAAGTGACTTCTGTCTTTTAATTTTATTTCTTCTATCAACTCCTATGCTTTTGAGCTCATTTCTTTTTCAAAGAATCTAGATGATTTTAACTTAAGCTTTTTAGCTGTTTCCATAATTTAATTATATTTATTTCATAATTTTATCATTTTATCATTTCTTTAATTTAGTTCCAAAGTTTAACTTTAACTCGTAATTCAATTCAATTTTAATTTTAACTTGAAATGAATTACGAGTAATGGTAAAAAATCAAATACTCTTTCTGTTTATGTTATAAACTTCACTTAATAGAAGTCTGATCATGTCTATAAATAACATTCCAGAATATTCTATCATTTAGATTAGATAATAAAGTCTCTTTTCTAAAATCTTATTTAATTATAAACTCTCATATATTATATGATAAATTTTTGTGTATATATAACTAATATAAATAGTTATGGGCATATATGGATAAATCTAATTCAAAGAAAACTAAAATGAGAGAGTGAAACATATATATAGATCTGAAAAATAAAGTTAATATGAATAATTATGATCAATTTATATATGTGTTTTCAAATCTCCTCTATTTCTTATGCTTAATAACATTAATGATTTGGAGAACAGGTCTCTATAAATAATCATAAATAAGCTATACTTTATAACTATCCAAGGTTATGAACCATATGCTTTTATTTTAAACTTTTAAAGGCTACCATACCTTTGAACTAATGATCATGACAATCTAATTTTTATGCATATTCATCAAAATCTGTTTTTTTATGTAAATCCTTCTAAGCTGTGCACCCCATAATAGTTTTTATATTAAATTGCTAAAAATAAGATTTTTTTTATTTTTTCCAGCTAATAAAAGTACATAGCAGAAATTATATACGTCATATTTAAGTTCGAAATATTACAATTACAATTCAACTATTCATAAAAAGTTCTATCTTTGTTTATATCAATAAAAAATATAGAGATGATTGATAAATATAGACTGGTAGAGTCTGAGAAAATTATAATAATTTATATTAAAAAAAAGCAATTGAAGATTAGAATCTATAATTGATTAGAAATTATATAGTTAACTATAAAAAATGGATTAATAATATGATTTGTAATAAACTATTTTAAATAATTTAAAGTTATGATTATAAGCACTTTACCAGTATATCTTTATAGAAATAATAGTATTTTTAAGGATAATTAACTGAATTATAAATATACAACTTTGAATGCTTTCTAAAAATCTGATATAATAGATAATAAAATATGAGGTTTTGGAATAGCATTATTTCCAAATATATTTCATTTTCTATTTAATAATATATTTATTTATAGCAATATATTATATTTTGCCTCTTTAGAATAAGAATAGTAAAAATATCTTAAATATTATTATTAATATATTTTCATCCATATAATACTAATTTACAATCATAATAGTGAATCCTCATTTCTAAAATCTATTTTCAACTCCAAAACTCTCCCTTATTTTATTTATGTTCTCCTCATTTTTCTACTATTCTCTAATTTTTTATACTAACTAACTAGCTTTCTATTTAGAAATCATTAATGACTTCTATAAAATCTCATTTAAATCATTATCATTATCCTTAATCTTATCCCCAAATACTCTTGCTAAATGTAAACATTCAACTTTTTTGACTAATCTCTATTCTTATTCATCTTTATTTGAATCTTTATTCCCATTCTTTTTCTCCTCTTACAAGATCTATTAAGCTCTTAAATCTTCATTATATTAAACAGTATAAGGACTAATAATTATTGTGATTTCCCCCTTCAATTAAGAAGGAGTAACAACTTTAGGATCAGTTAGTTATTCATAGATCTCTCTACATTTTCCTCTTATTTTCTTTTCATTCTACTTCGTTAAATCAAATCCAATCCAAACTTGCTGATTTTCTCCAAAAATCTCTTCAATTTTTAATATAGTTTAATGAATTCTATTAGGAGATTCAAACAACACTATTGTTGATGGTTACTTCTTATACAAAGTTAAAATATCCTTATTACTCTCTTAAATTGAGTAAACACCTAAAAAAGTGAAATTATCTGCAGGAAATCCACAAGCACTTAATGCAACTGAAATAGCACTTGCACCTGGTAATACTTCAATTTAAACATTCTTCTCTATACATTTATTTACAAATTTGAATCCATTATCTGATATTGCTGGAGTACCACTATTACATACTAATGCTATATTTAAACCCATTTTCATCATTGCAATTAATCTATCAATTTTATTTTCATCATTAAAGTTAATACAACCAACAATTAATCCTCTTCCTTTTTATTTTTTAGCTTATGCTACTTTATTTCTTAAATACATCATCAAAGGTGCACTTAAACCGTATACTTCAAATTCAGATAGATTTATTTCCTCTTCTTATTGTTCTTCTTGTATATCTTTCTACTTTTAAGATAATTTCCCTTATTATTCTTTCAATTCTTCTAGTTTCTTTTACTTATAAAACTTAAAATCTGTTGATGTTATAAATTCTTTATTTAATTCTGGCAATTTTCTAAATACTATTGGCTTATATACTCTTTCAATTAGTTAGTTGATTTAAATATAATATCTTAAATTTAGATGTCATCTTCATCCAAATCACATTCCTTAAAATCCTCAGGAACAATCATTTATTGAATGTCACCATCTTTATTTCTAATATTTTTAATGAAAAATCCAGTTGTATTAATATCTTAACATGCAATTATATCTACTCCAAATATTGTTAGATTTTATCTAACACTCCAATCTTAAAAATTTCCTATAGGAGTAGGACATATTGTTAAAGTTCCTTTATTTTATGACATTTAACCAATTTCAAGAATTTCATCCTAATGTTTGTATTAATTTTATACAATTTTAGAAGAGAATTGTCGCACTAAACGAGTAGCATATCTGATCATCAATAGTTTAAATTAATTAATATTGTCATATGGGAAATAAATAATAATAAGCCAAAAAGAGAAATAGCAATTTGAGTTTGAACAGTATGGGTAGGTCAGTTTCAACAGCTCCAACAAATGAGTCAGGTTTAATTAGATTTACAACAGATGGTAGCTTAAGTTCTTCCATGTTTGGAGGAGTTGAGTTTTACTTTAATCGTATGCCTAACCCTGTTATTGATGGAATATGTAAATTCCTAACGATTAATGATCTTACAAATTTATATTGCACTAGTAGGTTTGTTTATGAGAGATTTTACACATCTCTTCCTTACTCAATTGCATGTGGAAATTTATTGTACAAATAGTATGAAGACAGAAGAGGCATTGCATAATAAGCAGTACAAACTAAACATGCATCTTGGCCACAAGTCCTAGAGGTTTTTATATAAAATAAGTAATATATTCATATTTATCAAAATGGTAGAAAATAAATGTAAAATCTGCAAATGAATCTCAGATAAGCTTTGTAGAATGCCTATCAATTGCATATCATTTATCCTCCATTACTTATGGATGAAGTAACAAAAGAAGGGTTGAACTCAGATTTTTAAAGATAAATTATGCAAAAATTATCAGATAGTTAAGAATGCCACACTATTACTGAAATCCAAATAATGAATTAAACAAGAGCTTATTTCAAAAAATCATCTCTTTAAAAATAATAATTGATTAATTCATTATTAGAGATAAGAACAATAAGAGTATTCTCTGTAGATGAAAAGTAACAGTTTATAATAATTATTTTTAGATTTCCTCAATTATTTAATATTTTAATAATTTTATGTTCATCAATTAAATCACTATTATAAATTATAGCATTGACTTTTGAATGTGCATTGAATGGAACTGATAATATTGGCCTATTAGATTTTTATCTGTATAATTATTAAATGTATTTGATTTGGATGCAATAAATTGATGAATTTGCTACACCTTATTTAAAAATGTTTGACATTATATTATTTGAATAAGTGCCATAATATGAATTTCCTCCATTAACAATTTAATGGATTATGATGAAAATGTGGAATTAATGCATTTATTAAAAGTGTAAACATTTTTTAAGATCTATTTTTCTTTAATGGCTTTAATAGGTAAGATTAAATCCATCTCTTAAATATGAATCATTTTTATTAAAAGACTATATCTAATCTTTGATTGATCTTTCAACCAATCAATTAAATATTAGAATGGCTGGACATTCAAAATTTACATATATAAAAGATTTAGAAACTCTTTTTTAAGTAGTGATAAATTAATCATTTGAACTTTGGAATTCTAAAAATTTTGATTTTAAAACAGATATTAGTGTGCTTGGATATATATTTAAAAAGCATATTTTAGAAAACAATCTGTTGCATAACCTTTTAGAATAAAAATATGAAATTATTAAAGTATCAATTGAAACAATTAAATAAAGTTAAGAATTTTAAAAAAGAACATAAAAAATTGATGATAATAATTAAATTCTATCAGAATAAGCAGATTACACATTTTAATTATTAAATATAAATAAAGTATTTTAAAAGATAAAATAAATAATTAATGGTGAAGGTATGATAGATTAAAATATAAGGTTAACAATTAATTATTAAAAAAATATACTTGATAAAGTATAAATGTATATAAGAGATTATCATCCTGATATATATGATGAAATTTCTTAACTAGCAAATCTTGATGTAACTTCAAGGGAAAGTGTTCAAATTCGTGATGCTGTAATAATACATAGAACAAGGTCAGAAAAATATGATAATCAATTAGTTTCATATGATTCTTTAATTGATGCAGAAATTTTAAAATAGTTGATAAACTAATATTTAATTAACTAATAAAACATATGTAAAATGTAAAAATAAAAAACTGAATTACCAAAATTACAATTAAAAATAAAAGAATAAAATGAAACATTTTTTTCGATCAACATAGTAAATGGATTAAATCTTGCTTAAAGTTTAACAGAACAATTTATAAGCCAATAATGATTATATATTAAATTTTTTTTAGATTTATGTAATTTTAATTGACATATTATTATAATAAAAAATATATATATAAATAATTTAATTAAATTCAAAATAATTCTTGTAAAAATTAATCGATAGTATTAAACATTTTATCTTATTGTATGAGATCACTTTCGAATTCTTTATCTCCATTTAGTACTAATATAGAAGTATTTTAATGAGTTTCCCTTAATAACCATTCTTCATGTCTATTATGGATTTAAGTCAAATATTCTTTTGAAATGGTATTCTTTAAATAATAAAAATGGCGGTAATACTTTTTCTTCATCTCTTGCTCTTTTTTACATTCTTGAATAACAAACATCTGGATCTACTTGTAAATATATAATCATTTGCTTTTGGATTTTTTTTCCAAAAACTTCATCACAGAGCCAATCATAAAATTTTTCATACAAAGCATATTCTAAATTGTTTATCATTCCATTTTTGTGTCCATTAACAGCAAATATCTCTTTATCAGCTTCAATGCTTCTTTCACTTAATATGAGATGTCTATCTTCAGGATTTAATGGATCAGATAAAACCTCTTTCCAATGTTTAAGTCTACTGTAGAATGCATAAACTTGCATAGTGTAAGCCCATCTTGATGGCTCCTCATAAAAAGAACCTAGTAAATTCAAAGATGGATCTCCATTTATGCTTTACCATTCATTAACTGGTTCTGCTATAAATCTCAACTAAAAATGATTAATTATAATTACATCTGGATATTTTTATTACATTAATCTAAGTAAAGTACTTTTACCAGATCCAATATTGCCTTCAATTGAAATTAGAGTATATTGTTTTGATTTCATAAAAATAAAATAATAATATTGGAGGGATTTTTGAAATATAAATAAAAAATTCATTTCTAATACTAATTAGAAATATAAGACATTATTTATTTATTTTTTAAATTAAACTTATTGTTCCTAAATCTTACTTTTAAAAATTGCATTGATTCTTTACATAGGTTTAATTAAATATTGTTTGATATTTGAATTAATCAACAATTAAATCATATAATATAATTAAATCAATACTTGGTAAAAGGTACATATCAAAATCACAATTCCATTTATAAAATTATTGATTACTCTATACCCTCATATATAATAAATTTTATCTGTTGAAACATTTCTAGTACCAATAAAACTAATTGAAATAATCGCAATTACGTTAATAATTAGGACCTTTTTTAAGCCATTATGTTACATGTGCCAATATTGAGTTACTTATTATATTTATCTTTAGGAATGCCTTAAAATGCAAATCTATCTTATTCAAAATAATACAATATATTTATTAATTTCTTTATTCTTTTTTAAAATATTGTAACTTAATTGTAAGAACTTGACTATTATCCTTATTTAATTATTGTAATTATTTTATCGACTTCTTCTTACTCAAAATAAAAAAGTTAAAATTTCTTCAGAAAATTTTAATAGAAATTAAAAATATTAATTTACTGGATGGATTTATATAATAAGCTCAAATAAGGCTTCTTTATTTTAGATAAATTCAATATTTGTGAGTAGATTTTTATCTCTAAATAATTTAACAATTGCATATTAATTTTCCCCTTTTTACATTTCTTCCTTTCAAAAAAAATGAATGAGATCTTAGTCTTAGTATCACTTATATTTATTTAATCTGTTAGAATATGAATTTATCTATAAACAAAATTAATGCAATTCTTTGTTTTCTAATTTTGTCTGTCAGTTTGGTAAATTGTGAAACATCTATTTAAATTAAAATTAATTAAGTAATTATTAATAATCAATTATTTTATAATATTCAATTTATTCAAAATATTTAATAATCAAAGCAAGAACATATCTATCAATATCTTTTTTGATAACATAGTTAATTAAATATATAATAATAAAATCATGATTCTTATTCAAAATTGTCCTTCTATTATAAAATAGCTTATTATTTATTATTTTACTCTAATGTAGTAATCAAGAAGGTTCCTTAATTATATCTTTATTAATCATCACTATCTTCAAGTGGATTTACTACATCTTCATCACTTTATGGATCTATTGATTCAGCTACTTTAATTAATACTTCGCTGCCATTTTCTACATCATTAAATGTGTTATAATTTGTTTATTATTATTTTAATAGTTTTTAATCATTCTCAGTAACTTAATTTTATATCATTTTTATGAAAGCATTTTCCTATTTTATTTCTTAATAATTAGATTATTTTTCTTTGTTTTCATCATTTAAATTAAATCTTTAAATTTCATTACTTTCTGTCATTTTCCCAATATTATCTTTCCTTTCTTCTTCTTCTACAATCTTGAAGAATGCAGTTCCATTCAATTTACTCTTATCTTCATCTTAAGTTGATATTTGAGGTTTTTCTTAATTCTATGATTATTAGATCAAAAATAATCCAGAATCATTAGAAAAATTTTGAACAACATCCTCAACAACTTCAACTTAAACCTAATTTTTAGGTTGATCTACATTAGATTATTTATCAATATCTGTAATTTTGATTAGAATTGGTGGTGTATTTTATTATTTACTTGAAACTTCTTAATAATTTAAGTTTTTTTTAGATTTTTGTTATTCAATTTTAGAAATATTGATAGAAGTTATTTTTTTAAAATCTAGTTTTTACAAATTCTTTGATTAACTTTTCTATAAATTATCTCTAGTACCAACGCTTTTACTTTTAAATTATTCTGGAGATTATTAAATTAATGGAACTTCATTTTTATGTTATTTTGGTTTAGTTAAGACTAATTGAATTTCTTTATGATATTTCTTATACTAATAAACAGGTTTTTATTATGAACTTCTTACTGATGGAAGTTAAGTTGTTTAATCAGATCTTATTTGTAATAAATTTGATTATTAGGAATCAGGATCTCTATGACTTAAGATTTAATCTACAGGTTTATCAGTAATAGTTTTCTTTATTGTATTGTCTTATACAGATTCATAATGTTCAAAACGAAAATTATGATTTTCTGTTTCTTCTAATTCAATATTTTAATTTCTTTCTAGAGTCTTTGAAACATTAGCAATATTTTTAGTAACTTAATTATTAACTTTATATTATTAATCTCTTCCTCTTTAAGACTTACTTACAAGAGCATCTATTTTCTTAATTTAAGGTAATTTTGAAAAGTTCTTTTAAGTTTTTACATTCTCTACTTCTTTTTTATTTCCTAATGAATTTGCACGTAATTTTCTACTTAGTTATTCAGTTGCTTAACTAATTTTTCTTAATTCATCTTGCTATTTAGATATTTAATTGTCCATTTAATCTTAAGGAAAATAAGTATTTACTAACTGTTAAACATTCTATACTGTCGTAATGAAAGAATCAAGAAATGTTACAAAGTGTTCTTTAGATAATGATCTTGATACATTAGGAACTTTTTGAGTGTTGGATACTTTAGTCTAATGCTGGGGCGAGTTGGATTTATTTAATACTTAAGTTTATTTTTATTGATGCTAAACTTTATGTATTCATCCTTACTATAGTTTATTCAAAGGACTTTGATTGTTAATGAGCTAAATTTCTTTAACTCATTCTATCTTGTTTCATTTTCATCATTTGTTATCTCATTTACATATTAAAGAAGTATTATTCTAAATGAGTATCCTTTTCAGCCTTGTAATCAAGCACCTTTCCTCTTCTTGCAGCTGACACCCCATCTAACAAAAAAGGAGGCTTTATTTTTGTCTTTAGTTGTTGCATATAATTTTTATAAATGAATTATGCTAATCCATTTTCTTTATCATCTCATACAAGTTTTCTAAGTCCCAAAGAAAACCCAAGTATTTTAACTAGCTTTCTCTCTTAAAATTAATCAATTAGATCATTCTAATCAATTCCTACTAAGTTGAGTTTCATATACCATCAAAAAAATCCAAAGAAAACAAATTATCTATCTCCAAGATCTAAGATCGTGACCTTGCATGAAGATAGAAAATTATAAAATAAGAATTAAGAAAGAGTTAAATATGTTTCAGAACATTCTACAACACCTTATCTATACATTTCAAAAAAACATCCTAAAATTCGTATTCCTTTGCTTCCTAAACTATCACCTGAACCTAAAATGGAAGTATAAAGAATGCCTTATATAAATATAATGACAGAACCAACTGCTGCAATTGAGGAACATAGTGATGAAGGAAGAAGTAATGGTGAAAAAAGTGTAGATGATAAGTAATTAATATTGAATACATCCAATAATTTACTACATGCTACTGAAATCACACAGAATTAAGAAGACTAATTATCAACAAGTAAACTTTCACTCAAATCTCGTTTTAAATTGGCAGTTTAAAAATCATTTCGCAATCCTCCTAAGAAAGTATTATCTTATTTAATTAGTCATTATTTAATATCCTAATATCCAATGAATTTAATACATTTCATGAATAAGAGAGAAAATCTATTCAAATTAAATTCGAACCAGGTAATTAAGTTTTGGCCTCTAAATTAACAACATTGAAAAAAAGTAATTAGAGAAAATAATTCATCCATACAAAAGAAATCTAAAAATAATTTCGTTATATAAATTTTGAATAGTTTAGTGTATCAACTTAGGCATTTTAAAGGAAAATTAATATAATTCATGGCACAAATTCTAGAAATATGATATAATCAGAATCTTTTTCTTTACTTCCTAAATCATCAAGGAAATCTACAAGTTTTATTTCAAAATAAAAAAATAATATTTAATTAGAAATCTATGATAAGAGAAATGAGAAGAATGAGGAATCATAATTGCATTAGAATTAAATTAATATAACAGTAACATTTGAAAATATTGAAAAAACAGTGTATTAATTTAATAAACCAAAACATATTTATCAAAATAATATTGCTTTTAATGAAGAAATCTCAGAATTATAAAATGTTACACCAAAATAAACTTCAAAAATCCTTCCTATATGTTTATTATCATCAAATAATCATATTTAACTTGTATAAACTAAGAAATTTGATTATAATTCATCTTTTATTAATATGAAAACAAAAAGATAATCTATTTAATTAGGAGTAACATAAGATGAAGTCCAAAAACTTGAATAATAAAATGAATTCAATAAAGTATTAAATTCATATAAGATTAATAGCCTGGGTTATATTTTAGAGTTTATTATCAAAATAAATTATATAAATTGATGTAGAAATCTAATTATACAAAAGAAAATTTAGAAGAAATTGAATAAAGTTTTAGACCAAATTTTGTATAACCTATTAATAATAAAATAATGAATAATGCTTTCACATTAATGTCAACAATAGAATAGGGAATAAGATATAGAAAAATTACAAATGAGTCATTAGCAGATAAAATTTAATTTTTAGGAATAAAATTATCAAAATATTAAATATAATCTGAAAAATTGATCTTTGATTATAATAATGAAACATCTTAAGATAAAACAGAATCTAGCGATGATTCAGAATTAGAAGTTTCTTTAAATAACTTTTTGGATAGTCCCTTGAATCATAATAGTAATAATTTAAATAAAATTTAGTTAGAAATATTATCAAAAACAAAAAACCATCTAAAAGAAAAAGATCTCTTTTTGAGATATCAAATGAATAAAATAATTAAAATTACTTTTTTAATGATTTACCTTCAAATTAAAAATGTAAAAACTAAATTTTATTATAGAATTATCTACAGGAACATTAGTTATAATAAATAAAATTCGAGAAGCTTTTCACATAACTTTATCTATTTAGCCAATTTTAAATATTTTAGAATCTTCAGCAAAAAATATGTTGTTAAGTTATAGTGTTTCCATTTGTGATGAATTTCATATGGAATTAAGATAAGATAAAGATCAAATTGTAAATTAGAAATTGTAAAAGTTTTCAAAAAATTTATTTATGAATTCTATGATATTTTAAGCAACCGAAATAAGATATTCTTAGATTTTAATTGGAAGATATCTATGCTCAACCAGAATGATTGATGTTGAACATTAAGATCCTGTAGTTTAAACTATGAATTTAGAAAAATAAGAAAAAAATGATCAATAATAATCTAATCAATTACAACAACGATTCTCATAGATTAAAAGTCAGAAAAAAATTTCTAGCAAAGACTCTTTTAATGAATCTAATAATAAGAAACCTTAGACAGTCATAAAAATGAAGTAGTAATCTAAAAGAAATCTTAGAAAATAGGATTCTGTTCAAGTTAATTAACTAAAATAATTGAATAGAAAAGCTGTGCAATCAGGAGATTTTTCAAATACTCTATAAAAGTCAAATTAATAAAATTCCAATTTTTTCACTTAAACTTCAACTGTTTTAATAACAAAACCTACTTAAATATCTTAATAATCTGTGTTTAGGGTTATGAGTTCAAAACATATTGATTTAAATAGTTCTTAATAGAATATAAGTTCTTCATTAAGTTCTTCATAAAATGAAGAAACACCTTAATCTGTTTAAGTTTTAAACACACCATAAACATAATAACAATAAATATTCTAAGCATCCAATTAAATATACTCTAGTCAAAATCTACATAATTTGGATGAAGATTCTCAGTAAGATTTATATGTGTTGTATAATTCTCGTCATTAAATTAAGAATATAGTATTTATATTTGAATAATATTAGAATTGCTTAAGTATGTACATGAATTCATTAAGAATGAGAACTCAAATTATGGAATCTTCAAGAAAATAAAAATTAGATTAAATTTAATAAATTAAATTGGCTATCAAAGATCATAAATATACAGAAGTAAGTTAATTTTGAATAATAAATAATAGTTTATTGATAATATCTAATTTATTCCTGAAACTCAATTAGAAACTCCTATTTAAAATGGAAATACGTTTCTTATATTAGCTGCTTAATGTGGATGTATCGAAATTGTACATGAGCTAATAAAAAGAGGTGCAGATATCAATATTTAAAATGTATGGTATTACTAAAGAAGGATGATGGCAATACTGCAGTTCATTTAGCTTTGGCATATGGGCACTATAAGATAGCGGATTTGTTAATAGAATCAGGAGGAAGTACTCATATAATAAATAGAAAAGGATAAAATGCATGGGGAATATTGTGATACTATATATTATTTATTTATTTAAATATATTAATATAAAAAATGGATCAAGAAACATAGAAATCTGTTTTGATGAACATTTATTAGTATAAATTTTATGTTTAATAATAGAAAAGAAAATCAATCGGGTAACAAATTAAAACCGTAGAATTTAAGTTCTCTAAAATATGTTCTCAAAGAACTACAAAAATCAAAGAAAACTCCAAGTACATCTTTACATACTACTGCGAGTAAAAGAAATTAACAATCAAAATAGAAAAATAATGTTTAGGTTTAAACTTCTTAAACTAGTTATCGTTCTAGATTATAATTAACATAAAGAAATGAATGGATTGATTTAATTAATCAAAAATCATAATAAAATTACTAGTCTGATCAAATTGCAATAACCGAATATCGGTATTAATAAAATTCATCTTAGAACTAAAGAATAAATGGATTCTTTCTTCTTAAATGACTGGAAATAGCCATATTTTAAACAAGAAAATATATAATAAATAGTCTAAAAAGTAAATTAATATTAGCCTATTGATGATATTGATTCATGGAAATAAGTAGTATATTAAAGATTACATTAAAGGATATCATGATTTAATTAAAAACAATTTTGATATATCACTAATCTATAAAATCTTTAAAATATTAGTGTTGCAAAGCTTAACTTGCAGTAGGTCTTTATTCAGGTATATATTTCAGTAATTTTCTATTAATAAATAACATAAATTTATACTTTAATAAGTCTACAAAATTCCCTTTATCCTCTACATTACTAAACTTATCATTCAAATTTATAGCTTTGTATTCAGGAAACTCTTGAAATAAATTAATATCAAAAGGAACTACTTTTTCAAAATATTTTAGATCTTCCTCTGTAAAAGATCCCATTATTTTCAGAATTTAAAATAATTAATCTCCTTCAGATTTCCCTATGAAAAAAGGTTCCAATAATGCTAATTCAGCCATTATACATCCAAAAGCCCAAATATCAATAGATTCAGTATAATTAGTGACACCTAACAATAATTCAGGAGCTCTATAAAATCTTGAAACAATATAAGGTGTATTTATAGTTGTTCCTGTCATTTCTTTAGCACTTCCAAAATCGCATAATTTAAGAGTTCCATCTTGAATCAATACATTTTCTCTATTTTTAATAAAATAAAAAATTTACGGTTTTAAATCTCTATGTGCAATATGTTTTTTATGAATTTAGTCAAGGCCTTTTAGCATTTAATATAGATAGTTCTTAAGGGTTTTGGTATCAAAGTAATCCTTTCTTTTTCTATGATCAATTATAATATTTTCTAAATTTTGATCCATAAATTCTAGTATGATGTTTTAAACCATTTTATTATCTTCACTTCTGCTGTAGAAAACATCCTTAATATTTCAATAAATATACTATCAATCTAACAACATTAGGACATGTTTTTAATTGCATTAATATATCGCATTCTCTACTTGATATTTTACCAACTTTTTGCATTCTTTTTAGAGCTACTTTTTAGCGTCTTTTTGTATCAAATGCTTCAAAAACATAGCCTTTTAATTAACTAAAACTATATACCAAAAGCCCCTGAACCAATTACTCTAGTAATTTCATAATTAGGTATACTACCATGTGTTTCCATTTTAGATATTTGTTATTTTACTCACTTAAAATAAAAGTTAAGAATTTAGTATTAATAATGTATATTATCATAATAGTTAAAATCCACATTATCTTTATATTCTATTCTTAGTTCTTATAAAAATTATTGTGTCTATATGTCATGTTAATTTAAAATGATCTTACAATCCCCCAATTAAGTTAATTAAGAAATATTCAATTTTTAACAGAAGAACAGAATTAAATTTAATTTAACTTTTGAAATTGGAAGAATATTTTTTCTTGTCTTATCCCTATGATTTAATGTTTGGAAGGTTATTGAGTTAAAACTTTTAAGTTCAATTAGTTTTACTAACAAATGAGGAAATATGAAATTCAAAGTTGTTAATATAAACAAGCAATAAATTTCAAATCATATATAAATTCTTCCCTTAGTATCTAATTATAATATAAATAAAAATAAATAAAATGTCAAGATAGGCTCCATCCTCTGCTTAAAAAGTAGATCCCAAGAGGGCTCCTCCTCCTCCTCCACCTTAAAAAGGACCTAAAGTTTTTAATGCTGAAGATTATGCCAAACCACCTCATTTAACAAAGGAGGAAGTTTTGGAAGTAAAACAAGCATTTGACATTTTTGATAATGATGGATCTGGATCAATCGATCCATAAGAATTAAGAGAAGCTTTTGAAGCTTCAGGAATCAAAACCTACCACAATAAATTTATTTATTAAGTATTGGGAGAATTAGATACTGATAATAGTGGAGGAATTGATTTTGAAGAATTTTTGCATTTAGCTACAGCAAAGGTTAGTGATAAAGATACTAGAGAGCAAATCCAAAAAGTCTTTAATCTGTATGATTGGAACAAGGAAGGTAAAAGTTATTAATATTTTAAGGTCGCATCACCTGGGATGAATTAAAAAGAGTAGCATAAGATTTAGGAGAAGAAATGACAGATGAAGAGATCTAACATATGTTCAAAAAGGCAGATTTAGATGATGATGGTTTTGTTACTTTTGATGATTTTTACAATCTAATGACCCAAAAGGAATACGGAAAATAATGATATCAGATAATGATAAACATATAAATAAAAAGTATATATTACATATTAATTATTTATTTGAAAACGACTAATATCTTATATTTCCATTTTTTTTTATTTGATATAAAGCATAGTATTTATCATTAAATGTATTTAAGTGAAATATTACTTAATCTTGATATTGTAGAGATTATGTTCCACTTTCAAATATTAATTATTATTAATATATATTAATAAACAAAATTTTGTAAATATGTTAGGGAACAATGCAACTGAAAAAAAAGTAATTGAGTTAAAAGAAGTATCACTAAACCAAGATTAGATACGATCAATATTAAAATAATAATAAAAAGAATTTAGATAATATAGCGTTGATAAAAGAAAATCTCTAATATTACAAAGAATTGAAGATATTAAGAGAGACAGAATGCTTAAATCTGATGGAACAGTACATCACTCAGAAGATTTTAGAAAAGCAAACAAAGCTCTGGAATATTTCCAACCTGAATTCCCTATACTTAAATTTCCCGTATTAATCTTCTTTATTTTAGGAAGACACTGTGTTAAATACTTATGACAATACCAAAAGATGGTTGAAAGAATTCGATTTTCCTAATAAAAAATAATATTGGCAAGAGTTTAAGAAGAGAAACTTTAAACATTATCCAGGATAACCTTTTAGTTATGCACCAGGAGTTCCTACTTATTTTGAGGAGTTCAAAGCATACCATCATATAGAGCATGAAGAATCTTAAGTTGAAAAATATTAACGACTCTAATAGTATAATATTTTATATCATCCAGGAAAAAAGTATTATATGTTTAACCAACAAAAGTAGTTGGAGGTGAATTTAGTAGACCTATTTTTGACAGGACTCATGTCCATGTAGAATTAAATCCTATTCATTAAGTGTAATATCTACCTAATCCTGTCTCTGCAGATTCAACTGACTATAGATAATTAAGTAGATAATCAATTAAATCTAAATTGAATGATATGCAAAGAGTTAAACCATTTACTTCATGTAGTACTAGAAGTTAAATATTCTAATTAAAATACAAACCTATGAATGCTGAAAGTACATAAGAAACAGCTAAAACTTCTAAAAAACCTATTGATGATGATTTTGATATTTGATAAATATGTATTTATAGATATTATCTCAAATATAGAGACCCTCTGGAATATTTCCTTTTTTCAAATATAAAATCTTTTCTTTAGCTTTTCTTAAATCTTCTTATTTTATTTTCATTCTTCTTTCTCTAAGAGCTAGTAAACCTGCTTCTGTACACATAGCTTTAATATCAGCTCCAGATAATTCATCTTTAGCATTAATAAATTCATCTAAGTTTGCATCCTAAATATAATAATTAAAATAAGAAACCTCTCCTAGATTCATTTTACTAGTATGGATTTAAAATATTTTCTTTTTATTTTTTACATCAGGTAATGGAAATTCTATTTTTCTATCAATACGTCCAGGTCTAATCAATGCTGGATCAAGAGATTCAATCTTATTTGTGGCAAGTATAACTTTAACATCTGCTCTTGAATCAAAACCATCTAATTAATTTAATAATTCAAGCATTGTTCTTTAAATTTCTTTTTCACCACCAGAATGTGAATCATATCTTTTAGTACCAACAGCATCAATTTCATCAATGAAAACTATACTAGGAGCATGTTCTTCTGCAACTCTAAATAATTCTCTAACTAATTTAGGACCATCTCCTTGATATTTTTATATCAATTCTGATCCAACAACTCTTAAGAATGTTGCCGAAGTTTCATTAGCAACAGCCTTAGCCAAAAGTGTCTTTCCAGTTCCTGGTTCTCCATATAAAATAACTCCTTTTGGTGGTTTTATTCCCATATCTTCATAGATTTCAGGATGAGTCAATGGAAGTTCAACAGCTTCTTTAATTTCTTAAATCTATTATTCAAGACCACCAATATCAGCATAAGATTCAAGTGGAGCTTTATCAACTTTCATTACATTAAGAAGTGGATCAATTTCATCTTGCATTATACCAACAACTGCATAAGCTATTTTAATAAATCAAAGATTAATTTACATCTTTAATTCAAAAGAACAGAACAACCTGGCTCTAATTAATCTTTGTCAACAAAACTCATAATTCCTGAATAACTTTCTGGACCAACTGAGGACGATACAATAGCATGATTTTCATTTACAAATTCTTCTAATGTTCCAACACTTTGATATAATTAAATATTATTACATCATTGGGGTTCCTCTGAGTTATTCTATCTTTTTCTACTCTTCTGATTCAGCTTAATCTTATTCTTTTAATGGCTTTAATCTTTATTAATTTTCAATAAATTCTTATTCTAATAGTAAATAATCTTTAATTCTTTCATTTTTCAATAATTTTAATCTACACTTAGCAATTGGTGTTGCTATAACAATTTATATGATAAATACCTGCTGGTAATTTGGATGCTTATTCAACACCTTTTCTAAGCTTTTTCCTTCCAACTCTTTAGGGTGGAGGAGGTGGTTTTTTCTGTTAATCTTTATTTTAATTATTATTATTATCTTGATTATTTCCTCTACCCTGATTTGGATTGAATGGATTAAAACCTTGTGGATTTTGATTTCCCATTTTTTATATTTTAATTTAAATTATACACCAGTATTGATAATTTTATTCAAATAAATAGTTATTTAATAATCATTTCTCAATAAACAAAAGTTTATAAATCAGAATTATGATTACAAATAGAGAGTTTATATAATGTCATTATATTTCTTTTGATTGGATTAATATTTATAATAATAAAAATATCATACAATTTATAAAATTTGGTTAATGCATAACTATGAAATAGGAATTCCGATTATTATTGAAGCATTTATTGGATTTGCTTCTTCTTTATTCTTCATATTAGACATTTCGATTCATTATAAAATGAAGCTATATCAATTGGAGTTGGGGATATTATATACAAATTTGATGTAATCTATAAGTAAATAAACAATAATGGTTTTAAGTTACAATACTATTAATTATTGACTTTAACAATTAAATGTGCATTTGGACATTGTTTTTGGAATAATGTTTGACTCTTTCAAGTTTTCTTTGGACCATCTTGATTTTATAAAAAAGTTGTTTATTGACTAGATACCCAATTTAAATAGCTTTAGAATATCTAAAGACTAATTAATTTACAGTATTAATTATTAAATCCAGCTCTAAGCTATAATTGCATTTGGATTGCCAATAATTGCTTCATCATTAATTTTTGTAAAATTAAATATTTGTCAACTTGATACTCTCACATAAGTTTCAACAAAATTATTCTGGGCAATATAATCGATTTTAACCATAATATTTATTGGAATAATAACTTATCATATCATTAGAGTTCATTTGAATTGCAAACTAGTAAAGAATATAGAATATATATTAAGGCCAAATTATACTTAGAAATATTATACTGCCCAATAATTCTAATATTTTCATTACCATGGATTGTGTACACAATTTTTAATTTTGAACTTGATGATTCTGAAGATGTAAAAATACTTCAAGGTAATTGTGAAAATCTAAAATAAAGGTTTATTTCTTTTGAAAAACTCATAAATAATTTTCAGTACTTTTCTTTTTGGATAAAATTCAGCATTTTAAGTGGCTTTTCTTGAAAATGCATGCCCAATATTAAGAAAAACTTATTTAGCAAAATATGATTTTGAAAAGAAGTATCATATTCTATAATAAATTTAGAAATAAAAATTCATAAATTGTAAATATTGAAATTTGTAATAATTTATGTACATAATTATTAATAAAATGATTATAAAATTATAATTTATTAAATAAAATAATTAATGGAGTTTATTCAAAGCTTATTATCATTATTTGGTAATATTGCCATTGTTGCATTAATGTTGACTATTGGAATCTTGGGATTACTCTACATACAACAAAACTCATTAATCTATTTACCAGGTTTGATATCTTACTAATTTAACAAGCATTTCAAGGATTACCCCAAAGTCCTAGTTAAAATATGAATGGCCTCAGGAATCCATCTGAGAGAAATTTATAATATGAAGATGTAGAAATAGGAACACTTGATAGATAAAAATTAAAAGGATGGCTCATTAAATAGAATGACAGTATTAATGTACCTACTGTAATTTTTTTACATGAAAATGCTGGAAGTATTTTTAAAACTTAATATTCTTTTCAGATATTGGAACTAGATTATAATTTTTAGAATTATATTTTTCCAATGTCAAATGCAATATATTGATTATTGCATATAGAGGATATTCAGATAGTACAGGAAAGCCTTCAGAATAAGGTCTTTAATTAGATGGAGAATCTATAGTTAATTATTTATTTCATAGAAATGATATTGATTCATCAAAAATATTTGTACATGGAAAGTCATTAGGGGGAGCAGTGGCAATTCATGCAATGACTTAAAATATTGCAAAAGGCATTCGAGGTGTAATATTAGAAAATACTTTTACATCAATAGATGATATGGTTGATGTCATATTTCCTAAATTGAAGTTTTTTAAATCTATTCTTCTTAAAAATCATTGGTTGTCAATATAAAAAATTGGTCAAATTACATAACCAATACTATTCATTTATTGTAATTTATTATGATTAATTTAATTTAATTTTAGCAATGAGAGATGAAATTGTACCAGTCTAACATATGGCTTAATTACAAAATGCTGCTTAAAGAGCTAAATTTATTGAAAAGGTATTTCATTTTTAAATATAACAGTTTGTCATTGAGGATGGTGATCATAATACTAATTGGTCTAGAGAGCCAGAAAAGTACTTTAATTCAATTTCAAGTTTCATCAATAAAGCAATTACATCATGATTATATAATAAATTAAATGTAACAAAAATATTGTGATGAATGTGAAGAAACTAGAGCCAAGATAAATTGTAATTAATGTGGTCAAATTCTATGTGAGTAATGTGATAAGAAAATACATAATAAAGGAAAAAGGGTTTATCATTCTAGAGAATTAATTGAAACATCTGATTCGATTGAATCAAACAAAATTAAATAAGATGCTCATGTACTTAGACATGAACAACATAAGGAAAGATTTAAATAAATAAATAGCAACTTGCCATCTGTTGATGTTGTTAACTTCAATCTTATTAATATCTAAACAGAAACACCTATGATTTTTTAAAATGAGTATTTTAAACCTTTTATTAAAGTTCTAATTTAGCTAAAATTGAGCACCATTTATTCAAATAGGCAAATAAAGGAGACTTAATGATTCATTTAAATGATTTTTAGAAATTTTTAAAATAGAATGAAATCTATAAAATCAATCAGTAAGAATCAATTAACATTTAGATCAAAAGATATAATACAATAATTGGAGAAATTAAAAATGATTAATGTTACTATTAGAAAATTTGGAGATAGTGATCCAATTTAATTTATTAGTCTTCAATTAGATCATATTAGTTTATAATCATTATATTGGGTTTTATTAAATATTAGAAAAGATGAGATGACACCAACTGATAAATTAGTGATGAGTAGAATTAAGGAATGTTACGGTTTAAAATTAAACATTTAAGATTGGAACCATTATTTAGCTGGATTCTATAAGTTATAAGATTCTAATGGATTAATTTAATTTAATGTAAAAAAATATAATAAGAACAAATGGATTGATGAGAAATGTATAATAAAAATGACTAAATGTCCTATTGATTTAGTAAACAAATCTGAAAATAATAATGCATCTCTTTCATCTTCATAATAAATTAATAATGAATCATTGCTATTATTTACAATAGAAGACAATATCAATTGGAAAATGATGGATGCCTAATAAATGAGTTCCATTTATAAATGTTAATGGAGATCATTTATTTAATTTTTAAAAGATTTTTTTGATACTAATCTTACTTTAAATACAAGTTAAAACACTTAATCATTTGGAGATTTAAATTAATCTGATTATTAATCATAATCTTCCAAATAAAGTGGAACACAATCAGTCCCAACTTAAAAAAACTAAGATAATTCGAAATGGATAAGAAGTGTAGAGTCAGGATTACAAAATGGATAAAAGAGTTCGGAATAATATCATAATCAAAGTTATTCCTCTAATGTTACATAAAAGTATTATTAGATTACTTATAAATAGAAAAAGAAGTAAAAAGAGTCAAATAAAGCCTCCAAAATCAATTCAAAAAGCTATACCTGGAGGTAAATATGGATGTGCATAGCTTTTAAAATGTTGTGGTCCTCTAGAATTAAGGGTTTGCTCTCTAGGTGTTTTATGTTTAATGATATAGGAAGCCATTAATAGGAATGTCCTAATATACTATAAAACCTTATTAATTAAACCAAATACTAATATAGCTTTTGATTTCAATGATTTCTTAAATATTTTTGATGATTAATTTTAAGATTAATTCATCCTTTAGAATATATTAGGAAATGAGGAAAATCAATAACTTTCTATTGATAAATAATAACAATAGCATGAAAAATAGAATAAATTAAAGGCTGTTCAATAAGCAATTATAGATATTCTAAATGAATATACTAAAGGTGTTAGTTTAGCAAGATTACCAAAAATGATTTAACGGAAAATTTAATTTACCTTTGATTTACATGAATTAGGATTCACTAAATTAAAATGCTTAATTCAAGGTATTGATGGGATTAGTATTATAAATGATGGAACTACTTATGCTTCACTTATTTTAGACGAGTATTATGATGACACAAATGATATTAAATAAGAATAAGAAGATGATCAATAAATGCAATAAGTTAAAATCGATCTTAAATATTTTTAAAAGTAATCCTTGTAATAATAATAAAGTTCATCTAATCCATAACTTTAATAATAATAAATATAGTAATAGTAATAATAATAATAACAACAACTGTAGTTTCTACCTCCAATTCATGTATCTGAATATTAATTAAAAATTGAAGTAAAACATTATATTTTATTTAAAGCAAGCTTTAAAGTAAATTCTTAATTAGTACACAAATGGTATTCCTGCATTTTAACTTTTATAAATACTTTAATTGCATATATAAAATACATTTGAATATACATAATTCGGTTGTTCTACTTTTGAAGAATATATGGTTAAATACGCTGAGAATTATAGTGATGTAATGATTAAAATGAAAGGTTGTATTATATATCCTAAAGGATATTCATCTTTTAGATCTTCTATTCCATAATAGAAAATGCAACTTGGAATTCATCATTAGAAATCTTAATCAACTACCCTTCCAAGCTATGCTTAATAATAAAGTAATAGTAGTAGCCAAATCATTAAAGCTGATAGTAATTTTTTATCATAATTTAGGTTTTTTAGCAGGTATGTAAAATCCTAGTCAAATGATTGGAGATGTATAATCTCAATCCTTGACATTTCAATCATTTCAAACTTATCCTTAAAATAAAGATTTTTTTATGATTTAAGAAGAAAATAGCCATCATGAACTTGATGCTAATGTTAGATTTATTGAAGAACTATTAAAAGAGTCAGATGATGTTGAATAAAAGAAAAATAAAGTTTAGAGAAGTCACTAAACTCATTAAGATAGTAAATAATTTTAGAGTTTGGGACAAT